GGGCATCGTGCGCGTGCGGCGCGCGCTGGGCGGCCGGGGCGCGCGCCGCGTGGGCCGGCTGGCGGCGCGCGCGGCCGCCGCGGGCGCGCTGTACCTGACGCTGGCGGGCGGCGCGACGGTCGCTCGCGTTTATGAGGCGCGGCTGCGAGCGGCGCACTCGGGAATCACGCTGCCGGCGGAGCTGGAAGCCGGCACCGTGGAGAGCGGGCCGGTGACGAGCGCGTGGTCGGTGTGCCTGTGCCTGTGGTGCGGCGCGGCGGCGGGCGCGTGGGCGTGGTCGCGCAAGTCGGGTCGCGTGTGGGCGCGCGCGCTGTGCCCGCCGCGCAAGGCGCCGTGCTGCGCGCCGCCGCTGCTGCGCGCGCCGCACCCGCCCTACAAGAGACCCTTGCACGTGTCGCGGGTGTGATCCGCGCCGTGTTGTGTTGTGTCGTGTCGTCTCAGACTGTATTTAAATTAAGCACCGTGTCCCTTGCCTTCTGTGAAGGCGCTCTCGTGTAAATACTGTGTAAATAATGTAAATTTCTAATATACTGTTGATTTTTCTATAAAACATTGGTTTCATTCCCTCGTCCGAATAAAACAGGGGTTTTGTTAAACACGTTTTTATTATTAAACCGTTAAACGTACAATAAGACTGATTGTTTAGTAATATATCTCTCTATACAAAAAGAAACGTCCTAGTATAATTACATAATGTACATCTTTTGCAGTCCAAAAATATAGTGACCCTGAAAATTTCGCTAACCAAGTAAAATATTAAATATGAAACTTAACGATACAGTGGACTAACTTATAGTACGACTAAATGAATAAATATAATTGAAAGTAAAGAATGGCGTGGAATGTATATTAGCAAAGTATCAAACAGTTAAGTTATCATAACATGGATAGGCCGAATTTCATTATTGCCCTTCAAATCCACAACATATAAGAATGGTACTTTAATTTCATAATAAAAGTGTAATGCAATAAACAAGGCATCTAAAAATTTTACTAAAAAAGTCTTATTCAAAGGTGAAAATATACAATGGTAGTGGTGCTATTTTTAAACAAATGTATAGTCTGATATGCTGTTGTGTGTGTGTGTGTGTGATAAAACATCATCACATCCCATGCCATTTTATAATTGGAATAGAAATCATATTATGTGATTTACATAGGTCCATAACTGGCTCGATTTTGAGATTATCCACTTAAATCTTTCTTTTTATCTTTCAACATAAATACATAACGAAACGAATAGATAAAAATAAGTTCTCTCAAAGTGCTAATATGACTAAAACGACTCAATATTTTAGTAACTAAACCCAAACCTGCAACGTGCCAAAAATGTTGTGAGTAAATAGTTGCCAAAATAATAATGTTTAACACCTCAAAATCGAGTCAGAATTAATTTCATAAGACAACACCCAACCGCCTATACTATAGTTTAAATGGTCCAAGAGCACATGCTATATCGTACGTACTTGCATGACAAAGCAATACAAGTTCAATAGGCTAGTTGCCTAAAAAAATTTTTTTAGTCCGTAATGTTTAATATCAAAAAATATTGGACACATATATTTTTATTTGTCAATCTAACAAATAATTACATAGTTATGGTGCGTTGAAGTTGCGCACGACGTCACAACGTGCGGCATTTTTAAGCAAGCGTTGACGTCACGGGCCTCTTCTTATGAACTTTGGGGCGCTTTATCTCTTTAAATTTTCATTAGTTTGAAAAAGTGAAAAATACGTGTAGAGTATTTTTTGATAAGTTAACTGACGGACTAATTAAAACTCTTGCTTTTTGACCCAGGCAACATCCCCATTATAATATTCATACATACAAAACTACATACAACAAATAACTACTATTTATAACCCGTACGAGTTAGCTGCGTACCTCGCTGGAATGCGACTCCCCCCGTCCATAATAGAGCGTCGATGTGACGTCACGGCCGCCGGGTGTGCATTTAACTCAACCGTGTTGTAAGTTTTGACACCCTCTTTATATTGCATTAAAAGGCTGGTAAAGGTGTGTTCACATAGTCTCACACCGTGTGCTCTATGTAATCACTATAGAAACTCAGAGTGCCAGAGATACGTATGTGAATATACCTTTAATGAGAAAACTAGAATTGTGTAATAAACTACATAACAATATTTGATAACAATTCAAGCAGTGCTTACTTACTCAGTGGGTCGATAGCTTCTCTCTTCGAATGCTCAACATAAATATCCATTGAGTAATATGAAAACATAGACTGTTTTAATTTGTCTCTGGTCATCCTTCCAAACATAGACAAATATTAACCTGCTAGTGAATATTACTCAAAGTATGCAGGGAATAGTTTACTGGTTAAGAAACTGAAAGAAATGCCATAATAATATGGGGCATTCTCCTTCTCGCTTATTGGACAAAAAAAGTGAAGTAAGTATTAAAAGAGTTACACTATAAAGATGAACGCACATCTATCCGTACCGAAAGAACTTTGAAACCTAAGAATTTGCTAAGGCTTTCATAAAATCAAATCGTCATTATCTTTGTCTCAACTTCAGGAGCTGATAATGACAATAAATGTTTCTTTCTTTCTTTCTTACTTTCTATAATGATGATTCCATTTTACCAAATGGAGGAACTTTTTCCTTTAAATAAAAGGGTTTTACTATCACACCATTAACAGAGATTGTACTACAACAGTTTGTGTTAAAAGTGAACGTTTGCCATTGATATTAAAACTGCTATTATCAGTTACTTAAATTCATATTTTTATACACTTCTGCATGTTAAAAGTTCAATACGGATGACGATTGATGGGATATATGTGCGTTCTTTATAAAGCAACATAGTTATCTTCGCCTAAGTGCATCACAATCGTCAACTAGTACTCATAGGAAACGTTACTTATACAAAAACAACCGTATCCCAATTTATAAATACTAATATGAATTCAACTTTGAACATTATAATGATTTAGTGAAGGAACAAGCACCTTATCTATGGTACCTAAGTAAAGGGTATCGAGGTGCAGTGATACATAAAGAAAGGCCCTCTCTTTGCCCAATATTTTTTTAGCAAATGAAAGACCAAAGTTTACATGGACATATCAAGTTAAATAAGGTGTCCTTATGTGTTTAAAAAAGGTGCGATTTTGCAACGATTATGTGGGTAGAGATGTGCTGATCACCATAAATCTATTCTGTAGAAAGACGATAACCATCTACCATCAATAAAAAAGACTATGGATTGTCTTATGATAATGTAGTCCCATGAATACATGATTATTACAAGAAACTTAATATGTATTTTCATAATTCTAATATTAGATACTCTGGGCCAGATTTAAAGGAACAATTGCGAGTAGTTTCGGTTATAGCACTGCTATTTTTGATTCTGATATATTTTTATTTGTGGCACTTTATTATTTCCTATCCTGATTCATGAATATGTAAGTCCAGTTTTTAAATGTGGCCTTATGAAGCTTATGTATCAGGTATAAAGTAAATACACTTTTAAAACGAAAGTCATGAACGAAATCATCAGTGATTCTGTAAAATGTAGTTCATATAAAGATTAAAGACGAAAGATTAAATAGAAAGAGATAAAAACTGGACTTCATTAATTTGACAATTTGTTATTCTAATTTAATTGAATATGCTACAGTTTATAGCCACGTGCCTATATCACACTCGGGCGGTAGCTATCCTTCCTGAGTCGACATCAAGGTGTCAAACACCTCCGACCCCCGCTCATTTACCGAACTAAAGTAGCTAGAGAAATTGAAAATACCTGAGTCAGGCCTAAGGTTGTCCGTCGATCCAAACTGAGTCTTATTTCTAGTGTGCATAGGGGTGGTGTTCGTGCTCAACGCCTTCTGCTTGTCCAGGATTGATAGTAAAGGATTTCTGATATCCGAATCGGGTACAGTCTGGTCAATCGTTTGGCTCTCGGGGTCGTACAAAGTCGCTTCTTTCGCGGACAAATCTTTCGCTTCGTTGTACGGGTTGGTCAAGTACTCTGCGTATAGCTCGCTCTGATTTATATCTTTGTCTGGGACTATATTTTCTATGTAGGTGGGCTGTAGTAAAGTGGGCGGTGTGACGGCGGCGTTGGGTTCAATTTTGATTGGCTCGGGCGAGATCTGGGTTTGAAGGGGCTCGGGCGCAGTCTGCGGGTAGAGGATCGGCATCTGCGATTGGATCGATATCCCAATCGGTGTCGATATCATCTGGAAAAAATAGACACCGATCAGTACATTTAGTAAAACAAACTAAATATCTTTATAACCTTATTATCATGTTTCTAAGTGTGCGTCACTGCACAAGGACATGACTAAGCATACATGGTGTAAAAGATAGGTTGGCAATTTAAAACACTGAGTTTTATAATTGAAAGTAAAGTTATTGTTATTAAAAGTAATGTATGCCACTCGTACAGAATTACACTAAAGTCAAAGTCAAAATTCCTTTATTTGCATGGACTATTAAAAATAGTGCTTACAAAATATAGTCAAATATTAAAATAAAAAAATTAAAATAAAAGACTATACAGGGTGTTAGGTAAATGGGTATATGAGCCGACACTAGCCCATGTTAACATGGGCATATAAATGGTATGGTGAAGTCAGAAATTTGATATCATCATTTAATTTTCATACAAAATAAATTTTATAAAATCCGATTTGTATGAAAATATAAATAATTCAAATGAAGATATCAATTTTCTGACTTCATCNGGTGAAGTCAGAAATTTGATATCATCATTTAATTTTCATACAAAATAAATTTTATAAAATCCGATTTGTATGAAAATATAAATAATTCAAATGAAGATATCAATTTTCTGACTTCATCATACCATTTATATGCCCATGTTAACATGGGCTAGTGTCGGCTCATATACCCATTTACCTAAGACCCTGTATAAAAACTTTTAACTTTTGTTCTTATGGAGTCTTCACATGTGGACTAGGACAAAATATGTATACCAACCTATCCTCTACACCCTGTATCTTTCCCAAAACCCAGTCAGCCTACCTCATTCAACGGCTGCAACAGTACTGATGACGTCAGCCCGGCCTGGTCGTACAGTTGATTCCGTATCGGCACCATTCCACTAACTGGGGTCGGAGCGACCAACGTTGGCGCCAACTTTGGCGGCGACTGGCCAAGGTTCACGGGTGATGTTGGCGCCAATGTTGGCACAAACACTGGCGATGTGTGCTGAGGGGATGTTTGGTTATGCGGGGGGAGTAAGGGGTGGGGAGGTATTAAGGTGGAAGGCGTACTGGTTGGAACTGGGACGAGGGTCGGCATCGATGGCAGTGGCTGTTGTGGCGCTGGTACATTGGCTGTGGTGTTGTCTTTCACTGCAAATAAAGCAAACTATAGAATGGCGCAATCGGATCCGGCAGCGGACAATCAAATCCGTGAGTCAATCCCTTAGGCTGAGTTGCACCACCTAACTTTGACCGTAATTATAACGTATTTATAGTCAAACTAGCGGCCGCCCGCGACTTCGTACGCGTGGATCCTGTTTTACCCCCTTTTCCCGAATTTTCTTTGCTATAAACCTCACGGAGCCCGAGACCTTTCCAACGAATGCAAAACCGTGGAAATCGGTTCGTGCGTTCTGGAGTTATAGCGTCAGGGAGGAAAACCCGACTTATTTTTATATAGTAGATTTAAAGTAACATGGTGCGTCTCAGCCTTAGAAGCCTTCTGGTAATAATAATACGACTTGGTTTATAGTGTTGTGTACAAACCTTGAGGGAATAGTTCTTCTTTGAGATTAGGAAGGAACTCTCCAATCTTCTCCCAGGTGATATACCATAGTTCATTGTAATTGTCTCCATTACTGAAAATCTGAAACAACATGGTTTTGTCAAGTAAAGATTTCGATCAGAGCTCTTGTAAATATCTCTTAGACCTCATGAAGGGGAATGAGGGCTATCGTTTTTATATTAACAGTTGGCACCCCTGGCGATTGACAGGACCTTACTCTACAGTGGCGCTAACTGGTGAGCGCTAAAACGATAGCCCTCATTGACTGGATGGTAAGGATCAAGTATAGCTGGTTCTGATACAGATCCTAGAGTCACCAGGGGGCGTAGTGTGAGTTTGCGTCAAACGCATTTTGATTTTGAAGCTGGAAACATTGAATTTTCGGATAGATCCAGTTTATTCTGTAACCTATTATTGGTACCGTTTGAAAGAGCTTATGAAGCACTTTCAGAATCAGTAATCAGTTTTTCGATATCTTGTATATTTTAGAAATAATCGAGTGAGATCACTTAACGTTTCCACCCTGTATATTTTTAACGCGCTCGCTAGTGACCACGTTTGATGTACTCACACTAAGCCCTCAGCCTGCACTACTCGCGGCTTCAGCTATCGGGAGCGCACTCACCCGCACAGAGTCCATGACGAGGATCATATTCTTGAGCGACTCCAGCGCGGCCTCGGTCAGCGCGTCGTCCGCGCCCGCCGCCACTAACGACGCTTGGACGTCGATGACGCGCAGCCAGAGAGCCGTGAAGCTGGCTCGCGGGGACAACGCTGATAGGTGTTGGAGGAACACCTGCAAATTAATAAATAATAGTTAGTGCCAAAGACATATTATACAGGATGTTGATTTCAAATTTCAATCCTCGCCATATTTATTTAGGTGATCTATTATGACTTCTATAAACGTACTATCCACAAAATTACAAACAAAAGTGGAATTTTTAGCGAATATTTTCCGTGCGGCATCAACTGTACTGTGGCTCGCAATACTGCAATACGTTTACACTGAGGCACCATCGAGCTACGCGGATCACTTGCTTTTCATGTCGGATAGCCTACTGAAGGAGGCTTCCTTTAAAATACCTATTTACACTACCTACTTTACGTGGCTACGTAAAGTAGGTAGTGTAAATAGGTATTTTTCTTTGACTAACTAAAGTTAAAGTTCGTTTTAATTTATTTTTTTCGAATTTAATTTCGTGATCAGTATAAGCTACATAATCAACTCCCTAAATATGGCGAGGATTGAAATCAACACCCTGTAGATACCGACGCACACGAATACGAGGATTATTTCACCGAGGCAATTCTTTATGCATACACAACGAGGGCTGCAACAGGTTATGTGGAACTCCTTGGTAATCGGGAATCAGCCTCGTGAAGGAAGGGCGTCGCCCTCAAGCAAAGTTACGTTCCTCACAATGCATATCACCCACATAAATTGCACATATTAGTGTTTGCCCTAGTCGCCTAGTTTGCGTGTCTCGACAGCATCTCTAGCAGAGAGAAGAGGACAGACCAGGGACTAGCAGCGCCCACTAGCAAAAGTAACAATCCTCATACTTCAAATCATCGGCCCACAGTATTAGCATTGGCTGCGATGTGACCTCACCTAAGCCACCTCTCTAGCAGAAGGAAGAGGACTCTTTGGAAGTACGCTTCCCGCGCCCCCCATATCCAGCAACAGACCTGGCACTATGAGCGTCCACAAGCAAAAGTTGTCTGACACTGCATATCTCCCACATACCTTGCACATAATAGTGTTAGCTCTAGCCGCAATATGAGCCCGCCGTGGCAACCTCTCCAACAATGGGAAGAGGACTCGTTGGAAGCACGCCTCCCACCGCGCGCGGCCGCGTCATTGACAAACTAGGGAACCAGTGGTCTCTGGCCAAAGTAACACTCTCTACACTACACATTACTGATTTCACTTACCTTGCACATAATAGTGTTCGCCCTAGCCGCAATATGAGCCCGCCGTGGCAGCTTCTCCAACAATGGGAAGAGGACTCTCTGGAAGCACGCCTCCCACGCGCCGCCCGCGCCATTAACAACCAAGGACTAGCAGAGCCCTCTAGCAATGTACCTAACATTCGCCAAACTGTGCCCACATACCTTGCACATAATAGTGTCCCTAGCCGCAATATGAGCCCGCCGTGGTAACCTCACCAACAATGGGTAGACGACCCTTTCCCCATTTTGAGTCCACGTACCTTGCACATAATAGTGTTCGCCCTAGCCGCAATATGAGCCCGCCGTGGCAGCCTCTCTAACAAAAGGAAGAGGACTCTTTGGAATCACGCCTCCCACCGCGCGCGGCCGCGCCCGCGTCATTGACAGACCAGGGACTAGCAACGCCTTCTTTACAAAGCAAAGTTACATTGCTCGCATTGAGTCCACGTACCTTGCACATAATAGTATTTGCCCTAGCCGCAATATGCGCCCGCCGTGGTATCCTCTCCAATAGTGGGAAGAGGACTCGTTAGAAGCACGCCTCCCAAGCGCCGCCCGCGTCTCTTACACCCGTCCATAGACTAAAGACTAGAAGCGCCCTCTAACCATGTATACTACTCCTTACATCTGTCTATCACCCACGTACCTTGCACATAATAGTATTCGCCCTGGCTGCAATATGAGCCCGCCGTGGCAGCCTCTCTAACAGAGGAAAGAGGACCCTTTGGAAGCACGCCTCCCACGCGCCACCCGCACCGCCCGCGCCGCCTGCCCCTGGCGATAGGCCTGGGACTAACAGCGCTCTTTGGAGGTAGGCTATTGCACTGTTGGACACCTGAACACGACACAAAACGTGTGTTAATTTACAAAGAGGCATAGACAATAGTTATACGGCCGAATACTGAAACGCCATTTAAATATTTGACGGCTTCTCAAATAGTTAAGCAGCTCCTAAACTTACATTTCGCATACTCAAAACAATATCTGAGCAGTTCTCAATTTTTAAGCACCTCTCAAATTAAGTTGCACTCAAACGCCACTTAAATGAATTTTCGCATACTGAAACGCCATTCAACGCTAAGCATTACTCAAACAACTGTCAAATCGTCTTAAGCAGCTGTTAAATTTGAGAGTGCTTGCGCGGTATCTTGCATCGTATAGTGCACGAAATGTGCACGAAGTAACAACCAAAATAGCTGCTATGAAATCGCTTTACATAAACATGCCTATTTCTGAGGATTAAGGGGACATCGCATAGCAGCATTTCCAAGAGTTGTTGATTTGTCAATTTGATGCTCTGTCAGTCAACAATAATAAATGTCAATTGTGGTTACGTTTCGGTCCACGATCGCCACTTAATAGATTTCAACAATAAAAAGTATCACATTTAAAATTATTTTTTTAATTAAATAAAAATGCAAGCATAAATTTTTTTATATGATAAAACGAGATTTATATATAATAGAAACTAAAAATAAACTGTTCTATATTAAGTTGATCGAGTATATTTCCATAAAAGACAATACATAACCAAACGATGCTGCGTGTAATGGATAAAAGACGTAAAGTTATCATTTGTGTAAATGAAAACATACTTTTTTTGGTAAATGTTGCCATTATGTAAACATTTGACAGCTGCTTAGCTGATCACGGCTTCAAATCCGTTGAGCGTTTGAGAATACCATTTAAAATTGAAGGATACTTAAATTTAGGAGCCCGTCAGCTGAGTGACAGATTTGAGTAGTGTTTAAGTATTCGGCCGATAGACCAGGAGGAGTGGCCAACCGATCGATCGCGACTATTAGTCCAGTCGATCATGGCAAGGCAAAAAATACTACATGATTGTATACTAAACTATGCTATTTCATTTAAGATTTCAAGATGTAAGTGGTAGATCACCCAGGGTTTCTAGATCTTATGTCTAATCAAGTTGGCCACCCCTGTTATACAGGGTGTTAGGTAAATGGGTATATGAGCCGACTAGCCCATGTTAACATGATCATATAAATGGTATGGTGAAGTCAGAAATTTGATATTTTTAAAAAATCTTTCACCATTCGAAAGCTACATTATCCATGAGTAACATAGGCTAAATTTTATTTTGGAAAAAAATAGGGTTCCGTAAAATATGTAGATAATGTAGTCAACGCGCGCGAAGTCGCGGGCGGAAAGCTAGTTCACAATAAATAAAGTGATGAAATACGAAACTACTTCATACCTGTTTCCGTCTGTCAGTGCAGAATTCAGCAATACCTTGTAGAAGTGGCATCCAAGCCACTTCCCATAAGTCGTATTCTTCGGCATCTAAAACATTAATTATTTACAATTATAAATAAATAAAAAACAATTAAAGAAATTAAAAATTAAAAAAATATATTTTACTTTGTCCTTGATCGGCCTCGTCCCTCCACCACTTAAATATTTGCGCAGTCCTGCTGTGTAGAGTATGCATGAGGTCCAGTAACTACAACAAAAAAATATAACACGATAAATAAAGTGTCTTTGTTTAATAAATTTCGGAATTATTAAAGTAAATGATATAGCAAGAGTAGAATAGAACCCGATGATTAGAATAGCATGGATGACATTGGTCCACACACTTATTTCTGCATGATCGAATCAATGTTATTCTATAGGAGAACCAAAGTAATCAACATAGCCCGCAGTGCTGAAAATTCCCTTGTGGCACCGCCGCGGCGGTCTGATAAAAGTCGCGGGAAGCCTAAAGTACGGCCAACGAGAAGCGATACAAAAGGTCGATTCGACTTTCGAATTGACAATCTATTCTGTCTCTTCACATCTTGTGTATTTGTCGTAATGTCTCGTTCTCCCGCCAAAATATGTCAAAGTCAAACCCTTAGGCTGGGTTGCACCATCTTACTTTAACTTTGACAAACGTCAAAAATCTGTCAAATTCCATACAAAAAGCACCGGTTATCGTCATAGTTACCGTTAAAGATAGGTGGTGCAACCTACCCCTACTATACCAAATGACAATGAAATTGGGTTTGTTTACATTTGGTATCGCTTCTCGTTGGCCGTACTTTAGATGCGGGCCGGTCGTTGTGGAAAGACTTGATGACAGTCAGTGTGCGTCATCGCGGTTCTAAAACCAGCCTTGATCTATTTCAATTATTGTTATTTGTGTACCTGTATGCTGATGAGGTGGTACTGGTCGAGCGTGTCGATCTCCTCGTCGCTGGAGTCGTCGCGCCGCCGCGAGCTGGCCCGCTGCTTGCGCCCGTCGCGGCTCTTCTTGGCTGGGGGAACAATATTGTTTATATTTGATGTTATTGACACAAAGCTGTTGTGGGATTTGGCTCTTCTTGGCTGGGGGAAACACTAGTGTTAAATGTTTGATGATATTGACAGCCGCGTGGGTCTTAAATGTCTGTGACGAAATGTCAAATTATTTTCTGTGTCTAGACATGTATAAGATTGACTGGTAGAAAATGCAACGTGATTTAGGAAATTACGGTTTTTTGCTAACATAATGCAAATTAAATCGATTCATCTTGTCTTGTACTCTTTACCCCAGAACCAAGATGGTTCGCATACCTCTGTTTGAGGAACCCTGTTTTGATTTTGGCTCCGAATCTAGTCTCTTGTGGCTATGATCCCTGAATCGATCACTACCAGATAACGTAGCCTTAGCGACAAAAGACAGACTAGTGCCGGGATTCCCCTGGGTCACTCACCATCGTGCAGGATAGCCCTAATAAGGTTCGATGTCCCCGAAGGGAGATCTACCTGTAGGTGAAGGAAGTTAGTGGGATCTAGCCAATGCCGGGGGTTCCCCTGAATCACTCAAGCATCGTGCTTCGGTGCGGTGCCCGCGGAGCGCGATCTGACTGTGTCCTCCCACCAGCCATGTGGAGGGTTCCCTGGATCACTCACCGTCGTGCAGCGTCGCCCTGGCGAAGACCCTGACAGCGCGCACGGCGGCGCGGCAGTTGTAGGGCGTGACGTGCGCCACGTCGCGCACCACCAGCGCCAGCGCCTCGCAGCAGCGACTGTCCTCCCACCAGCCATGTCGAGGGTTCCCTGGATCACTCACCGTCGTGCAGCGTCGCCCTGGCGAAGATCCTGACAGCGCGCACGGCGGCGCGGCAGTTGTAGGGCGTGACGTGCGCCACGTCGCGCACCACCAGCGCCAGCGCCTCGCAGCAGCGACTGTCCTCCCACCAGCCATGTCGAGGGTTCCCTGGATCACTCACCGTCGTGCAGCGTCGCCCTGGCGAAGATCCTGACAGCGCGCACGGCGGCGCGGCAGTTGTAGGGCGTGACGTGCGCCACGTCGCGCACCACCAGCGCCAGCGCCTCGCAGCAGCGACTGTCCTCCCACCAGCCATGTCGAGGGTTCCCTGGATCACTCACCGTCGTGCAGCGTCGCCCTGGCGAAGATCCTGACAGCGCGCACGGCGGCGCGGCAGTTGTAGGGCGTGACGTGCGCCACGTCGCGCACCACCAGCGCCAGCGCCTCGCAGCAGCGACTGTCCTCCCACCAGCCATGTCGAGGGTTCCCTGGATCACTCACCGTCGTGCAGCGTCGCCCTGGCGAAGATCCTGACAGCGCGCACGGCGGCGCGGCAGTTGTAGGGCGTGACGTGCGCCACGTCGCGCACCACCAGCGCCAGCGCCTCGCAGCAGCGACTGTCCTCCCACCAGCCATGTCGAGGGTTCCCTGGATCACTCACCGTCGTGCAGCGTCGCCCTGGCGAAGATCCTGACAGCGCCAGCGCCTCGCAGCAGCGACTGTCCTCCCGCCAGCCACGTCGAGGGTTCCCTGGATCACTCACCGTCGTGCAGCGTCGCCCTGGCGAAGATCCTGACAGCGCGCACGGCGGCGCGGCAGTTGTAGGGCGTGACGTGCGCCACGTCGCGCACCACCAGCGCCAGCGCCTCGCAACAGCGACTGTCCTCCCACCGGCCATGTCGAGGGTTCCCTGGATCACTCACCGTCGTGCAGCGTCGCCCTGGCGAAGATCCTGACAGCGCCAGCGCCTCGCAGCAGCGACTGTCCTCCCGCCAGCCACGTCGAGGGTTCCCTGGATCACTCACCGTCGTGCAGCGTCGCCCTGGCGAAGATCCTGACAGCGCGCACGGCGGCGCGGCAGTTGTAGGGCGTGACGTGCGCCACGTCGCGCACCACCAACGCCAGCGCCTCGCAACAGCGCGCGAGGGCCGCTGTTCGATGCCCGCGGAGGGTAATCTGCTCGTCCTCCCACCAACCAGTGCCGGGGGAACCTTCCACCATGGGAGCGGCTTCGTTCTTCACCTGGGAGGGGTTCTTTATAAAAGATGGCAGCATTGGCAGCAATGTGCATCAACAACCACGGAAGAGATGCAATGACGGCTATCGTTTTAGCGCTCACCAGTTAGCGCCACTGTAGAGTAAGGTCCTGTCACTTGCTAGTAGCGAAGACAGTGGCGCCAACTTGTGAGCGCTAAAGTGGTAGGAGGACTATCGCATTTGCACTCATCAAGATGGCGCCACTGTAGAGTAAGGTCCTGTCAATCGCCAGGGGTGCCAACTGTTAAGTATAAAAACGATAGCCCTCACGCGCCTCACCACTTTTTGGTCCTAGGGAAGCGCGGGGTGCGGGGAGTTTAATCCGAGCAACCCGAGCGTCATTATTGTAGTGTGCGTGTGCGCTCATGGATACTGTCATGTCTATGGATGACGTCTCCATAGAAACACATTGTTTTATAATAAAATAACATGATGGATTAGCGAAATGCTGTTTATTTATAATGAGGGCTATCGTTTTTACACTTAACAGTTGGCACCCCCTGGCGATTGACAGGACCTTACTCTACAGTGGCGCCATCTTGATAAGTGCAAATGCGATAGTCCTCCTACCACTTTAGCGCTCACCAGTTGGTGCCACTGTCTTCACTACTAGCAAGTGGCAGGACCTTACTCTACAGTGGCGCTAACTGGTGAGCGCTAAAACGATAGCCCTCATTGGCAACGTTGGACATGGAAATAAATAAAACAAAACGAACTATAAAGCAGCCCTGAAGGGCAGCCTTACACGAACACAGAATATTGTAAGTACAGTGACTGAAATCTCCGACGAAGGGATTACATTCCATCGACCAAAAAGTGGTGGGGCGCGTCTTCGTGGATGAAACGATCTATATCTTTAATTAAGAAAAACATTTTAAAAACTATTACAATGAGGACAAGAATGCTTTAACGAATCATATCCGCAGTATACTTACCAGAATCCACCCTTGCTGCGGCGACTGCGAGAGTTCGCTCTCCGACGAGGCACTAGTGGGTCGTCGCTCACTCTCATCTTCCGAGCCTTCTGATCGGCTCGACGCTGAAACATCGTTAGTCAATAAAATTCTATGAAACTACAAGTACATACAGGAAAAATGTGGAATTGGGCTTTTTCTAAATGAAAAGGTCACATTCCGACGCGTTACGGAATTAAATCGAATGTATGGCGTCACAAAGTAATTTACTCATCGAAGCACAGCTGATACAAGTGTTTTAATTTAAATTGTAACGTCACAACTACAGCGACAGATTCTGGCCAAACAAGTTAGCGAGATATGATGTTCCCGTGTTTCTTCCTTAGTCATCTTACGACATCTACGGGAAGATTTAGGAACTTTGAGATAAAGATGGTACTTAGAACTTACTGGTGTTTTGAGCATCGGCCGGCACTCCAACGGGCCAGGCGCCGGCACCGGCGGCGCATAGCAACGCGAACAGTATGCGCCATTCATCCGCGCTGTGTACGTTTTGAGCTGATGTCTTCACTATGTCGTATAGACCGCAGGAGATCTGTGGGAGAAGGAGTAACGTTTATTTATGGACTCAGTCGGTAATATCAGTAGAAAAGATTACAAGAGTATTGTCTGCCGTAATGCATGACACGCAGTGCTTATATGGTGCATGTAATGCATGAGGTGTACTTTGCGGTGGTAAATAGTAACGTCTTAGCCGCGCGGCGTTAATGAGACATACGGCGCTAAATATGAGCCATACGGCCCTACAGTAGTAGTGTATGAGCTGTGAGGCGCTAATGAGCCACAGGGTGGTAAATATTAGCCATAAGGCGCTACAAAAATAGCGTAAAATATGAGCCATGGTGTGCCGACAGTAACTTATGAGTCTCGCGTCGGTAATGAATCAAACGCCGTTCCTTTCCTACTGCACATAACACGCGATACGCTACAGCAGTAGCTCTTGAGCCATTCGGCGCTACAATAGTAGCGGTTATAGTACAGCTGAGGGGCAGACTTTATTAAAGCTGTGGGGTGAGGCTACAGTCCAACTGTGGGGCGTGCCGAAGTAAAACGGTGGGGCGAGTCTATAGTAATACCACAGAACAGTAATAAGTACAGAAGGTTTACTTCGCGAAGGTATTTAAAAAAATGTATGCTCAATGTCGTTATGGTGTAATTTAGCTTGTATCAAGAGTCGAGCACCATTTTGTTGACAAACGTCAGTGGTCGGTACTGCGCCTACTGGGTGAAGAATACACGTGCGTGCGTCAGTGCTCGCTCGTGATTGTCCTGTCGAATAGATATCTCAGGAGATGTAGTCGCACGTGTTTTGTTTCCGATGCAAACTCGCGGAGATGAACTGGCCTGGTAATACTAACCGCGGGCGTGTGCTGCTGTAACGGTTTATGCGGCAGTTGCAGCAGTAGCCTCAAATGCTGCAATACAGGCGCGGCGCAATGGTCGCAGCGCATGAGACGCGCGGCGCTACAATAGTACCGTATGAACGTATACTATGGCTTATGGTGCGCCATGTGGCGCTCCTACTGCACATAAGACGTGGAATGCTACAGCAGTAGCTTTTGAGCCATTCAACGCTACAATAGTAGCGGTTGTGATACAACTGAGGGGCGGACTTTAGTACAGCTGTGGGGCGAGCTGCAGTCCAACTGTGGGGCGAGCTACAGTCCAACTGTGGGGGCGCGCTACAGTCCAACTGTGGGGCGAGCTACAGTCCAACTGTGGGGCGAGCTACAGTCCAACTGTGGGGCGAGCTACAGTCCAACTGTGGGGCGAGCTGCAGTCCAACTGTGGGGCGAGCTGCAGTCCAACTGTGGGGCGAGCTGCAGTCCAACTGTGGGGCGAGCTACAGTCCAACTGTGGGTCGAGCCACAGTACAACTTTGAGGCGAGCCACAATATTTACCGCAGGCGTGTGCTGCTGTAACGGCTTATGCGGCAGCTGCAGCAGTAGCCTCAAATGCTGCAATACAGGCGCGGCGCAATGGTCGCAGCGCATCAGACGCGCGGCGCTGCGCAGGAGTGCGGTGAGAGTGCGCGTGAGAGTGTAGCCGCAACGGGAGGCCGACCACGTGACCACGCGGCGGATGTGCGGCCCGGCTTCGTCCCACACTGTGAGGAGGCGGTCTCTGAAAAAATAAGGTAAAAGAAGAAGCTATAGTGAGGAAAGATATTGACATATTATGATTTAACAGAGCATACAAATCTGAAGCATATTTGACTTCATAGCTTGGTAGCTGCAGTATCGCAAGCATGCTATAAAACAATAAAAATAAAGAATTACAGGCTAAAGAAAATTATTGAAATTCTTCAAGCCTGGACGACCCCGCGAACCACCATTCTAAGGGCTTATTGTGAGTTTACATCAAACGTCGTCACTAGTGAGCGCGTCAAAAATATCTATGAAGATTTTAGTTCTTGAAAGTATGCGCTAGGGTCGCTGTACAATCCGTCATACATTTATTAATGTCATTTTTCTGCGCAGTCACTAGTGAACACTTTGATGTAAACTCACACTAAGCCCCCTGCTTGTGACCATAGCTAGGGCAGTAGCAACACAGCCAAAACGACAAACTGTAAGTACTCGTGTACTAAACAAACCATTTACCTGTTTTGTATGAGCGTTTGCTCCAGCAGTTCTAAGTAGAAAATGGTGACGTCTTCCAAGGGTGGATTCATCTGGAGGCTTTCAGCGTCAGGCGGGGTACCCGCCACCACCATCGCTCGGACTAGTTCCTGACAAAGAAGAACATTATGCTAAAACTAAACTAGACTACTACTAATAATAATAATAATTTATTTTATAACACCTTCAAACTTTATTGTATCATTCATAGTAGAACCGCAGCTTTTTCACAGTATAAAGTAAATTAATCACTCACTGGCTGCTGCGATACAGGCCTGCGAGCCTAGTGCAAGAGCCGCTGTTAAACTCAAATTACGTAACAATTTTGGCAATAAAGTTTGTTTATTTATTATTATTATTATTTGGTATGACAACCGATAATAGCCCAACGGCGTCAGTTTCAAACATAGACTCGAACTTCGAACCCCGACGCCACTGGACTTTTGTGGTTTAGATTACTACGAGGGCTTAACGGGACTATTAGTAATTAATTCTAAAAAGAATAAAAAAAGTCCGTGGATTAGATAGGTAAGTTCATATTAAGAAATTGAGATGTCATTCTACAGAATCTATGAGTGAAACATCTGAAAGGAATACGGTGAAAAGAATAAATAAAATAATTTCTACTCCTTACTTGTAAGCTCTCGAGTTGTAAGAATTTGGTTTCAGTGACCAGCAGTCCGGGCAAGTTGCATTTGGCCACGCAGTCTGTTGCTATGTCGATCAGACTCTTTTCGTGAGGCGTTGGGGTTCGAATACCTGAAAAAAAAATAGTATTAAGAATCATTTTATCTTGCCTTTTTTTGCTCGCATCTTTCATAATGACCATGAAGTTTCATAATAATATCTCAATATAATAATAGGTATAGCCTGACCAGGAACATAAAAACCCCTGGCATAGAGGCGCATCAATCGCATTTGATAGTGCAACACTGAGTACAGTCGTACCTGTGTTAAATTAATAGGCTAACTTTATTTATCAGGATTAAGGATTACGGGCTAATTTAATATTTTCATAAATTAATTTTATGAAAATTTGACAACCTTTGTTGGAAACATTATTCAATAAAAATATTGTCCGAACCCTTGGTATTTCTCTTCTACAAATACTTTAACACATTGTGAACCACTTTTCTTTCACGACTATAAAAAGATTTTAGCAATTTCATTCACAAAATCAATTGCGCACATTTAAAATAAAGTTTGTTTACACTTTGACAGCAATAGACTGACATGCAAGGTGACATGTCAATGAGGTTTTTAGTTATTGTTGCCATTAAAAGAAATTAGTACCATTAGATTTCCGCAACATGGCGAGGGTTTTTATGTTCCTGGTCAGGCAATAGATCGTTTCATCCACGAAGACGCGTCCCACCAATTCTTGGTGGAGGAAAGCGCGGGGTGTGGGGAATTTGATCCGAGCAATCCGAGCGTCATTATTGTAGTGTGCATCATGGATAATTTAGCGTGTACCGATAACACTCAATTAGCGGAAGAATGGTGGGGCGCGTCTTCGTGGATGAAACGATCTATAATATTCTCATATTTACCTGATTCTCCCAGTGCGATGTAAGAATAAATGCTGGACAGCAAGCCGGCCTCCGAGCCTCTCGCGGCTTCTCTCAGAAGCGAAACTGTCCCGTTCGGTGCTAGGTAGTCTTCCACTTCCACCATACTCTGCAAAGAAACAAGATTGTTTATCCAAACTAGCCCTTATAATTAAGGCTAGGTTGCACCATATTTTTTAACTTTGACAAACGTCAAAAATCTGTCAAACTCCATACAAAAAGCACATGTTATCGTTATACTTACCGTTAAAGTTAAGTGATGCAACTCAGCCTTAGTCACTAAACGTATTTACATGCCAGCAGAAGCCTTGTTAATATGAAAAAACACCACTGGTAAAGGCTCAACCAAGATCCGGCTCGAAGGACCATGTTCAACTATGATGAACAAAAATGCAATTGCATTACCCATGAATAAAGTGGTTACTGAACACTGATAGCACTGGTAGGCACAATCAACTCAAAAGACTATGTTCAACCACGTTCAAATGCATTACCTATTAAAACACAGTAATGTCGTGGCAACGACTGACTTAAATTCAAAATAGCTTTCTACACGAACAACCAGGTGGCGCTGGTGGTAATAGACAATACTTATTTTGTTACAGATTAAATAACTAAAATAACATTACCTTAGGCAGTAGTCGTCCCACGAACAGTGTAGTGACGATATCCAGTAGGTACTTCCACGCGTCACGCACGCAGTCAGCGTGTCTTGCTGCCACCGCACATGCGCGTCTTAGAGCCAGCTGTGCCTTGCTGGACTGGCCCAGCGTCACACCTGTGGCAAGGAGTTAAGGTTTATTTTTGTTTGTGTCGAGTGTAATTTATTAATTTACTTGAATCAGGAATTTAATCTGGCGCCACTTTCCATAGTCAGGCTAACCTGAACAACTCTAGTAGCAACGGAAACAAAATATTGCTGTTAGTAATATTGAATGAGGGCTATCGTTTTTATACTTAACAGTTGGCACCCCTGGCGATTGACAGGACCTTACTCTACAGTGGCGCCATCTTGATGAGTGCAAATGCGATAGTCCTACTACAACTTTAGCACTCACCAGTTAGTGCCACTGTCTTCGCTACTAGCAAGTGACAGGACCTTACTCTACAGTGGCGCAAACTGGTGAGCACTAAAACGATAGCCCTCATTGACATGGCACTAGTGACGTAGCGCTAATGTCATACTTATGGCCATCTAGTGTTGCCGCTAGTGACATGGCGCACCAGTGTTGCCATTAGGAACACGGCGCTTGTGTCGCAGTGAGCGTGCTGATGTTGCCGCTAGAGATCCAGCAGTATTAGCGTTAGTGACATGTAGAGATTGCAAAATCCGGATTTTTTTTAAATCCGGTTTTCCGGATTTGTGTTACGTACAAATCCGGATTATCCGGATTTTTCGAATATTGGGTAAATTTTTTAAACCATCAATTTAATTTAAATAAAACGTAGTTTTTTTTTCAAAAAGATGTAAGTATTTGAAGAAAAGCGTTTTATTTTATTTTCGCGCATGGAATTTATTCCTCTTATTTTCGGTTTGCGCTACAAATTTCGAAATTATTTGAACCTTGCATTATTTTTTTTCGTTTTAGTACAACTGCATCAACTCGGTCAAAACAGGAAGCGATCACCGAATGGTAAGAGGCACATTGAATATCAGACCCAAGCTCGAGAGATGTCGACTGATGAAGTGATGATGATGATGATGATGACTTACACTTGCAAGGGATATTTGCCGATTTAGCTGCTCTTTAAAACTCAGCGATATGGTGTTTCAGAATCAGCGTCTCGTATAAAACTCACTGGCCGACTAGCGACTTCACTTACGCATGCGGCATGACGCTTCATTGTGCAGGCACAGTGCAGGTGTGAGTGTTGTGCGACGAAGTGCGGGTGCGTTCAATCAAAACTTCGCTTGTTTTGCATCCATGTTGCATCAAATAGATATTTTGGTTTATGATTTTATGATAAAATTTTTGGGGTAAAAATATTCGAAAAAACCGGATTTCAAAGTCAAAATCCGGATTTTTTTATAGGCTCAAAATCCGGATTTTTCAGATATTTTCGAATTTCGAATAATCCGGATTGCAATCTCTAGTGACATGGCACTAGTATTTCTAGCTCACGCTCGAGCCCGCTCAGCGCTGTAGCGCGGCGCTAGTGTCTCCATACCTATGGCGCGGTAGTGGTGCTGCGGCGCGGCTACAGCGGGCTGCAGCGCTGTGAACTTGCACAGCGTGAGCAGCAGAGTGTCCACCGTCAGCGCGTCGGCCGGCTGCCGCGCTACTAGCGCTGTAGCGCGGCGCTAGTGTCTCCATACCTATGGCGCGGTAGTGGTGCTGCGGCGCGGCTACAGCGGGCTGCAGCGCTGTGAACTTGCACAGCGTGAGCAGCAGAGTGTCCACCGTCAGCGCGTCGGCCGGCTGCCGCGCTACTAGCGCTGTAGCGCGGCGCTAGTGTCTCCATACCTATGGCGCGGTAGTGGTGCTGCGGCGCGGCTACAGCGGGCTGCAGCGCTGTGAACTTGCACAGCGTGAGCAGCAGAGTGTCCACCGTCAGCGCGTCGGCCGGCTGCCGCGCTACTAGCGCTGCGCAGCGCTCGAGCCCGCTCAGCGCTAGTAGCGCGGCGCTTGAGCGCGTGTTGTTGGACTCGATTTCCTCGGGGGAGGGCGGCGCGGCGCGCTCGAAGGCCGCTGATAGGGCTGTTACCTGAGAAATAATGTGTTTTATTTAGCAGGAAGCATCCAACAAATCATTCATATAAATTCAGTTAGATAGCTCGCAGAATTAATGACTGTTGGAGCACAAAAATTGTCGATTAGTGACCTCAGACCAGACGATGTACTCGTAGTGTAGGTAGGTCTCCCATTCAGTGAGCTTACGATATAAGTAGTGAAGGTCGTGGGAAACTTCTGAATGAGGCGTCGAAGGAGGAGTTGTTGTGGAGATCCTTGTGCTTTACCTGACCGTTTGACCAGGAGTAGACGTTCTTTGGTTTAAAACGAAGACTCTCTCTCTCTCGCATTCTGCTGATAGTTAAAAAGGCGTATCTCAGATTTTTTTTTCGGATAACTCAGACTAAAGGAGAGCGAGCACATGTAAATTATTTGAAACTTTTTTATATCCGTTTCGACTTGTTGTCACATGCGCCATTTAACCATCGAGGGCATTTTTGACCAGGAGTGGATACTCCTACCTCCTACTAAAGGACGTCCACTCTTGGTCAAAGGCCCAAGTTGAGCCCAAGGTTTTCCACGACAACCACTCCTGCGCTGCCCTTATCCAGCTGTTTCCCGCGACATTCATTTTTTTCTTTAAAACAAAACTTTTCTCTTTTCTTTCTCTATCTATATCTATCTCACTCACCGCACAAGGGCAGACAACAGTGAACAATCTCGCGTGGTGCGGATGGGCCGGCGCGGGCGCGCGGTACGCGGCGGCGGCGGTGCGTCCGCGCCTCTGTAGTACCCGCCATAAGTAGGCCTCTCTAACCGGACCCACTCGCTCTGCTGGCATCACCATCTCTTCGTTCCTGGGGGATGAGAGATGTAAGTACAACGCCATCTCTGGGCCGGTGGTGGAACTACTTTAGAGTTTCACTAGTCATATGGTTGTAACCCCACTCGCTCTGCTGGCATCACTATCTCTTCGTTCCTGGGGGATAAGAGATGTTACAACGCCATCTCTGGACCGGTGGTGGAACCACATTAAAAACAAGTCGCGTCGTATCAACCTAACTTTGAGCCACCTAGGCGTCTCGCTTCTCTCAAACGAATCAACAAGATTGCGCTCCAAAGCACAGAATTCGCTGTTTTTCCTGTATTTATATTCGAAAAAAAGCTAACATAAGTAAAGTTTTATAAAAAAAAAAAACCGACTCCAAAAAACCCTACACTAAAAAGTAGAAAAATAATTACTAATTACCTACTTATTTATTAGGACGAATTATTAATATTTATGTAGGTATACCATGATTGATAATTCTGGAGTCGGTGCCAAGATTATGAAACATGTAAAGTTTGCCTGCACCGACTCCAAAAGTATCAATCATGGTATACCTACATAAATATTAATAATTCGTCCTAATAAATAAGTAGGTAATTAGTAATTATTTTTCTACTTTTAAGTGTAGGTTTTTTGAAGTCGGTTTTACTTTTTTATAAAATTTTACTTATTTCTTGCTTTTTAGTTAACTAATTATTACCTTGATGTTACCACTGAAGGTAGGCAGTACATTGAGACCATATTCTTAATGTATATTATAAAAAAGTTCATCCCCAATTTTCCACCCTTGGGGGTGAAATATTTTCTTCAAATTCGCATGAAACCACCCTTTTGATAATACCTATTCAACAAAAAAATAATAGTTCAAATTGGTTCATAAACGGCGGAGATATTGCGTATAAAAAAGTTCATCCCTAGTTTTCCACCCTTGGGGGTTGTTTTTTTTTACTATTAAATTTAAATGGGACCACCCTTGAGGTATTACCTATACGCTGAAAAAAGATTTGTTCAAATCGGTTCATAATTGGCGGAGTTATCGCGTAACAAACATAGAAAAAAAAAACCATACGGGTCGAATTGAGAACCTCCTCCTTTTTTTGAAGTCGGTTGAAAATCATTTTAAAGTTATACATTTTGCTAAATACTTCACGTTTTGATCGGATTACTTCCTTAAACTCGTTAAAAGGAATAAAATTATCACTAGATGTCGGCACTCTTTTATTTATTTTATTATCAAGTATAAATAATATCATTAATCTCACTTTTTTATTAACGGTTGAATTAGCAAATCTGTGTGCACAGTATGAAGAAACTATTATTTGTTGTCTCTACAGTATATCATAAATTATTATTTGTTATTCCTTTGTTCATTTTGTATGAACAGTAGGTAATGAACAAAATGATCAACAAATTCATCAACTGCGCTGCTTTTTACAAGTAGTGTAAAGTACTGCCACCCACCAACAGATGGCGCTGTGTGTCGATTGACTCGCGGTTCCATTTGATTTTTTCCGAAACTTGACTACCTCCAAGGAGTTGGGGTATCGTTAAAAAGGGTGTTTGCCGCTTCGATGGCACGCGCGCCGGCCACGGGGCGTGGGGTATGGCCATCAAGACATACTCAACACGTAATTTTTGTTCAGAGAGGCAGTTGGCTACCCATAAGTACCGGCGCCTCCTCTGCCAGAAAATACCAATCCTACATCGTCAATATCATCAGTAATCATCACTAACAATAATGACAGAGTTTCTTGCGCTTCTCAGCACTGGCCCATTTATTATCCCAAAGTAGTAGGTAGTTTGGTTAATATTGGGTTAAAAGCCTTACAAGAGTTTTAAGGCTGATTTACACGTATTAAATAGATGAGTAGGTAACTTAATTTTTCGGGTAAGTTGGTGGGCGGGGCATGTCACTTGACACGTTTTGACAAGTAGTTTTTTTATATTCTATGTATAATAAGTATGTATTTACAAAAAAAAAGTATTTAAGTATGTTTATATCCGTTCTCTAGTACCCATAGTACAAGCTTTGCTTAGTTTGGGACTAGAAGCGCAGTGTAAAATGTCCAAGGATATTTATTATTTATTATTATTATAGTAAACAAGAGCCTGACGTTTGGACATAGACTTAAAATTAAGTTAAAAAGTTATGATGCAATTTGATCATTAATTAAGTTAAAATTTAGTTATCTACTTAATGCGTGTAAATGAGCCTTTCTGAGTTTACTCACTTGATAGAATAATAAACAGCTTCCAGCATAGCCTGATCGAAGTCTCCAGAACCGTTGCACCCTCGTAGATTCTTGACGAAGTCATCAACAGTCATGGGCACGTTCAGTTTCTTCGCGTTGTGATTGTGTTGGTCCATGTTAAGCATGATGACCGCGTAGGCCAGGCGGAAAGCCGCGTCTGTGTTGGCAAATGGCTCGCCGTTTGTGGACTGTGGGTGGAATAAGGGTGATTTAATTTGACACTGTTTTATAGCAGCATGTTGGATACAGTACTATCCGACCAAAACAATTAGGCGCACGGCAAACAAGGCGTCACTGGAGCTAGGGAGGTGAATATCAAATCACTTCGAGACAAACTGTTACCTAGTATTAGGTATGAAATTAGTACAAGTATACTAGTGACTAATGAGGGTGTTCGCGATTGAAAAATCCGCCAGATGGCAATACGTAGACGCGAGGTCCAAATGCTGCATGATTGGTTATTTTTGACATGACATTGACAGATATGTCAAAATCCACCAATCATGCAGCATTTGGACCTCGCGTCTACGTATTGCCATCTGGCAGATTTTTCAATCGCGAAAACCCTCATTGGATGAGAATGTTTAAGCAATTATCTAATGTGAGTGCAATTTAGTTTCCTGTCATGCTCCTAATTGTTGTGGTGGGCTAGTACGTTAAAACTTACCTAACTTTTTTATGAGATCAACATAGATACACCAAAAAATAATTTGAGGTCTTATACAGACACTTCTGAACAATAATGCAGAGCGACTGGTTCACACGAAGACCGATCTAGTAAGCTATGTCTATTGAATATCTTCGCTACTGTGTTTCCTCTCTCGGCTACTGTGTACCCATTCTCCACTACTATGTACCTGATCTCCACTACTGTGTACCCGATCTCCTCTACTGTGTACCCACTCGTCAACACTGTGTACCTCTCTCTGCTAATATGTACTCCCTCTTGAAATCAAAATCAAAATTATCTTTATTTGTTTAGACTAATTAAATTAGTACTTGCAAATCGTCAAATGCTCTTAAGGAGCCTATACATGTCTCATTCTTTTTTTGCTCTACCAGCGCTTCGAGACAAACATTTGGCAAGTGCTGAGAAGAAGCGCCGCAACAAACTCAGTCACCTTCACCATCTTCGCTACTGTATACTCACATGCCACCTCTCAGCGAACTTCTCCATAACCAGGAAGATCAAGGGCGCCTCTCCTGGCAGGCGGAAGGTTTCCAAGTACAGACGGAGCGCCTGATCGATGCGAAGTCCAGTGTAGTCAAAACTGTCAGCGAATGCTCCTAGCACAGTGCTACCGCTTTCGCTGTCGTCCTCGCCGCGAGACGAACGCTTGCAGATGTACTCGCCTGGAATATAAAATTGATATAAAAATAAGAAGCGACGCGACAATTGGCTAGGAATATTAAAAAAAACTTTTGATTTTTGGTCTACTTTCCTTTCAATCATTCAACCAAAAAATACTTTTATGCTTTGAATATGTTTTCTATAAAGTAAGACTAACGCCCGTATTCACAAACATTACTATGAGGTCTCACAGTGCGCGTGGACGCACAGGGTCACATATACTCTATTCAACGCTGTGCGTTCGATTTGCTGCTTCACTTAGGCGGTTATCACACTGCGCCGCGCTCCGCCGCGGTACGCGGGACGACAGTTTTAATCATTGTATGCAAGTACCTCAGTTTGTATAGAAAACACGCGCGGCACAACACACTGACAACGCGTCTGCGTGCGGGATTTTTTATATGAAATCACGCGCTCCGCGGCGGAGCGCGGCGCAGTGTGATAACCGCCTAAGGCAAGCATCGTTTGTGAATACGGGTGTAAATAAACAATTTTTTTTTGGACATTTTTACACAGCAGCATCTAATGTCATTCAGTTACTCACCAATCATTTTCTTATCCAAATCAGGATTTTCTCTGAGGAAGATTGCAACTTCGTGAGGATCTAAAGGAGTCTTTAGAACCCCATGCTCTTGCAAGAACTCTATTCCACGTTCTGGCTTCTGGTTGAACAATTCCGTGCCTTGGGTTACCCACTGCAAGATAAAACCATAACTTAAAATCTTATTAAACCACCAGTCATTCAATTTGGCATAAGAAATTAACTGTTTCGTAGTCATTAAATTACAGATCGAATACGCAGGCATAAGAGCCAATGGGAATCGTTTCTAACCAATAATAAACTTAATAAGTGACAGTTGATGTGAATATTGAAATGATATTTCAAAAGTACTGAATATTTGTCTAGATCGGAAACGTATAATTACCTTCTTCATATTCCTTATATTGTCCAACTCGGCCTCAGTGGGGAGGTTTGTGGTCGCCTTATGACGGCCCGTCCTCCCCGGAACGAAGTACTGGCTTATATCGTGCGTCACGTGATCGCTCACTACCGACGCATCATCCATCCCTCCCAACTCCAATGTCACGTGACCGCCACGCCCATATTTTGACTCTTTCTCCTCTTCAACATTCAATATATCCGTCTCACTCTTACTCTCAATCTTGGGCTGCGTACCCATTTCGATTGCGTCTATAATAGTCAACAACACTTCTAGTGATAGCGAGTGAATGTTGTAAGCTGTTGAGGATATAACGTTTTTGGATAATAATTTAGTGAGCTCCTCGAAAACATTCATACAATACACGTCACAGTCGTAGTTTAAATACAGCTCTGTACAGTAGCCTGGTATCCTAAACAGCTGAGCTAAGCTCTCGAGGGCTAAATGCTGGATCTCTTTCAGCTCGTATATGGCTTTGGACGTGTCCATTGATATAATTTCGATGATCTTCTTGAAGAACGCTTCCATTTGGAACTTGAGCTGGAAACGCAGCGCTTCGAAGAGAAGGAAGGACACTTGCAGGTCTAACGCGAAAATCGATATCCTCTCCGTGCCTAGAAGCTGTAAAAATATAAAGTTATTGGGTTATTAAGATGTTAGGGTAACATAACAAGGTCTTTTCTAAAATTCGTTTGACCTGGATCAACTTCTAGTCTAACTTCGACTACTAAAGGGAGCTTGCGACAATGCGTGTGAGTTTCTGCAAATCGTTAGCTAGTAGAAACTCTTGAGGACAGTTGACCACAACCTGAAGCTAGAGCTAGAAGCTGTAGACGAATTCTCATTGCCTTGTGCTAAGACTAAAATCAATAGTCCTGCTGACTCACTTGATTGTACCTAAGGATACTCGCTAAGAGTTTTCCACAGAGTAAAAGTTTTGAATCCGTGACATACGTCTGGGTACCCCTCATGGCACCCTTCTTCTTATTCGTTTCGCTTTTGCCAGATCAGTCGTGGTCACGTTGAGCCATGGCTCCCACGGTCAGTGAATACTCGTATTTCTACACAAAAAAACCAACCGATCCGGTACGGTTAGACACCAGTTCTGCTGTCTACAGGGCTACAGTGAGCTCAGCAGCCTCAGACACCATGGCGGAGTGTTCTGCTGTCTACAGGGCTACACAGACAGCAGCTCGGACACTCACGCTCAACAGGTTCCTGCACAGCGGGTCCCGCACGAGGTAGAACAGCGAGGGGCAGGCGGCCAGCTGGTCGGCGCCCACCTCCAGGGCCGTGCCCACCAGCGACAGTCCTAAGTGCACCATGGCAGACGTATTCTGGCTGTCTAGCGGGTTGCACAGTGAGATCAGGAACCTGTGAACAGATATCAGAAGATTCCGTTCAACTTCAAGGTGACATTTCTCTTGATATACGGTGGTGCCGGCGCAGTGCACGCTTTAAGGCGTGGCTACAAGTCTACGATGCGGCACCGGCCATCTTGTGACAGCACGGCGCCGCTACTGGAACACGACACGGCGTTGTGTCGCCGGATGATTGCTGCCGTGCCGGCACGGTTCACTATGCACAATGGACGATGCTGCACCATAGAAATGGCATCAAGAGTTACACTAAATTATTCGATCGACTAGTGCAAACAATTAAGTCAATGTTGGTTGCAGGGTTACAGATAAATTTTACAAAAATCCATTACGATACGACAAAACATAAAATAACCAAACAATAGCAATGATTTAAAGACGGCATAACTTTAACAGCAGGAAGGCGCTGGATGCAAGCCGCTACCACCCGATAATTCTGGTAATCATTGGGTGAGGCCTATGTTCAGCAGTGGACGTCCTGTGGTTGAAATGATGATGATAATTTTAACATACCTGAACAGCTCCCTGACGCAAACCAGCCCATACGGCTGCAGGTTGAGCGAATCTTCCTGCGGCGTGAACCGGATGCCTCTGTGGTTCACGTACTCCTCAAGCTTCTCCTTTTCGGCTGAAGCGTCCCCTGCTTCAGCCGGCTTCGTGCATGTGCTGCCGTCCTGCTCTATTACTTCGGCTGTGAAAGGGGAAGATGATTTGTGTGAGTACAGGTGATATGTTAAATGCAGGAATTGAAGTTCGTGGGGCTGGCTGATGATAAAACACTTGTACGCTATTAGAATAATAATACTATTATTTAGTAATAAATAATGCCAGAGTAATCCGTGGTTTTAGATGACACATTTTCACACAAAAACCACTGATCCAGTTTAGATATTTGGACAGAGACAGCTTGGAACTTGGTGAACAAAAATGAGCTGATAACACTTTGTTTGAGTGAACCCATATTATTTTAGATTAGCTTTCTTACTTAGACAGCTTCTACAAAGAAACTGTAAGGCCCAGAATAGACGGTGAAACGCAACTGCAACGAAACTGCAACTGCAAGTTACTTTTGAGTTGCATCTAAGTTTCTGCCATAGCGTCCGTTGAGAGACCACGCATGACGCGACCAGTTGGAAACTTTCAGTTTCAGTTTCATTCATCAGAATCATCAGAAAGTTGCAGTTGCGTTTCACCGTCTGTTCTGGGCTTTAGTCTTGTTGTAGTCGGCGTGGTCTGTCTCTGTACACTGACCACAGAATACAACACTATCTCATTAACTCCCTCCCTTTCACTCACCATCAGTCACTTCAACTTCCTCCTTCTGCTCGTCAGTCTTCTCCGCTTCATCGCTTTTCTCCGGCTCGGCGTCCTTATTCACGCACTTCTCCAGCAGTTGTGTGATGGACGTGTTCTGGGAGGCCAGGTCCATGGACGAGTGGCGGTTGTGCTTCTTGGTCGGCGTCTTCAGAGGGTCCACGGGTTCGATGGTGATCTCCGCTTCGTTTAGCAGGTTCTTGTCTTGGCTGGGGGTGGGACAAATGTTAAGGGTAAATAAAAAAGGAAACACTCTTACCTACAATGTTATGCAGGCATGAAGGGATGTGTATTTTTATAAATAAATGATAAATATGTATCTATGTATTATACCTATACATAAAGTAAGTACCCATTATTTCGTATGATGACTAACCGAGCCTAGTACAGTCAGTCTCAATTTCACACATCGCGCAAGCCCCTAAATATTTACCCGTCACAGAAATTAAAATTCATCATTTCAATTTTTGCCCGTTCTGCCAAACGGCCGACAATAAGTATATGTTTCATTCAGTAAGTATATTTTATGTTTGATTTTTAACATAGCCTGTAATTTGTATTCTTACTGGTGCCTCATTTTCTCCAACTTCTTTTCGTTGTCTGTCTCGGGGTCGGCGTGGGCGCTGGCTTGCTCGGTCATAGATGAATTCCTCTCTAACGAATTTGTACCTGGAACAATATCACTTTATTTTGATGGGGAGGAAATATTATACATGCGAAAGTAACTCTGTCTGTTACGCTTTCATGACTAAACCACTGAACCGACTTGAATGACATTGGTTTAGAGATAGATTCCCGGGAAAGGTCATAGGATAATTTTTATCCAGATTTTTGAAACAGGAATGTGTGATAAAGTTTTTGTGTCAAAAAAAATTCACGCAGGCGAAGCCGCGGGCAAACGCTAGTGTAATAATACTTATTAAGTAGTTATTACGTGTGTATGAAAAAGACCTAATATTTTTTGAATGAAATCAATATCTATTGATAGCAAGCAAGATAGGTAACTGATTAACAGGTTTTGACATTGATTGTGAAGTGCTTTGTTTTGATAGCTTTTGACTTGAATGAAATCCATACATACTGTAAACTACTGACACTGTTATTGAAAACATGAGTTTTCCAAGTTTATATTTGACCTTGGGTATCTTTACTGGTAAAATTATGATATCTGGCAATTCTGGCAGAGGAGGCGCCGGTACTTATCGGTAGCCAACTGCCTCTCCGAACCAAAAATTACGTGTTGAGTATGTCTTGATGGCCATACCCCACGCCCCGTAGCCAGCGCGCGTGCCATCGAAGCGGCAAACACCCTTTTTTAACGATACCCCAACTCCTTGGAGGTAGTCAAGTTTCGGAAAAAATCAAATGGAACCGCGAGTCAATCGACACACAGCGCCATCTGTTGGTGGGTGGCAGTACTTTAAGCTACTTGTAATAAGCAGCGCGAAGTTGATGAATTTGATGATCACTTTGTTCATTACCTACTGTTCATACAAAATAAACAAAGGAAAAACAAGTAATAATTACTATGATATAGTAGAGACAAATAGTAATTTCTTCAGATTTGCTAATTTGCATGTTTCTGCCATTAAATTTGTTTATGTACACACTGCAATTTTTAAAAAGAAAGTGTCTTATCTGTTCAATGCAGTGGCATTTATCCCTTTATAATACAGGCTATTTCTCAACAAAAATCTAGTCCATGAGATGCTGTCGACATACTATACATATAACAAGGCTGCCCAACCTTTGGAAGAGTCAGGCCAAACGGTGGATTCAGTCGTTTACGACGGCCCACTTACATTTCCTATTACAGTTACTGTGATTTTTTAATTTGGTGCATACAAACCATACTTTCGCGGGCTACTTAGAATTATTTCCCAGCCACAGTGTGGCCCGCAGACCTTAGGGTTGAGCAGAAATACTATAAGAAGCTACTCACTATGAATCCCAGTCAGGCTCTTCTTCTTGGCGGTCTTGTCGCGTTTCTTCAGCGACAGCCCGACCGCGGCAAAGCTGGCCGACGCGGCGTCTTCTGGCGGGAACTGCGGCAGTCGCATGAATATCAGCTGGGTCATGTCTCGGAGACACTGCTCGGCGTTGCGGCGGAGGAGTTCTGAAAAGGTGTTTGAATTTGAGCTTTGTATTTATAGAAATAAGTGATATCACACAGTTTTGGGTGCTTTGTCATTTTGTAAAACTGAATAAGAGGGTGAAAGTGTTTCGACTGAAGAGTTCTGGAAAGGGGGAAGAATGTTTGATTTTGAGCTTTGTATTTATAGAAATAAGTGATATCACAGTTTTGGCTGCTTTGTCATTTTGTTTAAGACTGAATAAGGGGCGAAAGCATGGTCGTATCCTGCTTCTGCCCAAGAAAGGGGCAAGTCATATCCAGCTTCTGGCCTAAAGGGGGGCAAGTCAGGGGTTTTATGTCATATTTTTTAGATCAGGTTTTTTGGGTCAGATTTTTTGGTATCAGAATAAAACACTGAGGGCAATCTCAAATTCACCATGGTTCGCTAGAAATGTAGAGATACACGAGTACTTAGAGATGCCGACAGTCAGGGAGGAGGTGAGCAAATACTGTACCAAATATAAGGAAAGGCTAAAACATCACACAAACCAACTTGCTAGAGAAATTGTGGAACAAACCCACAAGACCACCACAAGACTGAAAAGATGGCAAATATTACAGTTGGACCAAAGATGCTAGTGGCTTGGACTGAATATTGGAAGGCTGGACTAGATTGCTACGTGAATTAGTAAAAACCGAGGGAGAGAATTTACTGGAATACCCCTCCTCATGAACACAAACAAAAAAAGCAAGACAAAACATCTGATTATGACCTAAGTCGATTGCAGATATAAAAAGGGAAAAAAAAAAAAAAAAGATTTTTTGGTAGCTGCCCTCTCCTGATCGGTACAGCCATGGGTGAAAGATTTTGGCTCTAGCTAGATTAATGATAATATGGTGTAGTTTATTTAGAATTAGTGGTTAAGAATATTCTAAACTTTATTATGTACATCGGGGGAAGCCTTTTATCTGCAGTAAGTAACAAGTGGGTTGATAATGATGTTATATTATTATAATCAATATCATGTATGTATTAGCTTAAGACCTTGTTACCATTGAAGCACTGATTATGATATTGATTAAGTATATTTTTTTATTTTAAATAGTACTACTAGAATGAATGTGAGAAAATGTTTACCTGTAAGTCTTGTCTCAAAGCAGATTCGAAAACAGCTGAGCATAATTTCACAGACACTTTCGTCGGTCAGCATCACTCCTTCAGGGCTCAACATAAGTGTGCGGAGTACCTGTCAAACAAAAACATTGATTGTGTTAAAATTATCATTAAGTAAAAAATTATCATAAGACACAAAACCTGGCAGTGCTTTTGAATATTATATTGAAATTGGTTAATCACATTTTTATTTGTAATTTAAAACTATTTTATAATTACTATTTTTAGGGCCTAACATTTGATAATAGTTAGAAAGCTATAGTCTAATTAGAAGTATTCCAGTTTGTTTGGCTAACAAAAATTGCACCAAAAGAAACTTAATTGCAATGATAATTGATTGTCATTCCAGTGAATTTTGTTTACAAAGAATACAGTATTGCTCCTATTGTGTTCATATTTTACATGCACAAGCCAATATACTAAGAAATATTTCATCATCAATAAAGAAAGTATTTGTTCTGAAAAAAGAAACCAACCTGCAGTATCTTCATGAGCACAACTCCGTCAGAAGAGTGGTCGGTGCCCACAAACCGGGCATGAGTGACTGCATCGGAAATGTCTTCCACTATGGCAGGCACGCTGGGGTGGGTTGGGTCTGAAGTAACATAAACATATTTTGTTAAACATTTTTATGTGAACTTTACAAAATTTACATTTTTATGTATTATTTTCCTTTTGCTTTATGATTTTATCGTTTTTCATGTATGGTGACATACATAATGGCAACTACATAAGACATATAGAAGTTTCTAAGTGCGAAATCATAATGAAAGTTACCTATTAGTCCATAGGATAAAAACTTGTGTATAGCTGATAGAGCTAGACTAGTCACAGGCCCAGTAGTTTCTTTGCTTCTGATGACTTCTAGGAACGGACTTAAATACGTCGCCGGGTCCAAGAGCCTCAGGTCGTCTACTTGATTGAGGATGATCTTCAAGTCTTGGAAGGTTTTCATGAGCACATCATATTCTTCGTTGGGGAAAGAATGCGAGCCCCAACGAGTACTTCTACGCATGGCAGTGACGAGCATTGCCATCTCGCCCTGCACCACGAAGATACCATTGCCAGGGAGCGACATTTTACTGATTTATTTCACAAAAACTGATCAACATCAACACCGTAGTAAAAATAACTTGGTTCCTAAGCGCACTTTCCACGAAACTACATATTTACACTGCACTTATGTACGGGTCCCACTGCAAAGTTGTAGTTCCTTGATAAAATTCACAAATTTAGACACAAAATATAGCAATATCAATGGAAATTCACAATTTGATTAGCAAGTTCCACCACGATCATGTTGACGTTTCAGAATTTTAGTTCCACTATTGCCCGCTTGGTGTCGCCAGTGAATCAGTATGAAAGTAGGCTATTCTCAAATCCATACGTCAGAAACTTTATTCGATTCCGATCATTCAATTGACTATTCATAATCTTATCGATTTTTATTGCATTGGTATTTGATATCCATTCATGTATACGCAGCCTACAATAACTTTTTTAATATATTTTTTTTAAATAGTAACACTGTCAAAATGTCTGACGGCCGTGGTTTACTTTTCTGACAAAAATTTCAGAAAATTAGATTTATTTCTTTGTTCTTCTCGATCTAACCTCGGTTCTATTAGATTGCATGTAACTGTAAGTAGCTAAACTATATATTAATAGAAAGTTGGCACTGATATAAGGTTCCTGCATGCATTTCTTGATGAATGTGCGTTGTCACGCGTGCAATGACTATCGACACAGATTTGTCATTTTTCTCTTTTTGTGTTCGTGGGTTATTATTACCACGTCTCTCGTTACGTGTTGCAGGCGATCTCCTGAGTTAACGCAACAATGGTTAAGAAAAAGAGACAGAGCGACCCCGGGGAGAACGGAGACGAGTCGACGGAGTCCTGCGACGAAAACGTCAAGTCCGCATGTCCTCACGTCGCCAAGGCGATCGACCTCACCCGCCTGAAGAAGACGTTGAAGACCGGGGGGTTCGAGAAGGAATGTGCGGAGTGCAAGAAGTCCGCCAAAAACGAAGTGTCTGACCCAGATTTTGAAGAAGACCTGAGTTTGTGGATGTGCCTGCGATGTGGCTCGCAGCTGTGCGGCCGCGCGCGGAACAAACACGCCCTGAATCACTTTAACACTCCCCACTCCGACTGCCATGCCCTCACAGCCAACACCACCTCCTGGGAAATATACTGCTACAACTGCAATAACGAAGTCACAGCGTCCAGTTCCAAAAAGCTCCATGAGTGCATTGAATACCTTAAAAAGCAGGCCGCAGCAATGGCAGGCGGCAACCTGAAATCCCTCCCTCCTATCGAGCTGTATTATGAAAACAAACCTAAAGTTGACCTTGTGTTACCAGTAGAAAACTTAACAAAGACAGATAAGGGGAAAGATAAAGCAATAGCATTGAACTTGCCAAGAGTGAGAGGATTATCCAATTTAGGAAACACATGCTTTTTCAATTCGGTAATGCAATGTTTAGCGCAGACCCCTTATTTAGTGCAAGTCCTGCAAGAAATGGCCAACCCTGGAGAGAGGTTTACGTTGCCAGGCGGGAAGTTAAAGATGAAGGTTGACGCAGAGGAAAGCAAGGATGTGGACCTGCCTCCCATTACCGGACAATTGGCTGAGTGGGGAACGCTAACCAGGACCTTGGCTGAGACATTGATAGATTTACAATCAGGTAATAGAATTTATTTTGATTATTGTTATGCTTGTGCAAAGCGTTCAATTAGTGTTGTTGTTTATTTCGTAAAAATAATTCTAAGCAACACCAAAAAGTAAATTAAATTGTATTGTAATACAATGCTATAATCAATTTACCTCAAAAGATACATCTAAGATTTCCATTCACTTAAGCCACAAGGACAAGGTTGGTTTTCTTTTAGCCAGGCAGACGATTCAACAATGATTATTAACATAACAGACCTTCACTACATCCTCCCTCAATGTTAATTAAAAAGAAAAAACATTGATATTTCAATTTATTATCTTCAGGTACACTTGAAATACATAATTAAAAATCTAAATTGATGTTATTAAAAGAAAGCAAAATGTTTTGAAATGTAGTTACATATTGGTAACAATAAAATGTTTGTTTGCCAATAATAGTCACATCAGAAACATATTTTAATTTTACATTACATCAGTGTTTTTATATGATGAATGCCAGTTGCTCATTGATTGTATCATTTTTTATCTTGCTACATTAAATGTCTCTTGCTATGTCAGAAAAAAAGAGAGTAAAAAATATATTGAAGATTTACAAAGTGTTCTGGTGAAAGTGAAAATAAGCGACTGTTCAGGCGACCTACATTAAAGTTTATTTTTACCTCAACCTAATTACAGGATGGTAAAGTCTGAAAATACCCTCGAAACATGCAGAGGAAAATTTTGCTTGATTGTATTCACAGTGTTATCTTGAAATTATGGCATTAATTTATTTTGGTTGTTGTCAATGATAAGACCGTTTTATTTCACAAACAATGATGGTTTGTTATATGATAGTGGTTGCATAACCCACTTATTTATAATTACTATCACCTCCTACAGTAGTATGATGATTGTCCACTATCAAGAATGTTATTGATCGTCAATTTTTATCATTCTGTTAAAAAAATAATTTTATAAATGTTACTTTGTTTGTGTAGGCAATTTTAAATGAGGATAATTATATTGACTAATGTTATACTTTATTTAAAAAATCTTGATTGCTATGTTCTGCTTGAATAACTCTTTATTTATATTGTCATTTAGATCTAATTACTGCACTTCAACTTTATGTAATTTTCTTTGTTACACAAAATATAATGTTTAACTTAACAATAAGTATATTTGGCTTTGATCCAATATGCTACAATATTTGAACCCGTCATTTCCGAAACGCCACGTCACACTTTTTTTTATGAAAATGTGCCCTTTTCACAGGGAATACGTAAAATGCATCAGTAAATAAAATGGCGCCAAAAAACTATATTTAAAAAATTGTGACTCGTGCCGTTTTCTAAATGACGGGTTCATTTATAAACTTGGACAATCCAACCACAGAGCCTTAGCAATTTTAAGATACATAGAAAAATCCTAATAAGTATTAAAGTAAATTGATTGATTTTATATGCAAAAATCTTGACGAATAAATTAATGTATTCCAGGCGAGAGTGGAGTATACACGCCGCGCAAACTGCTCATGTTCCTAGTGAACAAACTGCCTCAGTTCGGCGGCGGCGACCAACACGACGCCCACGAGCTACTACGACATCTACTTGAGGCTGTCAGGTGAGATTCATTAAACTAATTTAATTTCTACAAATAGGCTTTTAAAACGCTTTTACAGGAATTTAAGTAATGCGGCATTATTGAAATTAATCGTTTTTATCGTTTTAGTGACATGGCAGAGCGATTTCGCACAACGACCGATCCGAATCCGTGCGGTTTACTCACTAGATCCGATTTCTCTAGTTTTCTAAATTCGTATTTTGACGGGTTTAAATCGGACGTAGTGCGATAACGCTCTTAGATCGGAAGCATAAGAAAAATTTAAAAACTTAGCATTAAAGATGAGTGAACTTTAACAATAGCAAGAAGGAAATAAACAATCTTCAGACAAAGGACAATACATAAAGTATAAATATATTTTTAGCACTATTATCCAATACATAATGTAAATTGCATCTGTCATTACTTAGATTATTGAATGTTGTGTATATTATTTGTGAATTAAGGCTGATAAACGAGGAATGTATCTGTAAAATTCAGTATTTTGGTCTAGATATTTATTTGCAAGTAGTTAATAAAGTGGTACGCAACGTCCCCAGGTCGGAAGACCTCCGGCGCTACCAATCGGTGATCCTCAGCAGCCTGGGCATGAGCTCGAAGGTGGACCCGGCCAAGGTGGACGGGGAAGTCAAGCAGAAGGTCAAGTTCTACGGGCAGCAGGCGTCTGACACCATGCTTAGGCCAGAACAGGTAAGATGATCTTTTTTTGTCTCTATTATCTAAGGATTTTAGAGTTGATCTCAGAGGGCAGAGCACATAGTACGCAGAACTGGCGGCCGATGGGGCAGCAAGGTTCTTGAGTGGACGCAGCGTGGGACGTCCACCCACAAGGTGGACAGACGACATTATAAAGGCGCTGGACGCAGGCCGCTACCAACCTGGCATCATGGAAAGCTTTGGGGGAAGCTTATGTTCAGCAGTGGACGTTCTATGGCTGTGATGGTGATGATTATGATGAGAGTTGATCTCTAGATGATTTATGATGATACTAGATGTAGACTTTCTTAAACATGCTGATCAGTTTGCTAAGAGAGAAGATATAATGCTTCCAAAATGTGATATTCCAGAGTGAATAAGACCACTCTACCACTCTTCCCGCGGTTATCGACTATTGTAAGAAACGACTAAGAAACAAATATGCGAACGTCAGGCCTTCCCAACATGTCTAGCCAGAGTGGGGAGTGTACGCCACATACTCTAGTAAATTAAGACTTGACAGGCTTGTGGAGACTGAATGATCTGATGATGAACTGCGTAACATAGTAACGTAAACTGACAGTCCAAATGACCAATGATGTTATGTGTGGTCGCTAGCGACATTTTGGTTCTTGAAAGTAACCACCAAATGCGCTGTGCAATCTGTCATTTTTTACGCAGTCGCTAGTCGCACACCTAATGTAAACTCACAGTATCTTAACGGCTCAAGATCGCTTCAGCCTGCAATACTTCAAATGTTTTTCTATCACCCAGGTATTCCGAGGCTTTCTGGTTTCCACGCTGGAGTGCCAGGACTGCTTCCACCAGTCGGACCGTGCGGAGTACTTCCTGGACCTGTCGCTGCCTGTCGCCGCCAGCCGCCCGCAGCCTCCTGCTGTGGTGCGCAGGAAAACTCCCAACGGTGAGTGACAGCTGTCAACGTCACCTGTCAGGAATAGTTCTTGCAACTCACGAATACGAGTGAGCTTTACTTGTGTTTGTACGTGTACACACGGCCACACTGTTAACTATCCATTTCCGTTTTTGCTCTCGCTCTCATCAAATGGTGATTCTTTGCGATAGAACGAGACGACATGACAGGCAATGGATAGTTAACACTGTTGCCGATGGTACATGCACATAACGATTTGAAAAACGAACAGTAGCGAGCCACCACACATGTATTAGCTCACTCGCCTTCGTGAAATGCAACAACTTTGGTTTCGTGAGGACCTGAAAATGCCAGGCTGCCTTCGCTTGTTACCCAGTAACGAGTGTTGCAACAGCTGGAGAATACTTATGGACCAACTTTGGGTCTATTTAATCCCTATAGCAAGATGCTAGTTCAGCTGTGACTAAAACAGAATGCCTACATCTCCAAATCAGACCCTATTTTAAAACTAATAATGATCTTTTTGCCCTTGCCATGTGTGACTGTGTTAACATCCTAATAGGTGCCTTAAATGAGACGAAATAAGGCACAAACTGACTTGCCCACGTTATTTCAGAGGATAATGTGTCCAATGCCCCAGAGGAGAACAAACCCTCCAAGCACCAGATTAAGAAAGAGCGCAACGCTGCTAGGAAGGCGGCGCGGAAGAACCATGGTAGTGTATTTTGCACGATTTTATTTAGGTTGCTTATTAACTTTTGTGGCTAAAATTGACAAAAATAACAGAAACAATGCTAGTATAAATCTTAATTCAGTCGGTGGCTGAGTTTTTGTGACGGTCAAACGTCAGCGATACTTCAGATTATGTATGCTTTGTCATGTCATAGTCATAGCTGGGCATTAACTCGTTAATCCGTTAATCGTTAATTAACGAAGTTAACATTTCTTTTAACGGATTAACTTTTAAGTTAACTTTAAAAATTGTTAACGGACTCGTTAACTTCCGTTAAATTATCCTAAGTCCGTTAATCGTTAATCCAGAACCTACTATTTACCAAAAAGATACAGCAGGCACGCTGAAAAACGCGTTTTGACAAGTACGTTCCGGCTTCCATAACTTCCAGAACCCAAAACAACAGTTTTTGGATCCAGATCACTAACGACACTTGTTAAGAGTAGGTAGTAGATATGTGTGGAACAATTCTTGCAATTGAATTTAAGACCAGTTTTCCTCAACCGATTGAGCTGAAAATTTGGTATACTTATGTAGGTACGATGACAATACAATGTTATGGTACCATTGAGCTGGTCTGATGATGGAGTCAAGAGGTGGCCATAGGAACTCCTAAATGAATTGGCGGCATCGCATCTAATTTGGGTTCGTTGGATTTGTCTTTTCGAGCACTTTAGTACTAGATGATGTCCTGATGATGGAATCAGGAGGTGGCCATAGGAACTCCTAAACGAAACGGTGGGAACTTATCGAGTTTGTGTTTGCTGGATTTGTCTTTTTGAGCACTTTGGAGCTAAATTGTTTTGTAATCGAACCAAGGCTCTGAGATTGAGATACTTACTAAAAAGTGTAAAATAAAATTATAATAATTAAAAACTTTTTTAAAAACAAGCTTTTATTCTGAAATGCAGTTGTACTAAAACGAAAAAAATAATTGTAGGTACTTAAGCAAGGTTCAAATAATTTCGGAAGCTTGTAGCGCAAACATAAAAGAGGAATCCCATCAAAAACAATACTTGTCAAAAAAACCAAGTCTCGCAACTCAGTTGTTCTACGGTAAAAAGTTGTGAGATCCATGTAATACCAAGTCCAGGCCAGGAAATCTTTAACGTTTTACATAAATTATTGACTTGGCCATCGCACTAAATAATTTAATTTACACGTGTTTTCATGCGATGGCCAAGTCAATATATTTATGTAAAACGTTAAAGATTTCCTGCCCCCAAATATTTTAGTTTTTCCTTGATTCATACACCAAACACTACTTATATTCCAAATTTGAAGCTTCTAGGTCTGCTAGAAGTGCCTTAGAATTTTGATGATCGATGAGTCAGTCAGTGAGTGACAAAATTAAGTAACTTTGACCCGTTATAATTCTTAAACTACTGGTTCAAATTGAATGAAATTTTAAATATACCGTGTTTTTACAATGCCTGCAAATGAAAATTCAGCCTTCTAGTTTTATCCACAACGAAGTTACAGGCGGTCGAAAATGGCCTGAATTGCTTCGAGAAAAGGATGGTACGGCCGTGCCGCTTTTTTGCACGACTTGGTGGGGGCACTGCCGTGCCCCCAGATACAAGCATACAATACAAGCTTTCGAAATTATTTGAACCTTGCATACATTTACTTTTTTCGTTTTATTATCATGTGTTAACGGATTAACGATTAACGTTAACTTGCGTTAAATCTTGCGAAATGTAACGTTTTAACGTTTAACGAAGTTAATTTTTTTATTAACGGTTTAACGATTAACGAAGTTAACTATTTGATTAACGGTGCCCAGCTATGGTCATAGTCAATGTTACCCCTCCCGTGCCGCTTCTATACCTCATGTACTAACTGATTTAAGCGCTTTACCTGTATATACAAGAACTAAAGCCTGGTCCGTGAGCACGCAGAATTTTGTCCAATGACCCCCAGCTACCCATCCTTATCGCTCGCGCGTAATTATGTTGCTGTCGCGCTCGCACTCACTGCGGGCGCCCGTCACACAGTCGCGGCAGCAATATAATTACGCGCGAGCGATAAGGATGGGCAGCTTGGGGTCATTGGACAAAATTCTACGTGCTCACGGACCAGGCTTTAGTTTCAAAATCAATCGCATACTTACAATATTCTCTCCATTCCAGGTAACTCCACGTCGAAAGATGACAAGTCCACCGCCGAGGCCAACGGCGGCTCCAAAGAAGACGGTAAGTCGTCCTCAGAGTCCGACGCCGACGTCGAAGACAATATCGAGGAAGCTCCTCGCACCACCGCCGCCCAGCAGCATACCGCAGCAAACTTCGCCGCCTACCTTGAATCAGGATACAGCTCCGACAAGCTCATCAGCTCAGACTCTATACGCACCAGCCCTGTCGACCTTCACAAGGAAAAGACCGACAACACCCCGGAAAACGCCGACAAAGACAAAGTCGAGTTCGCCGACTCCGCAACCTCGACCACCGCTATACCTCTAGAATACAAACCCCTGATTTCCCTCGAGAATCTCTCAAATCCGGACTCAGGAGTCGCCAGCCCCGAAGCCACGAAACACAATTCTACGGAAACCGTCGATAATGTTGACTCCCCGATCATTGATAAGGAACTCGGTAGCCACAGCTCACTTTCAAGCGAGATCAACCTGGATTTATCGAGTCCGCAGCACAGCAAGATGTCCCCGGAAAAGTCCGATCTCGACGACAAGAGGCCGCCGTCTAGAAGAGACTTCGCCCCCGAGTACTCCAATGAAGTCATCTCGCGCGGCATAAGCGCGCAGGGCTGCAAGAATATCCTTGAAAACGGAACAGAAAGCAGCACTGAACAGCCGGAGAAGAAAGATCTCCTTGATTACTACTGCCAGGAGCTCAAACTCGCGATGGACGACGTCAAAGTCAAGAAACCCACCCTCCCCTCGCCTGTAGCGGTGGAATCCCCGCCCGAGCCACCTCCGATTCCTCGACCGAAAGTCAACAATATCGAACCGGAAAAGTCGAATCTTCAGAGAGATTTCTTGCCCTACTCGAGACAGAGCCCCTCCTCGCCTAGATACGTCTGCGACGAAGACGAGTGCAGCATTCAATCCTGCCTCAGCCAGTTCACGGCTCTAGAACTTCTCACGGGCAACAACAAAGTGGGCTGCGAAACGTGCACGGAACGCATCAACGGCAAGGGAGGCAAAACTGTGTACACCAACGCGACCAAACGATTCCTGGTTTCGAGTCCGCCCGCGATCCTGATTCTGCATCTGAAGCGATTCCAGATCGGCCCCCGATGCATGTTCAGAAAGATGTCGAAGCACGTGGATTTTCCGACTATTTTAGACTTGGCTCCGTTCTGCGCGATGGATAAGCTGAAGAAGCTTCCTAATGTGGCGCGAGGACAATCCGAGTTGCTCTACTCTCTATACGGAGTGGTGGAGCATTCCGGCGGTATGCACGGGGGTCACTACGTGGCGTATGTCAAAGTGCGACAGCCGGTCAAAGCTGGGGACCCGAGGTGGTGGTTCCTGCCCAAGAGCGCTAATACAATGCCGGCGCCGCCGGGTAGCGGAGACGGCGACGCCGACTCCGAGTCCGATCTCTCCGGCTACGAATCCGGCGAGGGTCCCACGTCGAGCGCGGAGGCCCCGCCGGGCAAATGGTACTACGTATCCGACAGTATGGTATCCGAGGTCACGGAGGAAAAGGTCCTGAGGGCGCAGGCCTACCTCCTGTTCTACGAGAGGATCTTATAAGCTCCCGAACCCTTTTTCACCTGGAGATGGCCTAAGTTTTGTTTCGGAGTGGCATTTAAGTGGAAGACTGATGCGTAGACAGATAGAACCCTGCATGACGTCATACGTTACTGAGTGCTGTAAATAGCTAACACTTGCTTCTTCTTTAGTTAAATGTTTTCTGTGACCGTACGTGATTTCTGTACGCGGAGTTGAGGAGTGGTCCTACAGAAATGTTACTCTCCTGTAGAAAATTAACGCGTACAGATGACAGTATAGCCCAAACTAACTAATAAATGTATTATTCGATGATTGACGCAATGTTTTAAGGATCTTATTTATTCTGCTATGTATTTCTTCTTACGGACACGTTGAATAAAGCTCAGTGGCAACGAATAACCTTGTTTCTGCCAAAAAATTTACAGAGATAGAACAATAGATGAAATAATTATGAGAGAAACGATTTTTTTAAATACTTTTGAAGGTTCTTTTTGAATAAAAAAGAGGCTTGAGAAAAGGAATTGAATCAGTGCATTTACGATGTTATTCGTCGAACTGACACTCGTTTATATTACGCAGTAGGAGTTCGCAACGGTTTAGCGTTTAGATTTGTGCAAACAAATATTTTGGAACTAAGAGTTGCTTCATCTCGTAAGATTAAATGTAACGCGGTGCGAGTGGATGAGTTAATTTTTAATGTCGTATTTATTGTTTTGTTTGTATTGGAATTTATTTTGTTAGGGTTGTCAACTATTCGAATCCTTAGATTCGCTTTATCCATGAAATTAAATTTTCTTGGGCATTTGCTAAAACCTAAAAAAGAGTGGGAAAAGTGATGTACCTGGCCAATCGTAACATTTGGGCAATCGATAGATAACAACCCTGACATCATGGGTTTGGTCTTCCATTGAGGTGTCAACTTGTCGCTGCTAGATAAGCAACCCGTGAGTTACGTAAACAAACTGTCACAAAACTACCGCATGTATGTATTTACAGTTGAACTGATGATGTAGATTTAATGAACGAAATGCTGGCTGGATTAAAATTTTATACGACGTAATTTTTTTAATAGATTCAATAGCACAATCTCCTTCTCAACACGACAAATAAAAAGAGAAAATTAATTAGATAGTGGCGATTATAATTGCTTTTAAAAATCATCTCCACCTACTTCGCATTTTATTAATTGAATTTATACAATTTAGATAGACTAAGAGCTAGTGAACGCCAGACTTACGTCATTTTATAAAAGCTGAAAGTTTGTCAGCGTATGCTCCCAATATTGGATATAATGTTGGTGAATTATAAAGTTTGGGTCGTGGTGGCTTTGGGAGCTACCCTAAAAAAACTGTCTGGCAAGGAGTTGGAACTGTCAAAACTGTCTGGCTATTGGGGAAAATACTTCTAATTATTGCCCAAATATTATACATAAAAATCAGATTTAATGGTATAACATTGGTAGAATTACAGTCTATTGAATATACAGAAAAAGCCACCGTAAAAGTTAGATTTACGTTACACTATAAAATCTGATTTTTATGTATAACTAGCTTTCCGCCCGCGGCTTCGCCCGCGTGGAATTTTGTCTGTCACAGAAAAACTTTATCGCGCGCGTCCCTGTTTCAAAAACCGGGATAAAAACTATCCTATGTTCTTTCCCGGGACTCAAACTATCTCTATGCCAAATTTCATCAAAATCGGTTGCGAGGTTTAAGCGGGAAAGCGTAACAGACAGACAGACAGACAGAGTTACTTTCGCATTTATAATATTAGTTGGGATACTTGGGCAATTACTAGAAGTATTTTCCCCAAAAGCCAGACAGTTTTGACAGTTCCAACTCCTTGCCAGACAGTTTTTTTAGGATAGCTCCCAAAGCCACCACGACCCAAACTCCATAATTTACCAACATTATATCCTATATTGGGAGCATACGCTGACAAACTTTCAGCTTTTATAAAATGACGTAGGTCTGGCGTTCACTAGCTCTTAGTCTAAGAGTACCGATCTCAGCAAACCTCTAACATTATTTACATGCAGTATTTTTGCGGCAATTATAACACTGAATGCCTGTTAAAGCTTCTGTAGTGAAAAATAACGTCTAGCTAAGTTATTTATTGTCTTGTGGTGTCTATCATTTAGGTCGATTTGACAACGCATCTTTTGTACTCTGATGGTAATTGTAATACAGTATGTCCAATAGGAAATGTCCAAAATGAAGCAATATTATCAATAGACACAAGTGCCTGCATATCTGCCACCGGACTACCAGTTTATGGAGTTAAGCTTCAACCATACAAATGCGTGCTATCATAGGCCAATGACAGGTCGCGCGACCCATGACACTCCACGCGACCTGTCATTGGCCTATGATCGCGCCGGCGCGTGGCGATCAGCACGCGTTGGTGTGTTTGAAGCATTAGTCAGTATTCTTTGTCATACACGCTAGTTTGCAGCCTTAAGCAAAATAACGAATAGACTCGCTAGTTTTTAAATCAATATGTAAACGGCAGTCTTTTTTGTTACTTCACCCATTATTCGTCGATCAGCCATCCTTGATATTTTCGATCACCCTTGTGAAGTCAGAAACATCTGATAATCTTCATTTTCCATTTCATTCAACCAGATACGAGAGTTAGGAGGAGAGTGGTCTCCCCTTCAATTAAGTTGAAAATATGTCCCATGTAAAGATATAGAAACACGTAACTTTCTTATAAAGTATGTACAGATTGGACGCATCGTACCACGCAACAAATTAAGTTTTGTTGCGGACTACCGACGTCGACGTCCATTGGATGCGCGGACGCAACCTTTTAACCGTATTTATTGTACATTGCGATTATGTGTATCTTTTATAATGTTATATTCACGCATACAAGTCATACACATTACTCGTATTAAGTTGTACATACATACTATTATTTATTTTTTAATATACCACGAAGTCCCGAATTATTTTTTTCCTATTCACGTAAAGGAGAACCGGACTTGTTTTTTTATTAGTTTCGAAATTCGGAACAATGTAGATTTTAATGTTTTCGACATATGTTTCTAGAGACCTAATTATTTCAATTGAACTAAGTTTAATTATGTATCAGTTATACATTGGAGTGCTCAATTTAGTTATGCTTTGTACGCGTGTAACTAATGTGTTGTTCTGGTGGCGACCGCAGACTGATATTGTACCGTTCATCTTCATAAAACAGCATAGATCTATTTGTCTCTATCACTCGCTCTAGAAAACATGCATGAGCGAGGGAGTCGGCTATTTAATATTGTCTCACACTGCGGTCGCTCGGAACCACGCCTTATGGTTGTGTTGGTGTTACTAACACTGGATACATATTTAATTTTTCTCCTATATTCAATGCTTTTCTTTTGTATTTAAATATGGCTGGTCCAGTGTTAGGTCTGGTTCTACGTGGGGAGTTTCGCGTTGTTTTTAAAACCTATTTTGTAATCTTGTATCGTTATCGGTAATTCTTACTGTTTTTCGTCCCTTTCTGTCTAGTAGGGTAGTTTAGAGACACTACAATGTCAACTAAAGTATGTCGCTTCGTGTTTCGTACAACGTGACGCTCCCCGCGTAGGTTGTAGGGCAATATTATGTTATTAAGAAGTAATATTGTTTTTAATGTTTGCATTTGTCAGAACTAGGACCGTCTTTACCGTTAGTTAGCCTGTGTTAATTATATTTTATTATTATTATGAGATAAATTTTGTACATTGAACTCCACACTATTATTGCGTTATGAACAGGTGTATTTAAAATAAACATAGTTGTAAACTATCTTGGTGTTTTAATGTTAATGTAGAGACCCATAAAATATCTTAACTGACTGTAGAAAAAATTCTTAGGGGGCAAATTTTCTTCTGCCAAAACCAAATTCTGGAAACCAACTTCAGTCGATTGGATTATATGTATGATATGAGTTCTTTTTTTGCAATTTTTAGTTATAAAATACCTCAGTCATCTTGCAAGATGTAATGAAGTTTCCTATAGACTACAAAAGGGGGGTAAATGAATTAAGAAAGTGATATTTTATAACAAAATCATCTTTAATGCTATAAAACAGATTCGTAACTTTTAACTCTTTTACTTAGCAAATCGACGTGAGATTCTTCAAAAGGCACAAGAGCGGTGATTTTAGGCACTTCTAGGATTGTCAGCTCTATTATACAGTACAACACTTGTAAGGTATCCTTGGCTTTCTGTAGTGCCTGCAACAAAAAAAAATCAACATCAATGTCTTCATCATCATCATCATCATTTCAGCCACAGGACATCTACTGCTGAACATAGGCCTCCCCCAATGACTTCCACATCGCACGGTTGGTAGCGGCCTGCATCCAGCGCCTTCCTGCTACCTTTATCAGGTCGTCGGTCCACCTTGTGGGTGGACGTCCCACATCAATTTCTTAATAAGAAATAATGAACTGAGAATTAATGCAATTTTAAAACAGAAACGCAAAGAATACTTACAGAAACAGCCTTTTCTTTGAGCGCTGGATTGGACGCCATTTTCTTTTTCAAATCGTTCATCTCCTGAGGCGTGAACCCGACTAGTTTGGATAGAACATCGCTCGTGAAATCTACGTCTATATTTCCTGTGCCATCTATGAGAGTGCATTTCAGACTCCACCCATCTTTGCCCACTGACAACTTGGATAGAAGCTTCATAATCTGAGCCTTCACTTTGAATACTCTTCCCACTTTATCACTGTGTTTCATGTCATTGATTTGCTTGATATAAACGAACGGTTCTGAAGACGCCTTTACGGGACCTTTAGCAGTTTGAGCGTCAAACTGAGCTTCCATTTCTTTCAAATAGTCCTCATCTTCGTCTAAAAAGTCGTTATCATCAGGGTAGTCATCGGGATTGTTGACGACTTCTGTTTTTAATTTCTTCTCTGGCTTCAGATCTAAATGTGTTAGCTGCCTTTTGCCAGGGTTGGTAGAGAACTCAGCTTCTATAGCGGCTATGTGATCCAGGTCAATGTCGTCGTCGGCTATGGTACTTGCTACTTGGAGGCTGGTGACCCTGGCCACTGGGCGGGAGTCATCGACTTGTCTTGCTGGTGGCATTTGAGTGTGCGGTGTTGGGATGTTGGTGTTCCGTGGATGAGATATTGTGGTGTTGAGGTCTGCTCCGTCCGTTTCTGGAAAAAGTTACGAAATGTACGTTATTTTCATGCTTGGTTTTAACGGTTTTAATTTACATTGACGACAAATTTTTACTCCCGTGTGTTCGTTTTTTGTGTTTAGCGTTTTGAAAAATAGCAGACGAAAAGAAATTACACCTAACCCTGTGCAATGGTCACACTATTGTGGACTATAGTCCAGGGCTAAGTTCGCCGACGCGCGTAGAGGCGACCATTGAGCGACCATCTCAAGATCTTACCCGTCACTATCACTCGATAGTTTCGCGATGCCTCGTTTATCAGTCATCTAGGACAACGGGTCAACCTTGATTGTGCTGCCGTCTTCTTCTTCTTCTTCTTTTTTGATGATGTTGGCAATACACGTCGACGTCGACTTGATTTTTGCCATTTTCAAGTTTATAAGTGATACGAGTTACAAAATGAGATCAAGTAATGATATAATGAAGGATGATAGATGATACCCCTTCCCACCCTTTGAGTCTCAGTAAAGTTGTGGTGCTTTACTGAGACCTCCTATGGACAACTTGAGAGAACCAGAAGAATCACGATGCACTGTTTTGCTTCACTCGCCCACACTCATGCACGTTCACGAACACTCAATGGTTAATAACCCACCATTATTACACATTAATAGTCGCCTAAACACGAATTTGAGGAAATAAAACAAAACCGCTAACATGACGCTTCAGATTCCCGCCAAGAAGTCCCGTGCTGCCGTCTTCAGTAGATTCTGCTCAGGGTTATGAAAAACGTCAAATATCCTACCTTGAGTAATGGGCAGGCCAAGTTTGGAAGACAGCATGCCAGCTAGAGAGTGGGACACGGCGATCTCTTGCACCTCCCCGCCGAGGAGCTCTATAGAACTCTCAGTCAGCAGCAGGACGCCACGACGACATTCTACGGGTCCTGTGAAAAGAATACGAGAAGTAATGTTTAACAGACATTGTGGCCAGCAAAACTACATGATGGTTATCATATCCCTAAATATAGGAAAACAGGTTACGACTTTGAAATTAAAGGACAATCATGAAATGAAGTGAAAAATGAAATTTTTATTTTCAATGAGGATCAGTACTGTTGTAGAAAATTCAATAAAACTAGTATCTACGTTAATCTTTAAGACATAAGAAAGATATATCTTTTTGAATTATCCAAATCGGACCATTACTTACGAAGATATTAAGTAATAAACATAGGCCGTTTTTGCCGCTAAAAGTCAACGTACGCAAGGCCGCGTGACGTCATTATATCCGAATCGAGCGCAGCCGGCGTACTAATGGGATGGAAAATATTTTTTTCCGGCTAAACTATCAGTTTTAGAAAAAAACTTTTAATAACATTTATTCTTCAAAATAAAGTAACCTATCGACCAGTAATTTTTAAAAATAAAAATTCATAACCAGTTTCTAGGGCTGGGGGGAGGGGCTAGCCTTACCCAGCTTATGGCCTGGGGAGGGGGGGCGGTCTAGTCATACCCAGTTTCTGGCATTTCTGGCATGGGGGGGGGGTTCCTGCAGCAGCTGGCCCGCCCATGGGAACGGCGAATAGATAGGTAGGTGCGTAGGTTTAACTCAAAAAAACTAAATAACAGGTAGGTATTAAGTAGTGATGAAACGGATAGTTGTTTGGCCGGATACCGGATATCCGGCCACTAATTTAGGCCGGATATCCGGCCTACCGGATAGTTACCGGATATCCGTTTCATCTCTAGTATTAAGTGTACATCGAAATGATTTTCATAGCAATGTCATATTGTTAGAAGTTATACCTTATTGTTAGAAGTAAATAAATTAATACTTATACATTTTTATATTTTACTTGGAAGAAGATATGACTCTAACAACACTTATGTACACTTTATTTGAATAAATCGCCAACAAAACCAAATATACCACCACGGAGACCCCAATCGCGTCTCTGCGTTCCATTGAATCGTATGAGCGTATGGATTTTTTGCGTTATTTTTCACAATTTCCATTTTTAAAAATTACCTATCGATAGCTTACTTTATTCTGATGAATAAATGTCATTACAAGTTTTTCTCTAAAACTGATAATTTGGCTAGAAAACGGAGACCCCAATCGCGTCTCTGCGTTCCATTGAATCGTATGAGCGTATGGATTTTTTGCGTTATTTTTCACAATTTCCATTTTTAAAAATTACCTATCGATAGCTTACTTTATTCTGATGAATAAATGTCATTACAAGTTTTTCTCTAAAACTGATAATTTGGCTAGAAAAAAATTTTTTCTATCCACGCAGTACGCCGGCAGCGTTCGGATCGGATATAATGACGTCATCGTCCCCGCGCCGGGCGGTCAGTGAACTTTTTTAGTAATTTGGCCATAACTTCGTCAATTTTTGTCGTAGAACAAAAATTTTTGCACTGTGTATTAAGGATTTCTTAGCCCTATAAATCTGCATTCACAGCTAAAAATCGAAATGATCCTCATTGATATCTTTCTTAGTATTTAAATAAAAAATAAGTCTCCAGAAAGTGGATACAATAGGTAGGTATAAAAATTAATCTGTATCAAATTCACATGGCAGGGTAGAGAAGCAGATGTAAACCAGAGTATAATTGGTATAATGATGAGTCTTAAACAGAAAAATAAGTTAACTTCATCTACTCATAGATATGCAACAGAAAATGTTGTCATTTTAATGTTTACCTTTTATAAGTACTTTGCAGCCTGGTGTGATATCACAGGAGAGGTTCCTCATGGGCTTATACTCTATGCCTGATATCTCTTGAACACCATCAGTGAGATACAACTTAATCATCCTGGAAAGATAAATTGTGTTTCATCTTTTTAAACCTTTCATAAGTCTCCCTAATGAGTGTAAATTGACTAATGGTTTATTCCTGTTGTCCACTAGCCTGCGGACATGTTCTTTAACTGCCACTGGGGGGGGCAATGGGAATAAGCCTTAAATGTTATTTAACTGCCACTGGTGGGGACAATGGGAAAAACTATTTATTATTCGGCATGTGACGATGCACAGCATCTGGTGAGAGATGCGTCTACTTCCGGTGTAGTTTTTTTTACCATTTTATACCTTAAATGACGTCATTTCCGCAATTATTTAATAGGAATTGATTTGACTTACTTCCGTTTGCCGCCATTTTAGTCACCTGGGGGCGAGCTTGCTCGGAGTTCTTCATAGTCTAATCTAGTTCTGTTACAGAAACTCGAAAACTTTCATCACATAGCGCCATTGGTAAGTAGTCACCAGGAGCTAATAAACAAGTCTCTCACCAGATGCTGTGCATCGTCACATGCCGAATAATAGTACAAGTTTTACAAAACAATAAAACTTGTATTATTGAGCAGAGACGATGCACAGCATCCCAAGAAGGCCTCCTGGTGAGCTCTCTATGAAGAACTCCGAGCAAGCTCGCCCCCAGGTGACTAAAATGGCGGCAAACGGAAGTAAGTCAAATCAATTCCTATTAAATAATTGCGGAAATGACGTCATTTAAGGTATAAAATGGTAAAAAAAACTACACCGGAAGTAGACGCATCTCTCACCAGATGCTGTGCATCGTCTCTGCTCAATAATACAAGTTTTATTGTTTTGTAAAACTTGTACTATTCATTTACCTGTGGTTTGGTATTTTATCATCAAACTTGGTTGTGGCATCAATGTTCTCTGTGTTCACCTTTTGCAACTTCAGATATTGCTGATAAGCTGGGGTTCCTGTAACCATTAAATATTATATAAAAAGACTAACACAAATCAAACTTATTTGTACTCTTAAATGATGAGTGAAACTACACTAAATTGAGCTTTTTTAAACTATGACCTTATTTCTATTAACCTTTATTCTGTAAAACTTTAACCTTTTACAGAATCCTGTCAAAGAAACTACATTTTAATATAAGCAAGTCCATCATTGGTAGATTTAAGGACTGGTTTCTATACTTGGTTCTAATCAATTTGGTCAAGACAAATCAAACTCAAGGCATTGTAGAATTATTAAATAATAAATAATTACCTATATCTACAGCAGCGTTGATCTGCAGCACGAACCTGTCTGACAGTACAGTCTTAACCCTCTCTTTAAGATTGGGGGGCAAAGACCCCGGACAAATTTCTTTCAGATCATTCAACAACCATTGCTCCTTAGCCAAGTTCTTTATATCTGCTTCAGAGTAATTATTGCTACTGTCTTCTGTCAAGAATTCTACACATCTGAAATATAATTAATATTTATTATACTTAGATCTTGATGAAATTAATTTTATTTACAATGTTTTTGAGACTACTGTACCCCGTTAGCCATTCTTCTTCTACACGCATACAATGCGAAGCCAGATACTGACGAACTGAGTTTATAAGATTGTTAGAAGTCATTTTTCGTGCATCAACAAATTATTCATAGTTTAATTATTTACATCAGTTTTTATTTATTAAAATCCGTGATAATTTTCTCTTTCCCACTATTTACAAAAAAAAATACAGCTGTTTCTGCAAATGTCAAAGTGACGTTATTTTTTTTAATGGCAAAGGTCATCAGGCAAAATACTAAACTCAAATGAGCTACGGTTATCGACCGAGCTAAACGTTGTTCTTCATTTTATAGAAAAACTGGAAAATGAAGCAAACATCATAAAACATTGCAAAACATCATGATGAAACTCCATAAATCATGAACTTGACCATTTAACATCCACTCACATTCGATTATGACATGTAGACCTACCTTAATAGTAGAATTTTATTATTTATTATGGCAACACTGAAGTGAACGCAGAAAAAGCTTGCCGATATTTTCTTCCATCTCCCTCAGTAAATTCTCAATAGGCTGATTGACAACAAAAGGCAGTACTTTGAGGAGCATTGTTGTTACCAATGATTCTCTGTAAATAAGTGTTCTGTATCGAGAGCCTGTAAAAGTAATTTACACCGTGGAGGAAAAAATATGAAGAGACGGAATGCCGAAAGTGGCAAGATGCGGCGCCCCCTAAAGCGCACAAAAATCACCGAAGGAATGTATGGAAAGTGAGTGTACACCGTTTCTGTCGTTATTAACTAAATCTACGAAGTTTCTTGTGCATGCCGAGTGTAATTAAGTGCAATAAAGTTATGTGTGAAAGGCATGTCATGATATTTTTTGTGTGGGTAGAAGTACCATCTGGTTTTGATTATGGTTACGTTAGTAAGTGTGCGGTGACAAAAAACGTGAAAGACCTTAGAGAAACACATGTTTTTCTCGTTCATTTCGCGCTTAGAATCGTGGTGCACGTGTTTCCCTCCGTTTTCCCACGAGCAAGGCGGCAAATCGCTCGCACCGTTTGTTGATGAAGTTTGTATGGGGTCGTCTCACAGGTGGTCAGATAAAAGACAGCCTTGGCAATGAAGCGACCACTTCATTGCGGTATATTCGATTTCATGGCCTAATTAGTCAGTAATACATTTAATTTACTTGCCAAAACAATATAATAATCTCGGGGTGTTTGTCAACAAAAATATTGTTGATAGTGCTCAAAACACTTTTCCTAGACATCAATACCCAAAATAATAAATCGGATAGTTCAATCTTACCAGAGGTGGAATTGTGTGAAGCAATCGTTATCATTTGACAGTTCATAACGTACAATTATTCTGTCAAACGCTTTGTTTAACTGACTTTATTGTAAGAATAAGAATAAGAAATTTATTCATAATGTTCATTACATCTCAAATTTTCAATATTATATTTTCTTATTAATAATAAACAATTGCAGTATTAATAAGAAAGAAATACACATCATGTCCAAATAAATTAATAATACAAATAAAATTAATGTCAATTAAATGTCAACATAAATTGTGGGGTACGTTATGAACTGTCAAATGATTACGATTGCTTTACACAATTCCACCTCAGATTCATGTAAATTTTCAAATCCTTATTACTTTTTCAGTTCATTGGTGTACCTAAAGTTTGTGATGCTGTGGGCGACGGTAGTGATGGCCGACTACATGCTGGAGTTCAGATTTGAGTTTCTGTGGCCGTTCTGGATGATGCTGCGATCAGTGTACGACTCATTCAAATATCAAGGGCTTGTAAGTTGGTTTTACTACTTTGTTTTTTTTTAAATTGTTTATTTTAATTTATTCTTATTGTATACATAGACATTCGGGAATACTGGGAGAGCATGTGTGCTCCTCCAAAATCCTATTACACAAAAATTTGTAAAACTATATTGTAATACAATCTACTTGTTTGCTTCAATAACAAAAATATAGATAGCTGGAAGCTTCAGTTAAAGTGAAGTCAATGAAACAAGTAATTTTTATCTAAAATACCGTAATAAATGTTTCCATCTACTAATCATGAATAAGATAATAAGAAGTTACCTTTAACATTAAATGTTATTTCAAATTGGCAATTTGAGTGGTTTGGATCAATTGACTATAATTTTTAAGCTCATTTGCAAAATTTTACTTGAAGTAAACAATTAATTAGTATTATGTGGTGTCGTTTGAACCTACCAAAGCACTTGTGTACATGTTACTAGTTTACACAGCATGAATTTTATTTGTTTCAGGCATTTTCAGTGTTTTTCATATGCATTGCCCTGACTTCCGACATGATATGTTATTTCTTCATACCTCTGCAGTACATATTTTTTGCTGCAAGTACCTATGTTTGGGTACAGTACACATGGTATACATGTAAGTATTATTCTTAAAATTATTATAGTTTCTTAGAATACTTTCAAAATAGAACAAAAATAAAAATTGCAGTTATTTTTTGTGTTTTGCTTGGGATTTTGGTAGATCCTTCCAAGGTTCATCTACTGCCAGTTTGGGCTGTTCTCAAATTCCACAGACAACTAATTTAATTCGTGAGAAAGTTTAAAATCTTATGAAAAAAAAACTATCGTAGATAAATTATTATCATAAAAGTTGATAAAATGCCTGCCTAGCTGGATGCGCGCCAAGTTATAATTCTATCATCGATTTTAGACGACAAATCTATGGGCTTATCATCCCAAATCGATAAAATGCAACACGACGACATACATTGACGCGCATCCTAGGCTAGCTGGGCAAAGCTTGGCGCGCATCATAGCCCTACTGGTTTGGGTTTGGTGACCCTACTTCTAGGTTCCACCCTTTTGGCAAGTCCACCCACTGGGCGTTCCCATCGGTCAATGGGTATGCGCAAAGCATTTCCCGACGTTAAATAATATGGTAAAGTCAGCGTCAAATAGTTGCCACCCAAAGTGGCCAAAATTTTACTATACGACCTTATTCCAACTGTAACAACGACGTGATGCGGACTTTTTGGCGAACTTTGACCCTGACTCTACTATATTTTTGGGAATTTTTCCCACTGGCCGTTGGGGACGCGCAGAGTGGGTGGGACTCTCCCCGCCATAAGTTCGGAGCCTACCCTACTTGAACAAGCAATTGTTTGGCAGTCGCAGACAAAGGGCTCTGTTTGCCCACGGTGGCGGTGTGCTGCCTCGTGCTGTGGATCGAGGGCGCGCTGCGTATTGAGCGCGTGGGCGTGGGAGTGGGGCTGGGCGTGGGCGCCGGGCTGTGTCGGCCGCTAGCAGCTCATGCAGTGGGATACCCGGCTGTCACGCTCGGGTTCGGAGTTAAGGTATGAAAATAATAATAATAAGCCTTTTATTTCCGAACATTTTTACATTTTACATTTAACACTCTGAATTTAGGATAACACTTATATAAACAAATACTTCACTTAAAAAAACTTTCACAAAATGTCTAAAATTTTGGTGTGCTTATTGACAAAGGCCTCCTCCAAGTCCTTCCATTGCCTTCTGTCCTCCGCCACTCTCATCCATAGAGGTCCTGCGGTCAACCTCAAAGGTATGAAAATACTGTGATTGAAATGTCTACTTTTCTCAGACTCAGACTGTCTTTCCCGAAGACTATAATCCGGGCCTTTTCAAGGCAAGAGTGAATAGGCACTTAGTCATCCTAGACTGCATCCCACGTAACTCCAGGTGCGATTGTGGTCAAATACCTGCCTTGTTATGCATATAAAAAAAAAAACAAGGCTACGGTCTCCTATTAAGCGCTATACGCGGCGTACGACGTCAGCATCAGGTCCGCTTTCCACCAGGGCGGAGCAGAGCGGAGAAGTGTTTTGAAAAACCAATCAGAGGTTTAATTGTGTAAAGCAATCGTTATCATTTGACAGTTCATAACATACGATTATTCTGTCAAACGCTTACTTACGCGTACGGAACTGTCAAATGATTACGATTGCTTTACACAATTCCACCTCTGATTTATTTATTTATTTATTTAATTATTTCCACTATTCATTAAACAAATTCTATAGAAAAGTTTGATGGCTCGACACTTCTCCGCTCCGGCTTGGTGGAAACCGGGCCTCAAACGTTCTTCCGACATCCATACGACTACGTCTGAAAGAGACCACACATTCCTATAGTAAATATTTTTACTCGGCCTACGGCGTGACTACCACAGCCTTAGCAATCTTGTGACTGTCTGTTTGTCAACTAACAAGAAGAATTAATGAAATATTTTCAAAGTTGTTCAGTCATTATCATTGACGTGATGTTCAAAATACTCATTTCATTTTGATGTGAAAGTTGTTTTTATCACTTTAATTTTTTCAAATGATTCTGATAACAATTAGTGCAGCATACAACTTCTAATTAGAAAACAATTTTTTGTCGATTAGTCAGTGTGATTTACGGAAGATTTCACACTAAAATAATAGCGTAGTTTTTCTATTTTGCCTGATATAAAATATGTGGGAACATAAGTCAGGCAGAACTTTTTCAAATAAATACAACCGAATATGATCTCTTGCGAAAGGTTACGCAGGAGATGGATATGAGTAGCAAAATACTTACTCATATCCATCCATGAATATTGCGCATATTGGAGAGAACCTATCCAGCAGTGGACAACTCTAAGCTGAAGCTGATGATGACAAAAATAAAGTAAATTATATGCAATATAGCTGAAGCGACAATAGCCCATTTTGTGTCAGAGTCGGGTCAGGTCCGAAGAAAACAGGTTCGATTCCCGCCGCGCCTCTGTATTATAGTGAAACCACACGTAAAATAATCATTTTACTCGTAAAACAAGCACTATTATTTAAAAAACGTAAAACTTTCCGGATCGCGTATCGGAAAACGCAGCGTGGGATGTCCACCCACGAGGTGGACCGACGACATTGTAAAGGTAGCAGGAAGGCGCTGGACACAGGCCGCTACCAACCTTTTTTTTTTTATTATTTTCTATAATAATATTTTGACGTTCGTAAGTGCCACTTGTAGTCTAAACTGAATAAATATTTTTGATTTTGATTTGATTTTTTGAACCTGGCAATATGGAAAGCATTGGGGGAGGCCTATGTTTAGCAGTGGACACCCTATGGCTGAGATGATGATGATAATGAAAACTTTCTCCATAATGCGTGTCAGCTAGCCCCTAAGGCAGAGGTTCCCAAAGGGGTGGGCGCGCCCCCCAGGGGAGACGCTAAGACTTTTAAAGGGGGGCGCGGGCCATCTGTGTAGTTAAGTAATAAAAAACCTGCGACCGCTAAGAGAATACATTCCAGACTGCTCGATACGACCAATAAATAATTTGGACTAGATATTGTGGAACACGGAATCCTCTGAAGCCGGCCGAAGGGTTGATTGATCGGGAAACAAGCACACAGTGGTCCTTTAGTTTCTTCAGAGGTCCTTCGAGCCGGATAGGGGTCTTTGTGGAAATCCTTGTGTGAGGCCTTTGTCCAGCAGTGGACGTGTTTGGGCTGAAATGAACGAACGAACGAATGGGGGGCGCGTCTCCAATAAGTTAGGGAACCCTTGCCCTAAGGCTTCACTTTAGTTACCCCGGCTGACGTGTTGTGGCTTGCAGTCGTACGTGAGCCATCGGCTTAAAACTTCCTCCATAATGCGTGTCAACCAGCCCCTAAGGCTTCACTATAAACACCGGCTGACGTGTTGTGGCTTGCAGTCGTACGTGAGCCACCGGCTTTAAATTTCCTCCATAATGCGTGTCAGCTAGCCCCTAAGGCTTCACTATAGACCTTGACTGACGGCGTGTTGTGGCTTGCAGTCTTACGTGAGCCACCGGCTTAAAATTTCCTCCATAATGCGTGTCAGCTAGCCCCTAAGGCTTCACTATAGACCTTGACTGACGGCGTGTTGTGGCTTGCAGTCTTACGTGAGCCACCGGCTGCGGCTGCGGCGGCAGCGGCGCGTGCGCGCGGAGAACGAGTTCTACTTCCAGCTCATGCGCGACGCGCTGCCCGAGCCCGCGCCCGACCAGGTGCGTCACTGGTTACCGCTCACTGATCACTGCTTGTAAAGCCCGGTCTGTGAGCACGTAGAATTTTGTCCAATGACCCCTAGCTATCCATCCTTATCGCTCGCGCGTAATGAGGGCTATTGTTTTAGCGCTCACCAGTTAGCGCCACTGTAGAGTAAGGTCCTGTCACTGGCTAGTAGACAGTGGCACCAACTGGTGAGCGCTAAAGTGGTAGGAGGACTATCGCATTTGCACTCATCAAGATGGCGCCACTGTAGAGTAAGGTCCTGTACTCCTGTCAATCGCCAGGGGTGCCAACTGTTAAGTATAAAAACGATAGCCCTCATTATATTGCTGTCGCGACTATGCGACTGGCACCCGCAGTGAGTGTGCGAGCGCGATAGCAAAATAATTACGCGCTAGCGATAAGGATGGGTAGCTTGGGGTCATTGGACAAAATTCTACGTACTCACAGACCAGACGTGTAGCTCGCTATTTACTGATAACTGGTCACCGCTTGTAGCTCGCTGATCATTGTTAACTGATCTCTGATTATTGCTTACTGTCACTGGCCACTGCTCACTATCCCTGGTCACTGGTCACTTATCACTGATCATCGCTCACTGATCAGTGCTACTCACTCATCTTTGTTCATGGTGTGCTTATGTTTTGTCGTAGTTGTAGATAAATATCTTATTCCACAATTTAGAAATCGTAGCGTAGCCTAATGTTTCTAGTTTTCTCCTTCATTATTTTAATATCGTAGCGTAGCCTAATGTTTCTAGTTTTCTTCTTCATTATTTTAATCTGCTTTTTGTGTTGTTGCAGCAACCTGTGGCCAGCCCGGCGCCGGCCAAGGAGGCGGAGTGCGAGAAAATGAACGGCTCCGTCAAGCGGCGCTGCGCCAAGGAGCAGAACGGGCACTGTCCCACGTCGCAGGAACACGCGCAACTACAGTTTAAGGTCAGTGCTACGAATTAACCATTAGGTGTTTGTATACCACGATTCTGGATTGTGGAATACGAATCCATCTTCTCAGCACTTGCCTATATTATTGTCCCGAAGCAGTGTTAGGGTTGGGATATTTAAAAGTGTTATTTGAGAGTGCATACAGAAATTAAATAATGAGTATTATAAGAATTCTCCAAAGCTGGCTGACGAGGGTTGGTCGGGAAAAAAACACGTCTTTATTCTTCGGAGGTCCTTCGAGCCGGATAGGATTCTGAGAATCCGTGTTCCCCAATCCAGGACCATTCGGAACATTAGCGTTACATTGTGCAATGTATTTAAGTGGTAACGAACGAAGGGTAGGTTAAGATCGCACTTTTAGTCCTTTCAGAAGACATAAAAACCAGAAACGTCGTTAATTCTAAGAAATTTCGGTTTAATCAACCAATCACTTACAATATAATATCGTCAATAATTAGTAGACTACATAAGCCCTTTCCCTCCACAGTTAGATAAGCTAGAGAAGCACTTGGCGGCGGCCACGGCGGCGTCGGCGCGGCCGCACGCGCAGACCAACGGCGCGCCGCCCGGCCCGCAGGCAGACGACGCGCAAACCAACGGGAAGGGTAAGTGAACGCACAGTGCATGGCTTGATCGTGACGTGACTCACCCATAGCACAGAATAATAACAAGTACTACGTACAGAAGTTTTACTTCGCGAAGGTATTTAAAAAAATGTATGCTCAATGTCATTAACAATATGGTGTAATTTAGCTTGTCTCAAGAGTCAAGCACCATTTTGTTAACAAACGCCGAAGCTATTCGCTGGGTGCGAAGTACTAGGTGGGGGGGACATAATCTATCGCAGCGCTCATGGTGGTCAAAAGTAGAAATAATGTTAGCTCTGTCATCAGATCTATCTGTCAATGGCAAAGCGATTCTACATAATACATTTTAATATCATTAATTAATCGCATGAAAAGGGTCCTACTGGGAACTTAAATAAAAGAGTGGACTGTATTTCGATAGGGCTGTTTTAATAGCCGTTTACAATTTGGAAATAACTAAACTATACAACGTGGTAGTACAAAAATGAGTCACAGTAGTTGTTGTGCACAGATGTTTGCCTTATGATGAGAGCGTGAATTATTGAACTCTGCCCTTGTTTTGTTCTTAATTCTTCTACATCTCGGACTTGTCCAGCCAATACCAACAACTTTCCTTTAAATACGGTTTGTGGTTGGAATTTGATATTGTAACTCTTACAAACCCGGTCTTCAAAACGATACTCATTTCGATCTGAAAACGATATTTAATTTATTACTAGCGATACAGAAACATTTAAATATATTTACTGTTATATAATGAAACCGTTAAAGTAGCTTTTTCTTTTTGTTTTACTGTAAAACTACAACTATAAATGAAGTAAACAAACCCTGACACAATCAAAATTAAACACACTTTTTGGACTTACCTCATTTGATTTGAATGACCAAAATGATTTCAAAACCTTTTTTCCACCCAAATAGTGGTATCACAACAATTTATTAGTTGAAAATATTTGTTATTTTATCATTTCGATATTTTTTCACAAATATACGACCTAAATGTCAATGTGACAGAGCCCACAAAGTTGTGGACGCTAGTTGGCGCTGTAATCGTGCACGGAGCCAATAAGGCTGACTTCGGTAAAATGATGTGACGTGAGGTGCCAAACTGCAGAAAATGGCGGAGCAAATACATGATTTAGCATGAATTATCATGAATAATATTTACTACTTATTTGCCTCTCAGTATCTTGAGGCAACTTAAAAAAGTACATTCTGTGTTTTTATTATTATTTAGGCAATTAAATACTGCACAGTATAGTACACTATTTCCTTTATTTTTTCCATCATACACAATAATACGCGTGCGTGAGTCAATGCTCGCTCGTATGTGACGCCTTGTCGAATAGTAATTCTGTCGGGGGCCATCGTGCGTGTTTTGTTTTCGATGTAAACTCGCGGAGATGAACAGGCCTGCCGTTACGATGTCCTACGGCCACCTCGCCTCCGTGACATAACCACAAAAAGTATGACCATGACGTGACAACAATACACGAGCGACGCGTGACTGACGTGATGCATTTTGTAGGTATATACTGTACACAAAATACCAAAACTAAATATTTTTTCTTATGTTCAGGTTGTGCAAAGTCGACAAAGTGTGAAAAGAAAGAGGCTAACACAATAAAAGAAGAAAAAAAGAAGAATAAAAACAAAGATAAAGATAAGGAAAGCAGTGATAGTAATAAGAGTACCGAACAGTGTAAGTTTTATTGGTTTTATGTAACACTAGCTTTCCGCCCGCGGCTTCGCGCGCGTGGACTACATTATCTACATATTTTACGGATACCCTATTTTTTTCCAAAATAAAATTTAGCCTATGTTACTCGTGGATAATGTAACATAGGCTAAATTTTATTTTGAATGGTGAAAGATTTTTTAAAAACGGTCCTGTAGTTTTTGAGCCTATTCATTACAACCAAACAAACAAACAAAGTTTTCCTCTTTATAATATTAGTGTAGAAAACGAGAATAACATTACTATGACGTCTCACAATGCGTGTGGACGCACAGGGTTACACACGATCCAATCACCGCGCTCTATTCATCGCTTTACGTTCGATTTGCTGCTTCACTTAAGCAAGCATCGTTTATGCATACGGGTGTAACTCTATAATTATTGTTTTTTTTAATCAATTTTATTTTTGCAGTGAAAGAACAAACTATAGTTAAAGAAGTAGAAAGTACAAAAGAAAGTGTAAAAAATAAAGAGTGCAATGGTTACAAAGAAAAAGAAAAAGAAAAGGACAAAGAAAAAGAAAGAGAGAAAGAAAAAGAGAAGGACAAAGAAAGGGAAAAAGAGAAAGAAAAGGACAAAGAACGGGAACGTGAATCGGTAAGTACATCCTTTGTATGCAAAAAGCCTTTTGTTTGTAAAATTGTCATAATGTGTTTGAATTTTATTTATTACTATAGTCTGGTCTGTGAGCACGTAGAATTTTGTCCAATGACCCCAAGCTACCCATCCTTATCGCTCGCGCGTAATTATATTGCTGTCGCGACTGGGCGACGGGCGGCCGCAGTGAGCGTGCGAGCGCAACAGCAACATAATTACGCGCGAGCGATAAGGGTGGGTAGCTTGGGGTCATTGGACAAAATTCTACGTGCTCGCAGACCAGACTATAGCTGTGCCTTGTGGTGTTACCCGTGGTAAAACATAGCCATGTGTTAACCCAGGTTGTCAGCTAACTCCATACCAAATTTTATTAAAATCGCTCCAGCTGTTAAGACGTGAAGAAGTAACAAACATACACATTACAAGCATTCGCCTTTATAATAATATTGGTGTGATCTTAGGATTCAATATTGAAATCATATCAGTGCGAAATCTTTTTATTTTTCCTGAGTCTCTGATCTCTCCAAATCCTAGTGTGTGTAGATCTTAGATAGCTGATGAGCATTCTTTTTCTATCTTCTCATATTTATCATCCGTTAAGCTAGCACCCATAACACAAGCATTAAATTGCTTACTTTGGGGCTAGCTGGTGCTGTGTGAAATTATCCAAAGATTTATTATTATTATTTGTAGAAGCAAACTAAGGTTATGCTATTTATGGATGTGTCCGCTCCCGCGCTCCCCTCCAGGCTCCTCGCTCATATACAACTTCAGACGTGTTATGTGCGCAGCAGATACGAGTATAGTCGATAGATGGCGTTAACAGGATGATTAATGTTTTTTATTTTCTCTTCTTTTATTTGTACATTTATATTTTCGTGTCAAATAAAGAAATAGAATAGAAATATTTATTTGTCTTTGAATAGGGTGTACAGGTTTTTCTATTCTATTAGTCGACCGTTTGGTGTAGTGGTTGGAAACGGACTACTATTCCGGAGGTAGCGGGTTCGATTCCCGCACAGTATTTGTGTGCATGAACATATTTGTTTGTATTGGACTGGGTGTTTTCTATGTATAATAAGTATGTATTTACAAAAAAAAAAGTATTTAAGTATTTAAGCTTTGCTTAGTTTGGGACTAGAAGCGCAGTGTAAAATGTTCAAGGATATTTATTATTATTATTTATTTATTCTTTTAGCTATTTTTTTCGGTTAATTTACATATCACTTGTCTTTTAGCGTGAATCCCGAGAAACAAAAGAGTCGCGTGAAGCGCGCTCCCTCTCGGAGGAGGTGCGGCGATTGCGGGCATCCGTTGCGAGCGCGCTGCGAGGCGAGGCCGAGGCGCGCCGCGCGCTGGCCGCGTGCGCCGCCGCCGACCGCCAGCGCCGCGCCGACCACCAGCAGCTGAAGCAGGCGCACGCCGCGCTGCAGCACAAGTGAGGCTCTNCATTTAAGGGGGTGCAGCGCGGACGAAAAACTACGATTTGATAGCCGAGCTAGCGGTGGCGCAACGAACTAACACGATCGCACACAAACTGCTTTACAGAGTAGAGACAAAAGAGACTCAACACAGAGTAAAAACACGTATTTTCACTAATTTTGCTAAGCAAAAAGTTAATTTATAATACGTAAAGGATGGTTAGGTATTATAATCAGGAATAAAGAAGATTTGATTTTTTGTTGGTATTGCTGCAAAAATTATTACACAATAAAAATCATAACTAACTGATTCTTCTGATGAACAAAGGCGTTAAATAGTTTCGTAAAAGAGTATTTTTCCTAAACGTTCAATTCAAATACTTAGGCAGTTAACGTAGCGTCTTTCCATTCTATACATGTTCAGAACGCAAGGGTGTGAAACTAATCGAGTACCTATAGTTTGGAAATAACTTTTTTTTACTAAACTCTTCCAAACTGTATGAGCAGTTAAGCAAATACCGCGTACCTATTTATTTATTTATTTATTTATTATTCATTATTGAGCATTTACATATTTGATCCAAATAGCGTCCTAAATCCTTTTTAGGTTTGTCTAGACACTATTGTTCTCTATACAAATAAAAACAAACGTTTTAGTATAAGCATTCACAACACTTTCAGATATACAAAATATTATTTTAGCGAGTGCGCACTACGATGACGAAAGACCTACTACTCTAAATAAAAATTTTATCAATTTATTTATTTAATCCTACCTAATCAGTTTATTTTGAAAAACCACTTATCCGCAAGAGTGTTTAAAATCTAGTTTTATATTATATAATATATTTAAGTAATACTCTTAAATGTAATTCCATATTTTACTGAATAAGTATCAAACTAACTTTTTAACACTCTTGTCAAGTGCAAGTGGTGTAGTATAGTTTGAAACGGAGACGCGAGCATCCACAATACAAATTAGACATGACCATATTCAGTATGCAAAATTCGTGTATACTTTGTAGTCGCAGATTTACGAAGAGATTTATTACCATAGAAAAAACAAATTACAAAATATACACGAGCAGTTTCCTACGGCTGNCCTTCCCTCTCTCTCTCTTCTTTCTTTTTCCTTTTCACTCCCCTTTATTTCTTCCTCTCTCTTTTCCCTTTCTTTCTCCTTCTCCCTTTTCTTTCTTCCCATCTCCCCTTTTATTATACTACTCTCTCCTTTCTTTCTCCCTCTCTCCCCTTTCTTTCTCCATTTCTCTACCCTTTCTTTCTCCCTCTCTCTCTCTCTCTTCCCTTTCTTTCTACCTCTCTCACTCTCTTTTCTTTCTCCCCCTCTCTTTATTCTTTCTCCCTCTCCCCTTTCTCCTTATTATCTCCCCTTTCTTTCTTCCTCACTCCCCTTTCTTTCTCACTCTCCCCCCTTTCATTCTCCTTCTCTCCCCCCTTTCTTTCTCCCAAAATCGGGCCGTAGTCCACTCAAAAAAACGGATGTCTATCCCTCTTCTTCCTATCTCCTATCTCTCTCTTGGAGAATGTTCTAGCCTTTGCAGCTGCTGACAGGCTAGTAGCGTACAACTAATAGTAAGATGGTTGGTTTGCCTGAAAAGATTTTCCACACATTCTTCCCAACACTTTTAAATAAAAAAATAAAAAAAATCATTTATTTCAGATATCCATCACCAATTCTTTGCTAAATCACATTCCACTGCTCATTGCGAGATTAGAAATGAATTGACTCTATTGGTGTTTGACAACAAACACACCGCTCACAGCAGCTTAGCACACTATAACCTGAGTAAATACAAATGAGTAGGTTATCTTCATAGAAACGCCGGTGCGTTTCTATGAAGATAACCTACTCATTGCGCGCCGCATACGTATTGGCGCGCTCACATACAAACCGAGTTCGGTAACTCGGTTTGTATGTGAGCGCGCCAATACGTATGCGGCGCGCACGCACGCACTGACAAAATTCGGCGCAACTCCCCGCTAAAAGACAATTGTTGCAATTTCTTACAAAACTTGCGCACAAAAAGCAAATCTAGTATGAAAATCATCAAACTTCTAATGCTCGTAACTCAGTTCAGACTGAGTTTAGAGGTATACATGCCATAGTAAGTTTGGTTTATTACACTATTTTGTAATCAAAAAACAAAGTTTGGTCGATGGCCGCGCGAAAAAAAAAAGACGCCACTTTCCATACAAAATCTGGCATTGCCATTTTGTCAGTGCGTGCGTGCGCGCCGCATACGTATTGGCGCGCTCACATACAAACCGCGCTCGGTGCATTTCTATGAAGATAACCTACTCATTTGTATTTACTCTGCTATAGCTGTGTTATCTAATACGTTGTTTCCTCGTAGAATGTCTGCGTGGCGCGGCAGCGAGCGCTCGACGGCGTCGCTGGAGCGGCGGCTGGGCGAGGAGCGGCGCGCGCGCTCGCACGTCGAGAGCCAGCTGCAGCGCCAGCGCAGCGCCCGCCAGGACAGGTGGGGATATATACAGGGTGTTAGGTAAATGGGTATATGAGCCGACACTAGCCCATGTTAACATGGTCATATAAATGGTATGGTGAAGTCAGAAATTTGATATCATCATTTTAATTTTTTTAATTTTCATACAAAATAAATTTTATAAATTCCGATTTAATATAAAAATTAAATCAAAATCAAAAATATTTATTCAGTTTAGACTACAAGTGGCACTTATGAACGTCAATAGAAAATATTAAAAAAAGAAAAGGTAGCCCTTATGGGGCACTTTACATGTCTCCTTATCTTTTGGGCCCTACCAGCGCTTCGAGACAAACATATGGCAAGTGCTGAGAAAAAACGCCGGAACAAACTCGGTCAACAAAATAATTAAAATGAAGATATCAATTTTCTGACTTCGCCATACCATTTATATGACCATGTTAACATGGGCTAGTGTCGGCTCATATACCCATTTACCTAACACCCTGTATATCTAATGCAATATAAAACGGGACTATTCCCACATCGTTCCCACCGCTGCAACTCCTGTGTAGCCAGGATCTACAGCTTGACTGCCAACAAAAACTCAACCAGTGAAGGTCAAGTGTCCCAGGGGAAAGTCCAACTGTCATTGGACCCGCAACGAAATTAATAGGAAGAACATAGGACAAGTTCGAAGTTAGCGTTCGACTTATGCAGTACAGCCCAAGCTGAAGAATCAATGGGCATTGCACATAGTACACAACTGACAGTCGATGGGGTAGCAAGGTTTTAGAGTGGAAGCCACGTATTGGAAAACGCAGCGTGGGACGTCCACCCACAAGGTGGACCGACGACCTCGTAAATGTAGCAAGATGAAGGCTCTCGATGCAGGCCTCTAGCAACCGGGCGATATGTAAATCATTGAAGGAGACTTATGCTTAGCAGTGGACGTCTTGTGGCTGAAATGATGATGATGACAACTCTTATTATAAAGAAGACACCAGTGTATAGCTTCATGTGCTGTCGTCAGTACTTTAAACTTAAAAATACCAAAGCTAACCTAACCTAACGAAAAACCAACAAGGGATGAGTAAAATGGAAACAGGTGGTGTCGAATGCCATCCGGGTGTCGAATGCCATCCGAATGACACTTGACAAGATGTCAAAGTCATTCGCCTTGGCACGGTATACCCGCGTCGGAACAACGTCGAGAAAGCGCAAATTTTAGCGGAGGCCCCTATATTGATTTTTTTTTTGCACTATTGGGCTTAGAAGTAAACAGCAACGACAAAACATCAATTGCAAGACTATCCCCATCGCAGCAAGCTGTAAGTCTCTACACTCATGTGTAACTCTTGTTAATAACTTCATTTTGTCTTCATCTTCTTTTCCCAGCCCTTTTTACCATTATTTGGGGTCGGCTCTCCTTATTCTGAGAAGCCAGGACAGTCAATCCCTGGATTGTCAATATATTCATTGTGTCTAACAATATTACTACCCTGACATAACATTGCAAAAAGAAATGCTGTGTATACCTGTAATTGAGGTCATATACGCATCATGTGTTATAAACCATGTTAAAATGTATGAACTGTATTATGTATGTGACTTTGTTGGTGTACCTAATAAATAAATAAATAATTATTTATAATATCCTTTATCAGCGGTGAATGTGAGAACTCGTGGTGCGCTTCGCGGCGGGCCGCGGCGGAGAGCGAGACAGCTACATTACGGCGCGACTTACAACGCGCGCGCGACGCCGCCACTGCGTTACAGAGGGATCTCAACCAAGCTACGGAGCAGGTGCGTGGGACAGTTCGAATGTATCTTAGCCTTGTTCAGATAGGGCAAACTGGGTCTATTCCACTTTGTTTGATCACCCAAGTATTCACACAAGACCGGTATTAGAATACCGGTCTTGTATAGATACAAGTCCAGTATAATCTGCGCCCGGCTCACGGTGTTCGGTTCGAGGTACCAACAAACTTTGTCGTACTTCTTTTAAAAACTACCCGACTTGCAAAATTATTCAGTTTGTTTATTGAATCATTCTTTAAGGGGGTGCAGCACGGACGAAAAACTACGATTTGATAGCCGAGCTAGCGGTGGCGCAACGAACTAACACGATCACACACAAACTGCTTTACAGAGTAGAGACAAAAGAGACTCAACACAGAGTAAAAACACGTATTTTCACTAATTTTGCTAAGCAAAAAGTGAATTTATAATACGTAAAGGATGGTAAGGTATTATAATCAGGAATAAAGAAGATTTGATTTTTTGTTGGTATTGCTGCAAAAATTCTTACACAATAAAAATCATAACTAATTGATTTCTGATGAACAATTTAATCAAAGGCGTTAAACAGTTTCGTAAAAGAGTATTTTTCCTAAACGTTCAATTCGAATACTTAGGCAGTTAACGTAGCGTCTTTTCTTTCTATACATGGTCAGAATGCAAGGGTGTGAAACTAATCGAGTACCTATAGTTTGGAAATAACTTTTTTTTACTAAACTCTTCCAAACTGTATGAGCAGTTACGCAAATACCGCGTACCTACTACTCTAAATAAAAAAATTATCAATTTATTTATTTAATCCTACCTAATCAGTTTATTTTTAAAAACCACTCATCCGCAAGGTTTAAGATCTGTTTAAAATCTAGTTTTATATTAATTCGATAAAATATATTTAAGTAATAACAAATAAAAATACTCTTAAATGTAATTCCATATTTTACTGAATTTTACTAAATAAGTATCAAACTAACTTTTTAACACTCTTGTCAAGCGTAAGTCGTGTAGTATAGTTTGAAACGGAGACGCGAGCATCCACAATACAAATTAGACACGACCGTATTCAGTATGCAAAATTNCGCAGAGCACTCGTGATTTAAAAATATGTCAATTTTAAGGATTCTGTGCAGGACCCCCTTAAAATATGAAGTTTACACTAAAAGCTTCATAATGTTTTTGCTTTATGTTAATCTTTTACAATTATTTATGTTAGCTAATAGTTTTGTTTATAAATTCAGTGTAGTTAAGCTTTGAGAGTTGTTTTTGGCCTGGTGAAGTGTTATCGCATTTAAGATGTAAGTTATACTGTATGGTATTGTTTTTATAGTGTAACTGTATAATATGTTTTGTGTAAATAAAGAATTTTGAAAAAAAAAATCACCCAAGTGATTAAAGTGGAATATACCAAAAATCGTGCGGTTGCAGAAAAGTTATCAAGCATCTGTAACGATCGAACCATAACGCAGAAACCGCGCGGTTAGCGCTGTATCTGAAAAAGGTTCAGGTATTTAATATTGTTGTTTGTTAGCAATAATAAAATAAATATAATTTCTGGCAAATTGCATTTTTTTGGTCCGTGAAATAAATAAATATGATAGAATTGGTGTCGATTTATTGTATGTATTGTCCATTAGTTAGATTATTGTTGTTTTGAAAGATAATATCAGTAATTTCGTTTTGGATTTTGGTATTTTGTTTTATAATGGGGGCGTCTTGACAGTTTATTTCTAAACGTTTAGTTCTTGTGCCAGTCGTTGTAAAATTCTTGGTTCTGTTTTTCGTCCAACAGTGGACGTGTTTATTTGAAACTACTTATTTTATTACAGGTTCGCAACCCAAAACTCTAAACCCACGAAAGACAAGACGAGTCGAACGCGTCGAGCGCAAACGGGCGCATCTCTCGATTTTCACCCATCTCTTTTATTTTAAAACAAACTAATTTTTATAAGATTTTAAACGTTCGCGTTCCATTTCAACTAAAATGTCGCGTTGAGACCTGTGTTTCTCTATTTTAGTTTATTGAGGGTTTTCGCGTATGAAAAATCCGCCAGATGGCAATACGTAGACGCGAGGTCCAAATGCTGCATGATTGGTTATTTTTCACATGACATTGACAGATATGTCAAAATCCACCAATCACGCAGCAGTCAGACCCCACATCCACGTCCCGCCATCTAGCGGATCTTTCATACGCGAAAACTGTCTTTTTTTTTAATTTGGGCATTTCGAATTTCAGAGAGAGCGCGGCGCTATCGGTTTACACGTTGCTCACTCCTATGTGATTTAGAATTTGAATTGTTGAAAGATTTTAGGTTGCTAACTATGTTTAACTGTCATTACTTTATTTACAGGTTCGCAACCTCGAAACCCGTGAGCGGCAAGACGAGTCGAACGCGTCAAGCGCGAACGGACGCATGGCCGGCGCGCTTACGGCGTTACACGAGCGCGCGGCGCACTTGGAGCGCGCGCTGTCGGCCGAGACGCGCGTCAAGCTCGACCTGCTCTCCGCGCTCGGCGACGCCAAGCGGCACATGCAGATACAGCAAGGTAGGCGTGGGTGTGACACGAGCCCTGTGTGACGTCACACTCGGCACATGTAGACACAAAAATGTAGGCCTATGAAGACAAAGTATTATATTCGTTCCTCGTTCCACCTCGTTCGTTCTTTCGTTTCAGCCGAAAGACGTCCACTGCTGGACAAAGGCCTCCCCCAAGGATTTCCACGAAGACCGATCCTGCGCCGCTAGCATTCAGGCACCTCCCGCGACCTTCACCAGATCGTCGGTCCACCTAGTGGGAGGCCTGCCCACGCTACGTCTTCTGGCTCGTGGTCGCCACTCAAGAACTTTCCTGCCCCAGCGGCCATCAACTATACGAGCTATGTGCCCCGCCCACTGCCACTTTATTTTAGCGATTCTGCGGGCTATGTCAGTCACTCTGGTTCTCCTACGGATCTCCTCATTTCTGATTCGATCACGCAGGGAAACTCCGAGCATAGCACGCTCCATCGCCCTTTGGGTGACCTGGAGCCTTCTTATGAGGCCCATAGTAAGCGACCACGTCTCAGCTCCGAATCACCACCTGCCCTTTCCTTATAGGTGTGACCTCCAAGGCTCTACTTGCCTCTCCCTAATAGGCCTGGATCACCAGATACGGGAGTGTATGGTGGCTTTTTAAAAGGCTGCGAGTGCTGATCAGGAAACGCGGATGAATGCTTGAGGCAACCACTGATAATGATGTCCCCAAGTTTCCGACTCATGTAGCTCACCAAAAGCACCCACAGGTTTTAGTGGGTAGACTACGCCCCTCTGGCAATCTTATGACTGTGATTTAAGATACAAAAATTTTGAAATTTTCAAGGTGCTGCCATTTGTCCGAACTCAAGCTATAAGATTATATTGTTTATTCCAGGGGTAATATCTCGACAAGAAAAAGAACTAGAGGAGCTAAAGGCTCAGCTGCTAGCGCTAGTGCCGCGCCTCCCGGCGCCGCTTGACCCCAACGCGTCCGTCTACACGCCGCAGCACCAGCTAAGCGGCGCGTAGGCACCAGCGGCCACCAGCTCACGCCCGGTATACAATAACACACCCGGTATACAATAACAGCACACCCGGTATACAATAACAGCACACCCGGTATACAATAACAACATTCGGTGTACAATAACAACACACCCGGTATACCAATAACACACTTGGTATACAATAACAGCACACCTGGTATACAATAACAACATTCGGTGTACAATAACAGCACACCCGGTATACAATAACAACACACCCGGTATACAATAACAACATTCGGTGTACAATAACAGCACACCGGTATACAATAACAACATTCGGTATACAATAACAACATTCGGTGTACAATAACAGCACACCTGGTATACAATAACAACATTCGGTGTACAATAACAGCACACCCGGTATACAATAACAACATTCGGTGTACAATAACAGCACACCCGGTATACAATAACAGCACACCTGGTATACAATAACAGCACACCTGGTATACAATAACAGCACACCTGGTATACAATAACAACATTCGGTGTACAATAACAGCACACCCGATATAACATCAGTATAGTGACATAAGCGCAGACACCCAGTATATTATACCTAATAATGCCAGCGTACTGAAACCAGGTTTAATACCATCGCAAAGACCGCCTACAGGACAGTTATTGTATATTGCGACACCTAAATACCACCTGAATCTCTTAACTAGTGCTACTAACTGAGTGTATTTAAAGTCTTTTTCATATAACATTCCTATGGTGATATTTGCAGCAGTTACAGCTATTTCATATTAGCGTTTTTCTGCGTGTTTTACGGTCATTTTGGCGCGAGTCGTGCATTAATTCAAACCTATTTATTCTATCGACAAATCATAGGCGACTCACGGTACATACATACCATCTTTAGCGCGTCTACGCTCGTACGAGTAGACCTTTTATATGCCTAAAAAGCTAGTCTGAAAAAGCGTGATTATTATTTTGATTCAATGTTTTGTCGGAATTGTCAAATGCATATTGCCCTATGAATCTTATATGAAATTGACTATAAACAGTGCTGTTACTAGAATATCTGTGTAAATTAAAGTATATCGAACTGAGCAAACCTGCCGCTAGACCGAGCCTGCTTAATGTGTGAATCAGCGCAGCACAGTAAAATAGTCCACATTTTTTCATAGACAAATAACAATATTTATATCTGGTTCTAACAAACCGTGTAACATTGTTGGTTGAAGGCTTTGAAAGTATGAATAACTTACGTATTGCGCTGCGCTGATGCCCACAGCGACCCTACATACATACTGGTATTTGTATGGGCGTTTATCTTGATCTCATTTGTTTTTCTCTTGCATTTTTTTGAAAACTACTTCGCCATGTTATTTATTTGTTGATTTACTTAGCGGAGACGTGGGTGCAATCGTATTGGATGAGACTAAAAGAAGTACATTAAGGCAATTATTTTTTCATAAGATTTCACAGTATTGTATCCTAGCTTTTCTAATAAGAGTATTGTCTACTTTTCTATGTAACGATAGCCTAATGTTTGATATTTTGTAGTTACGCCCATGTTTCCAAATGTCCATACAAACATCGGTAGAACGGAAATTGATAAAACTGAGATACAAGCGTGTTAGTTTTGTAACCGTGTTCGTATTTCGAAACAGAGCGTTTATTTTTTCATAAATGAAATATTTGGATTCAGAACTCGTGGTACCTTCCCTACTCAAATAAGCATTTCAGCACAGCATTTCGGCCGGCCGGCAACTAAACTAAGCAGTTTCATCAAAAATCACAAGAGTATGCTTAAATTGATAAGTACCTGAAAATCTAATTTAAGAGAATGTTTTGTTTATCGGCATGTGTGAGAGCAAAAAGCGTATATTTTTTATTGCGATGCTTTTTCGGGACGTGAACCTCCTTCGTTTAGAGACGACCGGCCGATGATCTCCAAGATTGCATAATTTAACACATCAGTGAACACAGTCCTTCCAATGTTAAAACGCTGTTACCTTATCAGTGTTCTTTTAAATTTGTGATAAATTGTACAAATTAAGATCTGAATTGAGTCTTCTTCCTTGTATTGTAGTTTTATTGACGTTTTAGTCGAATTGTCAAGTTTAAAAGCGTCACAAGCATGCGGGGCGAAAGCCTCTTTACAGACTAGAATTGACAGTGAGTTCTGAAATTCACACAACTAAATGGCTTTTCATATCTGGTTGGAGATGTGTACAATGCATTTATAACGCATTTGTTGCCTTGTTTACTTTAATTGTGATCGCGGCTAATGACCACTTCGCAGTGGCTGTCAAGTTTGTAAATTCCTTTTGCAATAAGGACGCCTTTGACAGCGATTAGGAGCTCAAGTCCGTGTTCCATTTACGTAAGTAATCTATAGGTGCGGGTTCACCTTATACTATAGGCCTATACATTTCTGCATTAGAGTGTAGGTACGTTTATTGTGAATTGCAGTTTTTTGTTTAATAGAATTTGTGCATTCTCGAGTGTGAATCTTAGAACACGCTGTGATTCTAGTCTGTAAAACTTCTAAATAACTTGTGACGCTACTTGTTAAATTTTTAATGTTCTTCGGCCGTATTTGACTTGCAACTCGGCAGTTGCTAAATCATGACAGTTGTAGATCTTGATGACCCTCCTTATGCAGTACATAATATTGTGATTTGTATTTGTGTTTTGTAATATTCTTGAAGTACTGTCATCAATAACGCAATAAATATGCTTAATGTTAACGCATGTGAAGCATAACGTTTAGTTAATAGCAGTTAATAACTACCCGTTTAGTTTACTGTTAATTTTGTCCACTGTATCACTGTGTTCATGACTTAAATTTTTAGTTTAATGTCCAAGTCAGTATAATATTCGAATTGAGAATGTTACTAGGTATGCAAAATCACTTGAAACCTATGTTACAGTTAAGCTTTTACATTTACAAATACATTAGTTTTTATTTCATTCAAAAATACCCAGTAGTTATGATTTTATAGGCATTCAAAGTTCGCTTAAATATTGAGTCCCGCCGACGGTCACGTGACCCCGTGTGACGTACATTCACAGCGTCCGCTCACTAGAAAACGGATATAAACATACTTAAATATTTTTTTTTTGTAAATACAAACTTATTATACATATTAACACCCAGACCCATCATAGAAATTAAAATTGAACCAAACCCAAACTTGATGCGATTGTGTCGTTTTATTGCGAATTACCTTCCAGCTCCATCATTAGACCCCGATTACTATATAGAATTAAAATACTCATCAATACAAAACGAACGAGCCCAAACTCGATGCATTTAAGTCGTTTTATTATAGAGTTCCTATGGCCACCTTCCAGCTCCATCATCAGATCAGCTCCATGTCATCATAATATTGCATGGTCATCCAAATCACATGTGTTTGCGAAATTTCAGCTTAATCGGTTGCCTGGAAGTGGGTCTTAATTCAGTTTGCAAGATTCCACCCATACAAATATGAGCCAGTCGTTGTAATATGACGTCACGCGCATAAAATGGCGGGCCGGCCGCCGCCCGCACTTTTAAAATTCAATATCTTGGAAACTAATTGACGTATCGAAATAATTCTTTCACGTGTATTTTTTATTTTTAACAGAGAATACAGAAAGCTAAAAAACAAAATTAGTGAACATTCTTCATTCTCATTAATTTATTGTAATTTAGTTTGAAAAAATATGTTTATGACATCACAACTCTTCTTCCTTTGCTGTTCGCTTCCAGCAAATTCCAATAGTAATCTCGCATTTACGCATGTAACAATTTTACACTTGTGTTTGTGAAGTCAATATCGAAGTGTGTGAATTGCTAATAAGTCTAGTTATAATGAGTGGGAACCGAAGGGTTAAGGTTAAGGGCGGATCGAATTAGGGTATAGAACGTCGCCATTCTCCAACTTGGCACTTGTTTGTTGTTGGATTGTCAGTGTTGTGTCAAGTATTCGTTAGGTCTTTATCGAGCAATGTCCACAAGTGCCAATCTGACTACCCTACCCAAACAGCTTGAAATGTAAATGCTTCTTTGACAGTTACTTCCGATAGGTGCCGAGATTTTAAGGCGGATACTTAGAGCGCTAAAATAGGGAATAGAAATTGCTAAAATCACATTTGTGTTAATTCATAATAAAGTTTGGTTCCCCAAATAACGCTGGCCATAAGATCTTGGTAATTTGTCATGTAAACTATCAGTCAAAAAGCATAAAGGTTAGTGTAACACACTTGAGCGCTAAACGCACATTGGTAAAGGATGTATTATTTTTGAGATTGTGACACTGAAGATTGTCGTCTAATCTAGTCTTTCGTCGAGATCCGTTTACGCGGGCGAGCTGTCAGTATTAACGTTACGTGTCAGTATTCGTATTGCCTAGAGGCCTCGGATATCACACCGACAATAAGTTACGCTATGTAACTCATATCTTATTTGGTTACGAACGCGTGTTTGAGTGAGATTATACGCAGCTCGTCGAGTATAAATTGGTCTGGATATTCGTAAACCTAAGTTTTAGACATTTAGTTTTAAAATCAGACTGCGCACTGCCCTCGAAGTCAAACTTCAGTTCTCCAGCATTTCGAAGGTTGAGCCGAAAATGTGAAACTCAAAAGTACTTAATTTAGCTTTAGATTTCGATGTGATTTACCGACTAATTATTTTTTTGGGATACGAAGACATCGGATACACAGATGCCGATGTATATTTTTTCATAAAACAAAATAGTTCCCGCATCAAGCAGAGAGCAAAGTCGTAGGAACAAATTGGTACAAGCAGAACGATCTGAATTTTCACTAGTGAAATGTAAGCGATAATGTTTGTTTGTATTATAAACAGATGCTGTAACAGCAATAAAAAATCAGACTTGCATGTTTTGTTTCATTCCCTTTTATCGGATGTTGGAACGTACATACTTCGCGCTCTATATCTCAACCCCCTAAACAAGTGACAAAATTCGACAGTTGTAATTTCGAAATGCCTTCACAGTGAACTACATAGGTACAAAAACGCCAGAGCAAGGGATTTCAAGATTACCTACCTAAAACTGTCGTTTTATTTTGTGATAAGTGTTAGAACAAGTGACGAATGAAGTTTGTGGGGTGCCATTGCACACACAAGTGGGTGCAAGTGGTTTGTAGATAAAGAGCTATGACATCTTATTTGCATAATCAAGGTAATTTTTCATAAGAGAGAGACCAATAATTAAAAAATAATTAATAATTTGAGAAATAAAACAATGCTTCACTCTTAAAACAAGTTTATTATCAACCTTCTCACAATATTATTTTACAGTGGGCTTTCAGTAAAAAAATATAGGTACATCTCATATTCATATAATTTTCTTCAGCTACTACTGTCACTAACTCATTTGCTTGAAAGACAGAATCCAAATAAATTCTTTGGGGACATGCAATACACATAACTCGTTTATTCAAACATTTCTCTACCATCAGGTTCCAGACAATGCAGTCATTCTAGCTTCACTCACAATCGTCTGTATTTCCAATTGTAATCTTAGAGCTTTATTAAAATCCATATTCCTTAACTGTGCTGCCAAATATTTACCATAGATATCAAACTCATCATCTTTAGAACTAGAACATAAATCAACATTGTCTCGCTGTGACCGCTCTGGGAAGTTGGGACTATTCTTCTTGCTTTTTCTTTTCTTTTTTATTTTCTGACTCATGCTCAGTGAAAAGTCCTGTGGTTCAGCTTTTAAGAATAATAAATAATCATTGGACTGTGAAGTAAGAGGATTGTGTTTCTGGTCAGTTAAATTGCAGTTTTTCTTCTCGTTAGCTTCATCCTGCAAATAAAATATAAACATTAGATTGGTTTGTAGAATGCATAATAAATTAAAGTGCAAAATATACTCGTAAACTCATACTTCTAAAGAATCCATTCTTTTCTTTATAGCACTAAAACACGAATGCCACTCAGCAAACCACTTGATGGTCGGCGTGTATATGAAGTCAGGACTTGACCGTTGGCGTATTTTGGACACTTCTTGAGTGTACGTCGATCTAAGGTTCTTGATTTTGATCCTCAACTCAGTTTCGCTCATCAAAATTCCGGTGGAAGAATGAAATTCTGTGATGATATCATTGTACGCCTTCTCTCGTTTAATCTTCATTTTGTAGCTTGTGTCGGAAGGGTTCCATAAGTTCTCATGTCTCAAATACATTTTGACGAATTTCAAAGTTTCAACTTCACTCCACCTCATTTTGATAGTAGAAAATTATTAATTTTTCAGAAAAATAAAACCACCACAACTTTCCAACGAAAAATGTCTTGAAAAGTTGAAATGGCTCTAATGTCAATGTCATTCTAACTATTTAAACGTTACGTGGGTAATATGACACATGTTTATTTTACCGTTCAGTCAATCTGACATAGCCATAGCCGTGGAGTCACAGATCGCTTGGAGTTGATTTATGATTATTGCCCTTGAAAAAATCCGTTCGTACGTTAGTGTTCCTGTAGGCATTGATTGATGATTGATTTAATCCATTCATTACATCCTGAAGTGAGAATTGGTGGGACAAAAATAATATAGTATGAAGGTACTTACTATTTTATTACATACAATTGTAAATTATTTTTGTAAATAAATAATAAAAATTATACAAATCCAGTTTAATAATCTAAGTCATAAAATTAAAACAGTTAATATTTAAGAGAGGTTGCCACTTGCCCTTTTGAAACTACTGATACCCATTTAGTTCCAATCTATTCTGGGTTTTTGGTACAATAAGGACCATCTTTTGCAATCCAAACCCAAGCCCAAGGTATTCAATCTTTGGTTTACTAATTAAAATGGAGTTAAAATTGCACTATCAGTATCTTATATCTATCTATAACTCAATTTAATCACTAGTAATGTCAGAGATCCTGGCTTCACTGACCAAGTTTTGTATCTCAAGCTGAAGCCGCAATGCTTTGTAGAGATCCATTTTCCTCAGCTGGGATGCAATGTATTTCCCATAAATATCAAATTCATCTTCTTTTCCAACAATTTCTGAATTGGAATCTGTGGAGTAGTCTTGAATTGCAGCTTTATGTTTGAATTTTTTCTTTTTGTTTTTCTTGTAGATGGGGGAATGCTTTTCCTTTTTCACCCTTAATGGGGGTGGTGACTTGGCAGTGTACTCCTCTTCCATTTGGGGGACTAAGGGATCAGGGTTTGTTTCTTCCATGTTACCATTTTGCATTTCATGGTCTACCCAAATTTGAGTCGAGGAATCGACTTCAGGAGCTTCTGGAACCTGCAATAAAGTAAAGGTGTAGGTAGTTTTAGTACAATAACATTGATTGCAGTATTTTCATATTTATGTAATTGTTTTCCTGAGATCTAGGTATTTAAAAAGATTTACTTACGGTGTTGTAAGCGGTTGGATGTCGGTGATTGGGCACATGTTTCAGACACTTATCCATTTCATGGAACCACACCAAAGAAGGTTCATACATGGAATCCGGGTTGGATTTCTGCAGAATTTTGTGCACTTGTTGAACATACGTTGTCCTCAAGTTTTTTATCTTCATTTTAACTTCTGGCACTGTTAAAGTCTTCGATGTGGAATCTTTGAATTCAGTAATAATGCTAAAGTAAGATTTTTCCCTTTGTGCCTTCATTTTGTAACCTGGATGAGCAGGATTCCACAGACATTCATGTTTCAAATAGATTTTAACGAATTCTAAAGTTACTGCTTCACTCCACCGCATGTTTATTTTAATTTATTAATAAAATTAACAAAAAATATTTTACAATATTTTGTTTGGTTAGCCAACCAGCCGCTTTGACATTGACACTTTACTTTTTTTAAGTTTACTTGTTCGAGACAGGAATCGAGTCGAATAAGATGGGAATCGACACGCGTCAAACTTGAAACTTTAATGTATTACTTTTCTCTATGCTTTTAACGACTGTTTAATATTTAAAACTAGCTTTTGCCCGCGCCTTCACCCGCGTCAAATTTAGTGTCACAGATCGGCATAAATTATAAGCTCTGGGTTATAAACAATAATACAGGGTGTTTGGCGCATCGTGTGCCAAAATGATTTGGCGGATAGAATGGGTCATTTCCTATATTTTCAGCCCCCATAACACGTTCCATGCCAGGCGGCTACTTTTAAATTAATTTTTTTAGTAATTTCACCAAAATACCCAAATCGCATCATTTAATTTCGATTTAAAAAAAAACTACAAGGCGCAGCCCTAAAGTAAATATTTTGTTTTGACGTGCATTAATGTAGGGTTGCATCAAATCTAAATTTACTGGCAAATATCATCTAGTTTTTTTTAAATTCAGCTTTGAAGTTTTCCGAAAAGTTAAAAATGGACTGAACATTTAAGTTTACATGGGTATAATTTTTTTTTTAAAAGAGATAGCGATCTTCGGATTTTATCAAAACTTCTCTAGTCTATCCTCATTCAAACGGTATACTAATCTTGTTTAAATAATAACAACAACTTCACAAATTCCTTAAATTAGTGCATTGACTCTACTCGGACTGATTTGCGAAATTTGTGTTTATAGCCCCTTTTTGTGTGAATAGCACGTTAAATACCTACAGGTAAAAATTATTTATCTTATGCAATGTAAAAACCTTTTCCCTATCGTTTTTCAATGTGGATTTCTTGAAATTAAAGACGAAAATAATTATTTTGATCGTTTATTAATTATTACAAATTTTGTTCAAAATGTCCGCCTCGGCAACGTATACACTCAAGACATCTTCTTCTAATTTCGACTGTTGTCGTATGCAGCCACATTTCTCTTTTTATTACTAATAAGGCGTTTTCTATTCGTTGTAGTTTTTCTATTGTTTGAATCCGTTACGTACACCAGTTCTTTAGCTTGTCCCCAGACGTAAAAATCGAACGGAGTTAGGTCTGGGGAACGTGCAGGCCACTGTATAGGGCCATCTCTTCCAATCCACGAGTAGAAAACGCCTTTGTAGTAATAAAAAGAGAAAATTAGAAGAAGATGTCGTGAGTGTATACGTTGCCGAGGCCATTTTGAACAAAATTTGTAATAATTAATAAACGATCAAAATAATTATTTTCGTCTTTAAATTCAAGAAATCCACATTGAAAAACGATTGGGAAAAGGTTTTTACATTGCATAAGATAAATAATTTTTACCTGTAGGTGTTAAACGTGCTATTCACACATAAAGGGGCTATAAACACAAATTTCGCAAATCAGTCCGAGTAGAGTCAATGCACTAATTTAAGTAATTTGTGAAGTTGTTGTTATTATTTAAACAAGATTAGTATACCGTTTGAATGAGGATAGACTAGAGAAGTTTTGATAAAATCCGAAGATCGCTATCTCTTTTAAAAAAAAAATTATACCCATGTAAACTTAAATGTTCAGTCCATTTTTAACTTTTCGGAAAACTTCAAAGCTGAATTTAAAAAAAACTAGATGATATTTGCCAGTAAATTTAGATTTGATGCAACCCTACATTAATGCACGTCAAAACAAAATATTTACTTTAGGGCTGCGCCTAGTAGTTTTTTTTTAAATCGAAATTAAATGATGCGATTTGGGTATTTTGGTGAAATTACTAAAAAAATTAATTTAAAAGTAGCCGCCTGGCATGGAACGTGTTATGGGGGCTGAAAATATAGGAAATGACCCATTCTATCCGCCAAATCATTTTGGCACACGATGCGCCAAACACCCTGTATTATAAAGTTTCAACAAAATCTGTTCGGTAATGTTTGCATGAAAGAGTAACTTATAATATTAGTAGCACAGATAATATAATACTAGTTTAATAGAATTCAAACACAAAATTATATTTTTAAACCTTCTTTAATCAAACAAGCATTAACTTAAAAAAAATCTTTTACAACTTCTTAAAAAAACTCTCAAAAATAAAACATAACGCTAAGTGCATCTATTATTTAAACCTAAACTCATTGTATCTAATACATCGTAACTAGCATACATTCTTAATTAATTTTATGTACTTAGAAGGTATTTCATAATCACTAAAAGGGAAAAGTCTACATCTCATAATCACACTTTAAAAAGATTGATCAAAATCACAAGTTCATGATTAAAACAATTACATTTCTGATCTTAAAACCAAAATATGAAGTAAACGGATTGATACATAACACCGTGGTCGTCCTAGATGCCAACAAAGTAAATTACCATTAACACAATCATTATGTACCAAAACTTTACTATGTAAAAAACACACAAATTAGAATTTACAATATAACGCATTCAAATTAAATATAAGTAATGTTAATAGGGTTAAAATCAAAAATGCACACGTAGTAAAAACTTAAATTCATAATCACAAAAACAATGATTGGTTAAAATGTTATCTGATTAAAATACTCCGGCTGTCGTGGCAGGTGAAATGGCCACTGCGGTCTTAGAGATATACCGGATAGTTACTATAGAGTCCTATTTAAAATCAAGTCAAAAATGGTCTGTGTTGTCCAAAGTGTACATCCTACAAAAACTTGATAAACTGATTTCGTATTTTTTTGGGAAAATTGTCAATCGCCAATATAGACGTTCCTTTTTCATCATATTATTTAAAATATGCCATCAAAAGGAGTCTGATAATAACAAAGTTAGATTAATTGGAAATAGATTGACTTTCCATTGTAAAATAATCAAAGGTTAAAAAAGTTGAGCCAGATATCATGATAATCAAATACATAAGTCCGGAAAAAATACAGTTAAGATCTAAATAAAAAATGCGGGGTTAAAAATCAAAAAATAAAACATGCTCTCCTTATAAACTATGATTAAAATTCCATAACTTAATATCTTAAAACTAATGCTGAATTCGGCTAGTTTACTTCAACAACTGTCTATGATAGAGATCAAATCGTCGTATCGCTTTAAGCTATCATAAAAATTTATATAAAAAACAACTTAGGTACTAGAATCAATAAAATCTCATACATTCAACGATTCATCCGCGAAGCAAGCTCATAAAATCACAGTCACTGTTCATAATCTACGATCTTCCGTGAAAGATAATTTATATAAAAAGGTAAGTATGGTCTGAAAGAAGGTAGATTTGAAAACACGCGTCTGCGTTAATCGTTCTCTAAACTTAGGTATTAATCAGTCTCACTGAGGCCTTATTAGAGATCATTAATTTGTACTAGGGTTCAATCAGTACTCCTTGCGAGTTACTTTGGATTCAGTCTTATGAGCGTTGATAGTTTACGTTGCTTCGTGGGTTAGACGCCGCCGCGGAACGAAAAGCGAATAGTCGACAAAAATATTGCAACCGACAGAAAATATTTCGTTTGGATGAAAAATAATCAAAATCTCAGTTATTTTATTATTGGCGTATTGCGTCCTACACAATTTATAATAGTTAATCAAGTACCTACACATTTCCAGAATGGTAATTCACAGTTTCAGTCGGTTGCTCGTCTACCGTCAAAATTTCGTGGGAAATGGAACCGGCTTCCTAATTAAGGCAGGCGTAGTGCGCTCTTATTGTGCTTAATAAGAGGGCGTTACGCCTGATCAAGCTTGCGTGTCAAGTGAATACATCGAGCATAGCGGATCTACCGCTAATAGGGTTCAAAATATGAGGAGGTTGCGAAGCTTAGCATTAGGAAGCCGATCGGGATCACCACGACCGCAAACACATTATCGCTTTGTTCCGGGCGGCGTCAACTGAAGCCTGTTAGCCGAATATTCTTTGCGCGACACGAGCGCCTCACTAGAATATTACGGGTTTCATCAACAGTACAAAATAGATATATTTAAAAAAAATAAGCCGACAAGTTTTCTATTTTATCAAATATTGCAATTTGTTGAGTGAGGCCCCCGCGTCACGCAGAAGCCTGGCGTCCATTCGAGTCACATTGCTTCGATGGTTGCGCCCCCGCTCCGCAAGGACAAGCAACTCTATATAACGAGAGCGAAGCAGATGTGAGTCGACTCGACGCCAGTAGACCTAAGATGCGCGCCGTGATAACTTTTATCGACGGCAAAATGTATGGACAAAATCGATAAAACGGCGTGATAACCGCGTATCACGGCGCGCATCTTAGGCCAACAGGCGTAAGCCGGGTAGGCTTACCACTTGTCGGTGGGAAGAGTGGCCGTGTTGTAGGGCGGAGAGGAGATCAGCTTTCTCTCGGCTCCGGGGGCGGCAGAACCTTTGAACGCGTTCTTTTGTTTTGCAAGCTCTGGAGAAATAGAACGTGTTCGTTAATAAAAAGTAACAAAAACTACACCTACTTTAAATTGGGGAGTTACAGAAATCAGCATCATCTGAGTCGTTGTCTCAACCAAATGACGTCCAATATGGTCTCATCAAACATTTCCACAACGAGTGGGAGGCCTGCCTACAACACTACATTTTTTGATCCATAATATCAAAGGAACATACCGGAATAATATCAAACTAAGGTTATGGCTACTCAGGAGTTGCGGGTTCCTTTTCTGGGACCGCTAAACCTTTTACCGGTTGAGTTTCATTAGAGGCCAAGCTGAGATCCTGGCTATACAGGATTTGCAGTGATAAAAAACTTATTTAATCATTGTATGCAAGTACCTCAGAGCCCCGATTACGGTAACTTTTAACGTCGACAATCCAGACGCGTTTCTGATTCTGCGATACGATTGGTCAAAACAGCTGACGTACGCTGTTGAACGACCAATCGTATCGCAGAATCGAGAAGCGTGTCTGGATTGTTGACGTTAAAAATTACCGTAATCGGGGCTCAGTTTGTATAGAAAACACGCGCGGCACTTCACACTGACAACGCGTCCGCGCGCGTGATTTTTTATATGAAAATCACGCGCTCCGCGGCGGAGCTCGGCGCAGTGTGATAACCGCCTAACGAATAAGAAGAAGGAGACCCCCTTCGGACCTTAAAATTCCCAGAGCTCCCAGTAGGTTAGAGGCCTTGTAAACAACAACTCACCAGCAATGATCAGCAGCATTTTCCTGCGAGCGCCGAAGGCCGTGACGCCGATTTCCGTGAGGTCCGCCTCGTTCATCGACGCGAACGTCGACAAGTCTAGCTCGTGCTTCTTGACCAAGTCTGGAAAGAGATTTTAAGAGTAAGGTGAGATCTTATTCAGTAACCAAATGATCTAGTCCTAATTTTAAAGGTTTTACGATACGTTATGTATCTGTCGCAGTCGGATTGTATAATCCGCCGTTTTACATTACCACTAGGCATTATCGATGTAGGTTGTGATGAAATAACAATGGACAAGCAAAAACCTCTCTACACTTGTGCCGGACAATGAAAATTCGAAGCGCGGTGCTAGTAAATTCAATTTAATGACCAAAAGATCAGCCTTAGGCTGAGTTGCACCACCTAACTTTAACTGTAACTATAACGACAACCGGTGCTTTTTGTATAGAGTTTGACAAATTTTTGACGTTTGTCAAAGTTAAAGTAAGATGGTGCAGCAACCCACCCTAAGTACTAGTATTAAAAGAAAGATACCTACCTTTTTTGCGTCGGGAACTTTGCGCATACCTAGCTGATGGGACAGTCAGTCAGTGGGTTATGTGGGACTCTCCTCCCCGCCGGGAGGGCGGGGCCTACCCACTAAAACCCGACGGTGTTCTCAGTGGCCATTGAAACGAAGCCGCGAGTTATTGTCCTAACTTTATATATGACATTCGTCCGTGGCTCAAATAAGAAAGATACCAGCTCTTGGGATCAATAGTCGATGTAACAACTTGTGCCAGCGTAAATCAGATTCAGTGGCTTTAACAATAAAGACTGTAACATGACTGTACATACCGATGTACTTGTACAGGCCGACGTCCCTCAGCAAGCCGTAGAGTTGCTGGTAGCGGCAGGACTTCGCTCTCGACGACGGCTCCGAGCAAGTCTAGCCTCTCTGGGGCTGTATACAGGGTGTTAGGGTATATGAGCCGACACTACCCCATGTTAACATGGTCATATAAATGGTATGGTGAAGTCAGAAAATTGATATCTTCATTTTAATAATTAAAATTTTAATACAAATCGGAATTTATAAAATTTATTTTGTATGAAAATTTAAAAAATTAAAATGATGATATCAATTCTGACTTCAACATACCATTTATATGACCATGTTAACATGGGCTAGTGTCGGCTCATATACCCATGCACCCTGTATAAGCGCTAGTGTGCAGTATCATACCAATATACTTGTGCAGGCCGACGTCCCTCAGCAAGCCGTAGAGTTGCTGGTAGCGGCAGGGCTTGGCGCTCTGCGACGGCACCGGCACCGCCGGCGTCGGCTCCGCTATGTTGGGCCGTGTTAGCTCGGAGCGGTTCCAGCCTCTCTCGGCTCTCTCGGGCTGCGGTAATAAGTTAACTAGTTAGTTAATTGTTGATTGTAAATTACCTAGTTCATTGTTAGTCGATCGATTGACACCAAAATGTGTCAATAAGTACCTATACTGCAGACTTTTTTTTTAAAGAAGTAGGAGTCACACACACCCACTGTGTGTGGTGTAGACGGTCTACACCACACAGTGGTCTACAGTAGACCATAGTGTAGACTTAGACCACACTTCCACGGTAGTCTTTGAAAGAACTGTATTTCTGAATTTGCCTGAATCAACCAAAATGTTACAAAAAAGCTCTATTTTTTTAACAGTTAAAATAATTAAGTATATGTCCCGGTTCAACAGTCACTCACCGTAGTATTCGTATCGTTGTTCTCGTTCAGGTTAATCGGGCCAGGCGAGGTGTGGCTGAAGTAGTAACCGGACCAGCGCGTATTGGGTACGCGGAAACCGGAGCCGACTGTCTCGCGCATTGCCTTTGAACAAAATATAGTGTCACGGTTAGTAGCTTTAGAGCCAGGTGACATATTAGAATTTAGATTTAGTTTGAGAAATAAAAGATAATTTAGATTAGCAAGTAATTTATTTAGANTATAACCTATAGTTATTAGATTTTCCTGCATTTTCCTTTTCTAAATTAGAAAATGCCTGCTCCTATAGTGGAGACTAAAATGATCTGCTGATGTTAAAGCATAGGTTTTCATTACTAGCTCTTCTCTCTGGGTTATGTTTTGATGTAGTCGGTTAGCCTTGCAGACGGTCCCACCCACGCGTCGCTTGCGCACCACAGATTTTATGCAAAAATATTATTCACACTACGAAATCGCTTATCGAACGCCAAACCCGATTTCAGTCAATAGACTAATAGGGCCTAAACACACTTCTAATTTCATTACTCGTTTATCTTCCAGCTCCACTTAGCAACTAAGTACCGATTCAACGATTTTTGGCTTACATAGTAAGTATCTGCTTAGTTTGGTTTGTGATAGGGCTGGTTCTAAGTACGCCTTACCTAAGTTTGCCATGACAAAAAATATTAACAACAATTTGTTGTGTTTCGGCAGTTGGAGGTAAGATAGCCAATACCTGTGTCGTTGAGGATTTTGGGTAAAACTCACTTCCTTCAACCTTCAGCCTGATTTATCACTTTCCATCAGGGTCACTAGGTGAGGTACAGGCCAAGAACTTCTCTTTCCGTTTAGTGTTTTTTTAAGTTGTTCAAAAAACAGAAATCACTACAATTATACTGCTATTTCATAGTTTATAGACCTATAATATAAGATTTTGAGACAGTTTGTAGTGTGTCCAGGCCCAACGGATTCTAGTTCCCGCACTTGTCGGTCAACTTCCCGTCTGGCGACGCTCAGGCCAACATTATGCAGGCGCCCATAAATCATGCACTAACTATGTTTACCTGCACACAGCATACTGAATGATCCAGCTGATAAGAAGATATATCATACTATTAGCGTGCCTGCTAATCAGATATACTAGGTAATATTGCAAAACTAAGCTAATACTCTCTTAATCTCTAGACTTTAGCATAGTAGGATTCAAATCATACTGGGCGGTGTATAAGCGTTTTTTTTTCTTATCTTCAGAAAAGGATGATGACTCCTGACTCGGTGTTTTTGTAACATCACTTTTCGTTCAAAGACAAAACAAGAGGCTGATTGTAAGAAGTGTGTTTCAGGCGGCACAACGAGTCAAAAATTAAAATACTTTGCACTAAGCTAATGCTTGTATCGCGAAACTATTTTAATGAGAAGCAACAACCAGCAATTATTGTTCTATCACTTACTGGAACTAAGTATTCATAGAAGAAGGAAAGGAAGCGATGCATTAACGCTTACTTCAAAGCCTAGACGTATAAACGTGTAATTGCTGTGCGCCCGCGCAACTTCCGTCCCATCTGAGCTGCACCGGCCTCGCACGCGATTGCTCACGTGTCTTCTAGAACGTAAAACCTAAAGCAATGTTACATCGTTAGGTTTGTAATATCGAAAAACACCTAATATTTGTCATACAACACAACCATGGGGTAGTTAACCTTAACTTTGAACTCCTACTATGTTCTTCTGATTAATTTCGTCGCGGGTCCAATGACAGTTTAACTTTCCTCCGAGACAAACTTGACCTTCACTGGTTGGGTTTTTATTGACGGTCAAGCTGTAGATCCTTGTTACACAGGAGTTGCAGCGGTGTGAAAGAGAGGAGGGAACAGTTCCGCTACCATGGGGAACTGTTCTTGCCCTGAAACTGAATAACTTTTCAATTGCAATCAAATAAATCTTTCAATTCAATTCGCGTCCTGATTACTGACGACGTTTCCCTAATTTACGTCGTCCCAGTCCATTAAGCATTCGAGATAGGTTTTTATGTACCTAAGTCTATGTTTGTTATCGATGCCGCTCCCAATTATTATAATTTAATTAAATATCACTGCTTGTGCACGGATTATTAAAAACAAATTACTCCAACAGACAAGCAGCAATGCTTGTGGTCATAAACTTCCTAAAACGTTATTCTGTCATTGCAATCAAAATTTATATGAAAGTGAATGACAATGCCCAATAAAGTAATTATATTCATGCACAAAGCTGCAAGACCAGTTCGGTTTGCTAAGCAGCTGGGAGCCGCGGCGCGGCCTTGCGAGCGGTCGCTGCCCACGCGTGGGCATGCTTTTACTGGTATCCTTCCGTTTGGCTAAATTACTTTTCGTCAAATTTCACTTCGCAAACAACTTATCGCCAAAGTTTCATTTCCCAAATAAACTTTTAGCAACTGTACTTTTCGCAACTAATTCATTTGGTCAAATNTGTCACGGTTAGTAGCTTTAGAGCCAGGTGACATATTAGAATTTAGATTTAGTTTGAGAAATAAAAGATAATTTAGATTAGCAAGTAATTTATTTAGATTAAAGAGCAAAAGACCTTAAGGGTGTGGGTTACGAGCTAACTATCATATCGCACGAGATTCGTCACCGGTGGTAGTATATTCAAACCACTGTCCTCGCTAGCATTGATGGTGATGTGGGTTGGTTCTTCTTGATGGTAGGCCCGCAGAGTTGTCGACACGCCGGACGGTTAGGGCCGTACGCACTGTGGTGTAGGGCCACTTAGAGAGTGCGCACGGGCCGTCCGACACGGCAGGCAGCTCTGCCGGGTTGAAGACCCAGGTGGTAGTTTCGGCAGTGGTGACCATGCATGGTGTAGTAGGTAGTCGTAGAAGATGAAGGTGAAGATGAACCCTGCAAATCAAAGCGGACACTAAAGCAGTTGCTAGCTTTTGTCCGTTTGACTGCGACATCAAAATACTAGCGAAGNGTAAACGGCTATTAAAACTTTTGAAAAACGAACACTAGCGAGCTATCACACATGCAAAGCACTTGGCTTCGTGAATAACAACAACTTAAATATCAGTTTAAAAGTGCACAACTGGGCCAAGAGTTTTCTGCCTACCTTCTGGGCGTCGGCTTTGATCTTGCGGTACTCTGAAAGAGGCGAGAGCTTGGTAAGTGTCTCCAGGGTCTTCTTCTCGCAGCCCACCGCGCGTCGTTCAGATAGCGGCATGTCCGATATTATGTTCGCGAGGTCGGTTATTTCTGTATACAAACATTAATGGTTAGTGTAAGTTATTGAGTACGTCCTGTCCTCCTCCCCCTAGCTCTCTAGGGAGAAGTCAAGAGGAATAACAGCATTGTACACATAATTTCGAAAACATAATGCTACGTTACTATAGCGGGGTAGTATACTTCATTATGGTTCAGGTATGCTATTTTCGGAGGAATCAAAAAGTGCCACATGTCTAGGGGGGCAGATTGCCCTATACTATCTCCATGGGCATACCCAGGGCAGAAGAGAGTTGCCACCCGGAAATCTCGAAAAAGCGCCGCGGTCGCTTTGAAGGAGCTAAAAAATCTTACTTGTCCCACCTTAGCTACTTTACTCACGTGGGCATAGTTTAGGTACACAATAGGTTAGTTACTTAGCAGGTCCTTATCTTCAAATGAGAAACTAACCATGCTGCGAGCTGGAGTGGTGACTACAGGCATAATTGTTTACACAATAGGTTACAGTTCTCAGCAGCAGGGCTACTCCGAAATGCTGTTTACGTAGTTTCAAGTATATCTGTCACCGTGTTTACTTTGCGTGAGAGGGATGGAAACATTCGAAACTTCGGATAACGTTTTCAACTGAGAAACTAACCTTGCTGTGAACGGTCGGTGTGGGTCTCTAACGTCAACTGAGAAACTGACCTTGCTGCGAGCGGTCGGTGTGGGCGGTGGAGGGACTCATCTGCAGGCATGTTTGCACAATAAGTTCGGTTACTCAGCAGGTCCCTATCGTCAACTGAGAAACTGACCTTGCTGTGAACGGTCGGTGTCGGCGGTGGAGGGACTCATCTGCAGGCATGTTTGCACAATAAGTTCGGTTACTCAGCAGGTCCCTATCGTCAACTGAGAAACTGACCTTGCTGTGAACGGTCGGTGTCGGCGGTGGAGGGACTCATCTGCAGGCATGTTTGCACAATAAGTTCGGTTACTCAGCAGGTCCCTATCGTCAACTGAGAAACTGACCTTGCTGTGAACGGTCGGTGTCGGCGGTGGAGGGACTCATCTGCAGGCATGTTTGCACAATAAGTTCGGTTACTCAGCAGGTCCCTATCGTCAACTGAGAAACTGACCTTGCTGTGAACGGTCGGTGTCGGCGGTGGAGGGACTCATCTGCAGGCATGTTTGCACAATAAGTTCGGTTACTCAGCAGGTCCCTATCGTCAACTGAGAAACTGACCTTGCTGTGAACGGTCGGTGTCGGCGGTGGAGGGACTCATCTGCAGGCATGTTTGCACAATAAGTTCGGTTACTCAGCAGGTCCCTATCGTCAACTGAGAAACTGACCTTGCTGTGAACGGTCGGTGTCGGCGGTGGAGGGACTCATCTGCAGGCATGTTTGCACAATAAGTTCGGTTACTCAGCAGGTCCCTATCGTCAACTGAGAAACTGACCTTGCTGTGAACGGTCGGTGTCGGCGGTGGAGGGACTCATCTGCAGGCATGTTTGCACAATAAGTTCGGTTACTCAGCAGGTCCCTATCGTCAACTGAGAAACTGACCTTGCTGTGAACGGTCGGTGTCGGCGGTGGAGGGACTCATCTGCAGGCATGTTTGCACAATAAGTTCGGTTACTCAGCAGGTCCCTATCGTCAACTGAGAAACTGACCTTGCTGTGAACGGTCGGTGTCGGCGGTGGAGGGACTCATCTGCAGGCATGTTTGCACAATAAGTTCGGTTACTCAGCAGGTCCCTATCGTCAACTGAGAAACTGACCTTGCTGTGAACGGTCGGTGTCGGCGGTGGAGGGACTCATCTGCAGGCATGTTTGCACAATAAGTTCGGTTACTCAGCAGGTCCCTATCGTCAACTGAGAAACTGACCTTGCTGTGAACGGTCGGTGTCGGCGGTGGAGGGCGCGGGCGAGTGCGTCTTGCTGATGGGCGACACCGACGGAGAAACCACGTTGCTGCCGTCGCCTCCTGGGACACCAGATACATTAGCGAAACTACTTGATGAATGGATGATTAGCACGACGCACACTTATCAACCCGGATACGGATCGAGGCGGTCAGCTCTTTGTATGAAACGCACACTTATCCGCACCGTAAAGTTGACATCGCGCGAAAGGCGGTACGGTGTTGATCCCTTTTATTAAGTGTGCATTTGACAAATTAATGTTGATTGTTTTTATTTTACGAAGATTTAGAATTAAGCAACTTAAATCCGTTTTGCAATGGAGGGAAGTCGAACCTTAATTTCGAATTCCTCCTATGTTCTTCTGATTAATTTCGTTACGGGTCCAATGACAGTTTAACTTTCTCCCGGGACAAACTTGACCTTCATTGGTTGGATTTTTGTGGCGGTCAAGCTGTAGATCCTGGCTACACAGGAGTTGCAGTGGTGGGAACGAGAGGTGGGAATAGTCCCGTAATTTAAATCTGCTAGCTTGGTGCTCGGTAGCTTTCGAATATTAGTATCTGAATCTGCAGCTTAATTTTCGATGTACAAAGAGTCTCCTCGACTGCTTTAGGATACTACACTAATGCAGCGGTTCCCGAAAGGTGGTCCGCGGAATCCTGGGGTTCCGTGGAAAGGCCGCAAGGGTTCCGTAAAAAATATTATCCCACGTTTCGTGACCGATGTTGTTCGCTCGCACCGACTTGTTTACGCACAAGGGAGGGACAGGGCGTGCGGGCAGAGTAGTACGGGGGTTCCGCTAGGAAAAGTATAATCAATTAGGGTTCCTTGGCAAAAAAAATTGGGAAACCCTGCACTAATGTACCTATTTACATTACAAGTAGTAGCTAAGTAGACCCACCTGAAATATTCTGCGTGTCGAGCGAGACACAGCTGCCTGTGAAGTTGCTCTGGTACCCGCTGCTGGCTTGCGAGCTCGAGTTCAGTAGTTGGCTCAGCGTTTGCTATACATAACAACAACAAACATTTAACAAACATAAAAAAAATCATGATCAAAGAAAATAACTCTCAGTCTCAGTCGTCTCAACTGGGGTTTTTATACTGGAAGAGTAATTCTCAGTTGTTCAAGAATACAGGATGACTTACGGGTCTATTATTGTTATCAGGCTGAGATTGGTATTGCTGCTGCATCATCATCGGTTGCTGCAAGTTCCCCATGTCCGGTTGATTGTTGTTGTTCATAGCTGCAAAGAAACGATATAAAATTAGGTTTAGCTTTCATGATTTGTGACTATTAATGGCCAGCGACCGGCGACCAGTCATTTATTTTAGTATTCTGCTCAAGCCGGCGGTTAGTAGCGGCCGCAGGGTGGCTATAGTGTTATGCGTCTAGTGGCAGCTACTGGGCGACTATTGAGCAGCTATTGTGCGACTAGTGGTCTCTGCTGGGCGACTAGTGGCGGCTGATTGACGACTAGTAGCGGCTGCTTGACGACTAATGCCAGCTGCTTGGTGGTCTTAGTGGTGCCTGCTGGGCAACTAGTGGCAACTGTGTGGTGACTAGTTGCAGCTGCTGGGCGACTAGTGGCTTCTTCTAAGTGACTAGTGGCGGCTGACGAGCTGATGGTGCCGACTAAAGCCTGGTCCGTGAGCACGTAGAATCCCGTCCAATGACCCCAAGCTACCCATCCCAATCGCTCGCGCGTAATTATGTTGCTGTCGCGCTTGCACACTCACTGCGGGCTCGCGTCGCACAGTCGCGACAGCAATATAATTACGCGCGAGCGATAAGGATGGGTAGCTTGGGGTCATTGGACGGGATTCTACGTGCTCACGGACCAGGCTTTAGTGGCTGATACTAGGCGACACTCACGGCTCCAAGCTGGCGGGCCGCTGTAGGCCGCGGGCGGGTAGTGGAAGGCGGGCTGCGGCTGCGGCGAAGGCAGCACCCAGGCGGGGAAGGCGGGTGGCGTGAGCGCGCCGGGCGACTAGTGGTGCCTGCTAGGTGACTAGTTGTGCTGGGTGACTAATGGCAGCTGCTGGGCAACTAGTGGCAACTGTGTGGTGACTAGTTGCAGCTGCTGGGCGACTAGTGGCGACTGCTGAGCGACTAGTGACGATTGCTGGGTGACTAGTGACGACTTATGGTTGATTGGTGGTGGCTTCTTCTAAGTGACTAGTGGCGGCTGCCGAGCTGATGGTGCCGACTAAAGCCTGGTCCGTGAGCACGTAGAATCCCGTCCAATGACCCCAAGCTACCCATCCCAATCGCTCGCGCGTAATTATGTTGCTGTCGCGCTCGCACACTCACTGCGGGCGCGCGTCGCACAGTCGCGAAAGCAACATAATTACGCGCATGCGATAGGGATGGGTAGCTTGGGGTCATTGGACGGGATTCTACGTGCTCACGGACCAGGCTTTAGTGGCTGTTACTAGGCAACACTCACGGCTCCAAGCTGGCGGGCCGCTGTAGGCCGCGGGCGGGTAGTGGAAGGCGGGCTGCGGCTGCGGCGAAGGCAGCACCCAGGCGGGGAAGGCGGGCGGCGTGAGCGCGCCGGGCGACAGCGGCCCGGCGAACGTGCCGCCTGCGACCACCTACTTGGCGACAAGTGACGGCTGCCGGGCGACTAGTGGTGCCTGCTAGGTGACTAGTTGTGCTGAGTGACTAGTGGCAGCTGCTGGGTGACTAGTGGTGGCTGCTAGGCGACTAGTGGCAGCTGCTGGGCAACTAGTGGCAACTGTGTGGTGACTAGTTGCAGCTGCTGGGCGACTAGTGGCGACTGTTGAGCGACTAGTGACGATTGCTGGGTGACTAGTGACGACTTATGGTTGATTGGTGGTGGCTTCTTCTAAGTGACTAGTGGCGACTGCTGAGCGACTAGTGACGACTGCTGGGTGACTAGTGACGACTTATGGTTGAGCTGATGGTGCCGACTAGTGGCTGTTACTAGACACTCACGGCTCCAGGCGGGCGGGCCGCTGTAGGCCGCGGGCGGGTAGTGGAAGGCGGGCTGCGGCTGCGGGGAAGGCAGCACCCAGGCGGGGAAGGCGGGCGGCGTGAGCGCGCCGGGCGACTAGTGGTGCCTGCTAGGTGACTAGTTGTGCTGGGTGACTAATGGCAGCTGCTGGGCAACTAGTGGAACTGTGTGGTGACTAGTGGCGGCTGACGAGCTGATGGTGCCGACTAAAGCCTGGTCCGTGAGCACGTAGAATCCCGTCCAATGACCCCAAGCTACCCTTCCCAATCGCTCGCGCGTAATTATGTTGCTGTCGCGCTTGCACACTCACTGCGGGCTCGCGTCGCACAGTCGCGACAGCAATATAATTACGCGCGAGCGATAAGGATGGGTAGCTTGGGGTCATTGGACGGGATTCTACGTGCTCACGGACCAGGCTTTAGTGGCTGATACTAGGCGACACTCACGGCTCCAAGCTGGCGGGCCGCTGTAGGCCGCGGGCGGGTAGTGGAAGGCGGGCTGCGGCTGCGGCGAAGGCAGCACCCAGGCGGGGAAGGCGGGCGGCGTGAGCGCGCCGGGCGACAGCGGCCCGGCGAACGTGCCGCCGGCGCCTAAGCCGAACATGGGGCTGTTGAGGTTGTTGAAGTTGTTCAGCTCCTGAGGGAAATAAAATTTATTATTGATCAAACATATCAGGAAGTCCAAAGTCGCTGATATAGCCCGACGGATTAGCAAGCTGAAGTGGCAATGGGCAGGGCACATAGTACGCAGAACTGACGGCCGANTAAACTCAAAGCTTAGTTACAACAGGATATTGCAAAATTCCCATGGGAACGGGAGTTAGCTGGAAAAAACATTTGTATGAAAAACTCTAAACCGCGTAAGATAGACGCTTGAAATTTGGCATGCAGGTACCTTAGTAAACTTTAAGCTTCGTTAAAACAGGATATTGCAAAATTCCCACGGGAACGGGAGTTAGCGGGAAAAAACATTTGTATGAAAAAATCTAAACCGCGTAATATAGACGCTTGAAATTTGGCATGCAGGTACCTTAGTAAACTTAAAGCTTAGTTACAACAGGATATTGCAATTTTCCCACCGGAACGGGAGTTAGCGGGAAAAAAACTGTATGAAAAAATCTAAATCGCGTAAGATACATAGATAAAGGGGGTAAAACGGGATCCACGCGTACGAAGTCGCGGGCGGCCGCTAGTAAATAGTAAAAATAAAGACAAAAAAACTCATTGGATTTGCCTCATATTTGGGGAATGTACTACAACTTATCATGAGTCTACTCAATCCCAATCAATCTCAATACTCAATCAATTGGCATCCTTTTAACTTAAGACTTAAATTGAATTTCAATAATACGAGTTTTTAACTATTTTAGCCGACATGTAAAATGTTGCCAAGACGTGACCTTATTATTATGACACGCACTGAAAAAGCTATCAGATCTCATGTCGAGCCAAGCCTTAAACAATTCGAGCTTTTTTATGACTCTACAAGCCCTATTTACAAATAATGTGATTTGGCCGTGTCGTTACTATGAAAATTATAATAAAAACTCATAAAACTAATTTATTTTAGTAAGTAGGCTTTTAAAAAGCACTTTTACGTCCGAGTATTAACCCTATCACTGCCTCGAGACAATAAATGGGCCAGTGCTGAGAAGAAGCAGCGCAAGAAACTCAGTCATTATTATTGTAGTCGGTAATTGAATTATTTTTTTACCTTAAGTCCATAATGTGGCTATAAAGTCAATAAATCTGTCAAAGTTACAGCAAAGAGTGTTTTTTAAAATGTACCCTCAATCAAACCAAAAAACCCTAACTATTTATCAGCCATTTCTAAAATTGCCTGTCGTTTCCACATCCACTTCGACAAGCAAAGAAATCCAATCCCTCGCATACTTGGGGCATAATCAAAGTTTGTTGGCCAAATGAGTTTCATAACTTAATTTGATATACCTTCTTTCGGGCTTGTAGTCCAGTGAGGGGAGGATGATAATTCTGAAATATATTTCTTACTAATAAAACACTATACCATACTAACGCGTACCGGAAAACGCAGCGTGAGACGTCCATCCACAAGGGGCCGCAAAGTGGACCGATGACATTATAAAGGTAGCAGGAAGGCGCTGGACGCAGGCCGCTACCAACCGGACAGCATGGAAAGCATTGGGGGAGGCCTATGTTCAGCAGTGGACGTCCTATGGCTGAGATGATGATGATGATAACACTTATGGGCCATTTCCTACGGCTATCCAGTTTTGTGGATCCAGTAATGGAGGATCCCGCAAAACTGTACTGTCTAGTCACACAAGGTGACACAAGACGTGTGTGATTAAAATTCGAATACCAAATTCAAAGTGTATGTTTGTTACTTCTTCACGTCTAAACGGCTGGACCGATTTTAATATTTGATATGGAGTTAGCTGTCACCCTGCATTATCACATAGGCTATTCGTTTTACAGCGGGTAATACTGAGGGGCACAGCTAGTAATTAAGATAAAACTAAGGGTGGGTGGGTGAAGGTGTTCTTTCCACCATTCTTCCACTAATGTTTGAGTGTTATCGGTACACGCTAAATTGAGAATGTTACTAGGTATGCAAAATCACTTGAAACCTATGTTACAGTTAAGCTTTTACATTTACAAATACATTAGTTTTTATTTCATTCAAAAATACCCAGTAGTTATGATTTTATAGGCATTCAAAGTTCGCTTAAATATTGAGTCCCGCCGACGGTCACGTGACCCCGTGTGACGTACATTCACAGCGTCCGCTCACTNCATATCAGGAACCTATGTGGACCGCGCGCGACCGCTCTGCCAAGAGCGAAACGAATAAGAAGATGTGGACCGACAGTCTGGTGAAGGTCGCTAGAGGTGCTTGGATGCAACAGCGCAGGACCGATCGTTGTGAAAATAATTGAGGGAGGTCTTTGTCCAGCCAGATTGATCAAACATCACAGGAAACTATGAGAACCGACAATCTGGTGAAGGTTGCGGGAATTAAGTGCTTGGATGCGGGCAGCGCAGGACTGACCGTAGATAAATGTATTAAATATTAAACATTTCCTGCAGCTCGGCATACGCATAAGCCACTGGACGTCCACTGCTGAATATAAAGCCCAATGATGTCCAAATGGGCCGGTTATTACAACCGAGGCCTGTTTTAAGCACTTTCCTGAAACCTTTATAGAGGAAGTTCGTGAACGCCACAGACCTTATATTTACTGACTTCAACAAAAGGAAGAGGTTCTCAATTCTGTTGGTATGTTTCTTTTTATTTTATAAAAGGCGAAAATTTGTCAACGTTTTCCCAAAACAGGTAAGAACGATGGACCATCATCAAGTTCGGACTATCGTGGCTTTGGCAGCTACCCTAAAATGCTTATCTGGCAAGTAGGAACGGTCTAGTTATACATATTTATTTACCTGCAATTGCATATTAAACGGCGAGCACGGCGAGTTGGTAATATTGTTTATGTTGGCAGCGTGTGTCGGCGAGAACGGGTTGAACATCCCGAAGTTCGGCATCGCGTTGGAGATGGCCGGGATGTTGTAGGACTCCGGCACTTCTGCGGTGATCACCGGCTCCTTGCCGCCGAGGAGCGCGCGGCGGGCTTCGTAGATGTCGCCTGGGAATTATATTGAACACCGGTTTTAAAATTAACATGAAAATAAATGGAGGAATACACCGATTTCAAATAAAATTACTGAGGTAGTTATCGAGGCACTTTGGGTATTAAGTATGACTCCTGGATTATGAGGTCCAGGAGTTCCACTATCAGCCCCTATCTTTTTACAGAAATCATAAAATCCAAATAACGTCCACTGCGGACAAAGGATTTTCACTTTTAACAGTCGGTTCTGCGCTGCTTTCATTCAGGCACTTCCATCTTGTCTGTGGGACGCTACGTCTTCCGATCCATGGTCGCCACTCGAGTTTTTTTTTGTGACAGGAGGCAAACGAGCAAACGGTTCTGCCCCACTGGCCATAATCAAGATCTAGCTTCTTTATCAAGATCTCACCAGCACAGCGCTCGATGCCCTTGATGACGACGGAGGCGATGCCCTGCTTGGGCTTGCGGCGCACGTTGATGTCACGTTGTGATGCTGCACGACAATGGACGCTATCACAAGGACACAAGACTCACCGGCGCAGCGCTCGATGCCCTTGATGACGACGGAGGCGATGCCCTGCTTGGGCTTGCGGCGCACGTTGATGTAGACGTTGTGTTGCTGCATGAGCCGCGCCACGTGCTCGCCGTCCACGCGGCAGGACTCGTCGGGGATGTCAAATATCACCACCAGGGGGAGGCTTCCCTGTAAACGTTGATTAATGTACAGCTGGTCGAGGTAAAGAGCGACACTTTCAATTAATTACAATCACTTGTCTTATAGTTTATTTTGACTCAATAGACCATGAAAGTATGACGAAACATCTAAAAAAGTTTGTGGGCATGCCGATAGGAGAAGGCACGAGTGTAGTGAAATCGCCCAAGTCGTCTAAGAGTTTCCCCTAATTAACATAGGCTTTAGGTATGCATTTAGAAATGCTTCTCCAACTACTCTGTTTGTTCAGAGCGTGGGGAGTAAGTATAGACCAAATCCTCCATTTCATCATCATCATCACCATTTCAGCCATAGGACGTCCACCGCTGAACATAGGCCTCCCCCAATGATTTCCATGTTGATCGGTTGGTAGCGGCTTGCGTCCCGCGCCTTCCTGCTACCTTTATGATGTCATCGGTCCACAATCGTTTTTATACTTAACAGTTGGCACCCCTGGCGATTGACAGGACCTTACTCTACAGTGGCGCTATCTTGATGAGTGCAAATGCGTTAGTCCTCCTACCACTTTAGCGCTCACCAGTTGGTGCCACTGTCTTCGCTACTAGCAAGTGACAGGACCTTACTCTACAGTGGCGCTAACTGGTGAGCGCTAAAACGATAGCCCTCATTCTCCATTTGCCACTGGTAAACATACCACAAGCGTGCCCTTCATAATGACCTTGTACTGTACAACTGTACATACCAGCTCGACCTGATGGCGGGGATGTTGGGGTCGTCTGCGATGGGAACATGGTCTGGTGCCCGTGCCCGTCACGTGTAGGGTTGCCAGGCGTCCGGCTTTAGCCGGACATGTTTGGCTTTTTAGGGACTTGACCGGCCAAATATTGCCTTGTCCGGCCTGTCCGGCTTTTGTTAGGCTCTTTATTTGGTTGCCGCGCCAGGCGAAAGTCGAGCCACAGAATCATATGAAGCGCACGCATCAGGATGTTGGTTAGCAACCGATGATGATAGTACTCACTCATGAGCTGACCTGACACTAATTCACTAATTGCACACCCCCCCCCTCCCTCCGTCACCTATCCGGCTTTTAGGGTAAAATGTCCGGCCAAATGAAGCACACAAAGTCCGGCTTTTGTGATTTTGGACCTGGCAACCCTAGAGTCACGTGCCGTCGTGCTACATACCACGAGCTGCTGCCGCGCCGCGTACACGTCCTTGATCTGCCCCGTGATGGTGACGCAACTCTTCTTGATGGCGGGGATGTTAGGGTCGTCTGCGTCGGGGAACATGATCTGCGTGCCGGTGCCCTTCATGATGACCTTGAGTTGCTCGGCCGCGCGCCCCACTACCACGCAGTGGTGCATTGGCGATATCTCCAGCGACATCTGGACTGATGTTTGGCTCTGGGAGAGGAAGAGGTTTTTATTTATTTATTTTTATTTACACTTTTGCACATATAACTGTACAGTGGCGGACTTAATGCCAGGTGGCATTATCTGCCAGTCAACCACAGGTCAAGCAGAGAGACTAAGGCGGTGTAATAAATATGACGTTTAAATAATATACTTACATAGCATTAGATAAAATAAATAACATACGAATACATATTAATATAATAGACATACACCTAGATACATAAACATAATAATAATATTGGCGTACACATAACACCTGTCAGAAAAAAGAGAGAGAAAAAAAAAGAAAAAAAAAAGTTTTAGTCCTTGAAAAAGTTGCGCAGAGCCTTTTTGAATGTAAATGGCAATGCCAGATTTTGTATGGAAGGTGGCGTCTTTTTTTTTGCGCGGCCATCGACCAAACTCTGTTTTTTGATTACAAAATAGTGTAATAAACCAAACTTACTATGACATGTATACCTACCTCTAAACTCAGTCTGAACTGAGTTACGAGCGTTAGAAGTTTGATAATTTACATACTAGATTTGCTTTTTGCGCGCAAGTTTTGTAAGAAATTGCAACAAAATATTGCGCTAATTTTTAATTGCGCTGATTCTGCTCCATCTGATGTCTGGAGCCTTTAATGGATGGTATTGTTTGTTCACACATACAATGTCACTATTTTGTTGCAATTTCTTACAAAACTTGCGCGCAAAAAGCAAATCTAGTATGTAAATTATCAAACTTCTAATGCTCGTAACTCAGTTCAGACTGAGTTTAGAGGTATACATGTCATAGTAAGTTTGGTTTATTACACTATTTTGTATCTAAAAAACATGATTTGGTCGATGGCCGCGCGAAAAAAAAAAGACGCCAATTTCCGGCATTGTCTTTTGGAGGATGCTTTTCGCAAACTCGCCGGAAGGCCGTTCCAGAGCCGTACTGCTGAGACTGAGAAGGAGTTAGACATGAAGCCGGTGGTGTGGCGATGGGTGAGAAGCTGAAGAGACTGATTAGAGCGAAGATTTCTATTGTGAGTAGAATGAAGGTACTGGAACATCTCTTTTAGATAAGATGGAGAGTCAGGATTGAAGAGAATCGAGTGAAGCATACAGAGAGAACGAATGTTTCTACGCTGTCTAATGGGAAGCCATCCAAGCTGTGAGCGAAAAGACGAGATGTGGTCAAACTTACGGAGACCGAAAATAAATCTGATGCAGTTGTTCAGGAGGCGGTCCAACTTGTTCGTGTAAATAAACGTCATTCAGCAAACACCAAGGTTTGCTGAATGACGTTTATTTACTTAATAGCTATTTTATAACCCTAAGAGCTTTTTATCATTAGCACACCAATGGTGAAGCCACCGGTCGTCCCACACTATTGTCCTGTATGTTACATGATTGTAGTACTCTTAAGTTACCTAATAAATATGATAGCTTATTTAACGCCATAGAAAATATTCAGGCAAATTCGCAAATTACCTACACACGCTCTGATGTTGCGAACTGTAAGGCGTTTACTACAAGAGCCCATTACTTACCTAATTATTGTTAGAAGTGGGTTGATCTTCTAATTCATACATTCTTATTACTTTTCATTACCGTCCTTTAATGAAATATGTAGGTACTTAGTCTAATTTATTGCAGAACAAGGCAGGTACACAATTACACTTGATGCTAAGATAGTGGTACTAGGCATACAAAAACAAACTTACCGCAAGCGGGCCACACATGTAGTTCATGAGCAGGCTGGTAGCCTCCATGGTGGCCTTGACCTCCCACTGCACCCCCTTCACGACCAGTAAGTTCGCGTGCAGCTTCGGACGGTTACGCAGCATCACCTGGTATTAGCAAAAACAAAAGAATAAAAACTAGTTGACATTACTTATAGAAAATCGTTTCATCCACGAAGACGCGCCCCACCAATTTTTGGTCGAGGAAAGCGCGGGGTGCGAGGAGTTTAATCCGAGCAATTCGAGCGTCATTAATGTAAGTAATGTGCGTGTGCATGCACTCATGGATAAATTTAGCGTGTACCGATAACACTCAAACATTAGCAGAAAAATTGCTATGTTGTTGTGTTAATTGTATTGTTATGGTTTGTTCTCTGTAGCTGTGCCTTAATAAATAAATAAATTTATAAAATGATGGGCGCGTCTTAGTGGATGAAACGATTTATTGTGGAGGACTCCGGCTGAAATTCACTTCGGCCTGATCATTACTGTTCATCAGGTGAGATGCAGGCCAAGAAAGAGCTTCCTCGGTCAGGTTAAAAAAGATGCCTGGACATGAATACACTTACAGCTGAGATGTGTACAGTATTTGTTGATTAGGTACCTACCTGTACATTATACTGTTCCTGCACTTGCTGCACATACGGCGAATTGATGTCTGGCAGCGGCTGCGAGGGCGCCACTATCGGCAGCTCGAAGCAGAACACCAGTGGAGTCAAAGCCTGAAACAAACTTCTAGTAAGAAGAAATGAATGAACGACGCAACTCTACTACGGGAATATTATGAGAAATTCTGGTGTTCACGGAGCGGTAGACGTCTGGGTTTCTTACTAGGTGGGCTGACGATTGGTGAAGGGGTACGGGAAGCTTGGATGCGGGCAGCGCAGGACCGTTCTTTGAGGAAATTCTTGGGGAAGGCCTTTGTCTTACAGTGGACGTCGATTGAAACTAATGAACGAATGAGTGCACTCGCTCCATGTCACCCTCGATAGACACCTGATTGCTCTATTTCTACCATCAGTCCGGTTCGAGTCTAGACTATAACATTGTTGTTGTTGCAAATTCGCAACTATTGTAAATGCATAGAGTGCACTCACTCACCCGCACGCATGCCAGGACACTCCATATCACACTCAAATGCCCTCGATGGACACCTGGTTTCTCTTATTTCCACCACCCTGGTCTGCTTCGAGTCTAGACTATAAAATTATTGTTGTTGCAAAAGTTGCAACCTCGCCTCTATTATAAGCGTCTAGCAGGGTTTCCCAATTTTTTTTTGCCAAGGAACCCTAATTGATTATACTTTTCCTAGCGGAACCCCCGTACTACTCCGCCCGCACGCCTTGCCCCTCCCTTGTGCGTAAACAAGTCGGTGCGCGCGAACAACGTCGGTCACGAAACGTGGGATAATATTTTTTACGGAACCCTTGCGGCCTTTCCACGGAACCCCAGGGTTCCGCGGACCACGTTTCGGGAACCGATGCTAGAGTGCACTCACCCGCACGCGTGCCCGGGCGCGCTCCACGCGCTCCATGTCGCCCGCGATGGACACCTGGTTGCTCTTCTCCACCATGCTGGTCCGGTTGGAATCCGGGAAGTGGATGTGGCAGCCCGTCTCTTCCATCACCCGCTTGATTGTCAGACCACCCTGAGAAATGATAAAAAATAAAACACGATTCAATACAAAACCCTTAGGGACTCGCGGTTGACGTTTCATGCAAAAAGATTGGCAATTTATTATAGGTAGGTAGTAGCACAGCAAACGCGCGATCGTGAAACGCGCGTCATTCATGACGACTGAAAAAAAAACGTGGTGTAATTTTCTTGCAATGGCGACGGCGAGAAAAATAAATTATCATTAATTCCTAAATGAAGAAAAGTTTGGCGGTAGTAGAAAATGAAGATTAACTAATACATGATGTAACACAAAAACACGAATGTGGCGTCCGTGGCTGTTTATTGACAACGACGCGACGGTCTAAATTGTATGTTTTTTGGTCATAATAATACAGTTGTATCTAATGAAAAATAAAACAAGCTGCTGACATTCTATGGGCTCTATTGCTATTGCTAAAATGAGCAGTCTTCTGTATCCGAAGCACGAACAAATATCGTTCTCGTTATGGTAGCAATGGTAATGAGGATCATTTCGATTTTTAGCTGTGAATGCAGATTTATAGGGCTAAGAAATCCTTAATAAACAGTGCAAAAATTTTTGTTCTACGACAAAAATTGACGAAGTTATGGCCAAATTACTAAAAAAGTTCACTGACCGCCCGGCGCGGGGACGATGACGTCATTATATCCGATCCGAACGCTGCCGGCGTACTGCGTGGATAGAAAATATTTTTTTCTAGCCAAATTATCAGTTTTAGAGAAAAACTTGTAATGACATTTATTCATCAGAATAAAGTAAGCTATCGATAGGTAATTTTTAAAAATGGAAATTGTGAAAAATAACGCAAAGGTTACTCAGCAGGTCCCTATCGTCAACTGAGAAACTGACCTTGCTGTGAACGGTCGGTGTCGGCGGTGGAGGGACTCATCTGCAGGCATGTTTGCACAATAAGTTCGGTTACTCAGCAGGTCCCTATCGTCAACTGAGAAACTGACCTTGCTGTGAACGGTCGGTGTCGGCGGTGGAGGGACTCATCTGCAGGCATGTTTGCACAATAAGTTCGGTTACTCAGCAGGTCCCTATAATTACACTCTAGGGGTAGGGCAGACAAGACTACGTGGAGTCGGTTTTGCAGCGATTCGTGTCTGTCATGTTAGTTTTTTGGCACAAAATATTGCCTGTTTTGGACCATTTCAAATTAATTTAATGTTAAAATACGATTTAATACGAATATAGACATCATGATTTTCAATAATATGGATAAATAATACACTTATGAGTAATAAATTTATGAAAACAAATATTAGGATACATCACATTTATGAATATTATAGTTATTTATTCGAATGATTATGAGTTTCGATCATTAGTATAGAAAAATATATGAAAACAAATATTAGTAAAAACTAAGTGTATTATTTGTGATATTATGAATATCAATGATTATGTTTTTAAATATGTAGGTTTTAAATTTTTTATGAAGAATGATCATTATGGTATCAAATTGTATGAGAAATATTTTCGGACCTCCAATGATAGGAACTGAAAAGTTATGTAAGAAAATGCGCTACCATAATATTCATAAATGTGATGTATCCTAACATTTGTTTTCATAAATTTATTACTCATAAGTGTATTTATCCATATTATTGAAAATCATGATGTCTATATTCGTATTATAAATCGTATTTTAACATTAAATTAATTTGAAATCTAACGTGACAGAAACGAATCGCTGCAAAACCGACTCCACGTAGTCTTGTCTGCCCTACCTCTAGAGTGTAATTTAAAAGCCGGAGGCGCGGAGGGAGGGCAGCCCTCGCCCGCTGTAACGAGGCTCAGGCGCCCGGGTGAGCTGGAGCGGCTGAGGCCGAAGCTGCGGAAGCTAGCGTGGGCGCCTGAGCCTCGTTACGCAAGGGCGGAAGGGCTGCACATCCCGCAGCGCCGGAGACGAGGAGATACCAATGCATGCTGCATGCTTGCTTTCATGTTGCATGCTCTGCATGCTTATCTACTCTACTCTATTAAATTATATTATATGTTTTTTTTTAAAGATACGAGTATGTCTGTTATAAAGTAAATTATTCTGAACAAAAACATTATGAGTTGAAGTATGTTCTTAGTAACAACATTATTTATTAAAACAATATGATCAATGAATGTTATGAAGAAAAAAGATCTGAAAATAAAAATTATGTATTTTAAATGGTTCTTGGTAGTAACAGTATTGATAAAAAAATTATGATTACTAACTGTTATGAGCTCCGATGGTAGTAATAAAAATGTATGAATAAAAAAAGTATGAAAAATAAAATTATGAAGAGAGATTATTATGAACACAAATCGGTAGTAAGACAAAGAATAGGATTTAGAATTTTATGTGAGCCAATATAGAACCCATTTGAGCATAATAACTTAATAAGACACTGCAATGTGGACAGAAAAGGTCATTTAGGTAAAAAACTACATATTGTAAAATTTAACTGCATTTACATATGTATAACTTGGCGCATTGTAAATGTATGACGCCAAACGCCATACAAATTATTACGAGTTGGCATGGCTACAGAACTGGTCCATATCAGTGCATGTGCCCCTATTGTCGGTATTGCAGATTGCTCCGAGCTGCGATGACTTATAATCGCTCGCAATTAACATTAATAAAGACAAATGCGCATTGTGCACTTCATTGGATGTTCTGCGTCATCATATTCTCGAAGATAGCAAAGAAAAATAATAAAGTCCTACGTTTAGTTTAGAAGTCTCTGTTACTATAATAATAATAATATAATCGATCTAATCTGACTAATGTCCTAACCTAAATTATTTATCACGTAAAAAACATTTATCGTTGCGAGCTTACGAGTTATGTAGGTACAGTCAGCATCAAATAGTTAGTAATAGCCAAAGTACTAGTCCTACTAATATTATAAATGCAAAAGTTTGTGTGGATGTCTGGATGTTAGTTACTCTTTCACGCAAAAACTACTGAACGGATTTTGATGAAACTTTACAGTATTATTGTTTGTTGTTACTAACAATAATACTGTAAAGTTTCATACACAAATTTCAACATATAGGCTATAAATTATGACGATCTGTGACAAACTAAATTTCACGCGGGTGAAGCCGCGGGCAAAAGCTAGTGGACAATAAATTAATCTTTAGAGTTAGACCTATCGTTATTATTTACTTATTTAAAAACACACACACACAATTTTATTGTGTACACAATAATTAATTGATTGTACGAAAGGCGGAACTTAATGCCAATAACCTCTGCATATTTTAACTATAAAAATACGAAAATTACGAAAAATGTTTTAGTTGAACTTGCCTGCCTGATTTTAGGAACTACAAAATATATTTATTTATAACAAATCTTACCTTGCCAATGATGTGGGAGTGGTCCGTGTAGCTGACATCGATCTTCATTGTAACACGGTTACTCTGCAAACAATACGCCAAATTAACTGTCGGTTCACTTCCATGTGCCAACTTAATTAGCATCTAATTAGATACTTAGTTCCAAGCTGGTCTAGAATTACTACAGGTTCAAATATTAGGATGCGTATGTTCTACCTTACCTACTCACTTACTACCACACGCTTTTAAAATCATCATCAATCACCGGTTCATCTGTATCTCATCTCATTATTGCAGTTCAAGTTACGAAGACCGAAGAGAAGAAGCTAGGTAAGTTTAGTTTACTACGGTACCTATTAGGTATCAATATCTACCTAAATCTGAATTTAAAGAAAGCGTACATACCCTTGTATCCAGCAACTGCATAATTTTCTCTCGAGCCAGCTTCACATCATCAAGCCGACCAGCGACTCTCACATGGGGATCTAGAGAAACACAACAATCCACAATCACGATGTAAACAACTCACGAAAATTTCGAATACAAAGTTTTCTACTTACCAAAAACAGTCAAAAGATTACAAAATTTATTGTCACGTATTTTTTTAATAACATCGTAAACCAATTCATCACTATTACATGTAAAAACCATTGTTAATTCATTAAATATACAATTTTGAAAATAAAACGCAAGCAAACTTTTGCTCCATGTAACGGCTGCGCGAACTAAAATACGTAATTTAGAAAGAGCGACAGCCCGGCGCCGCTCCGCGCAGTCTCCTTGGCGCCACTCGGAAATTTACCCGCCAAAAATTTGGATGCGTTCATGAGTGGTTTTCTTGGACGAATAGTCCATCCAATATTGGTGTTATTAATAAAAGAAAAAATGTTTTAACCTTTTGAATTATTATTATTAGCAAGTTGGTTTTAAACAACGTGTAAAAATATTTAAAGCGTAAGTAAGTACTTGCATTTTAGCAAATTTGTACTTCTATAACAGTTTTATTATTTGAACATAACTTCTAAATTATAAGAAATGACAATAATGTAGAAATGCTGTTGTTGTTTTGTAGTAATGTTATGTTAACTATGTAATAATTAACTATATTGCGTAATATTATCAAAATCATACCCTTTTTGGAGCGGGCACCAATTTTTAGACGAGCAGGCCAGTTGATGAGGGTATTGGTCTCATTCATTACCTGAAACAAGAAATAATGAGTAGGTATCACCCTCCAGTGTGGGTGATAAAAAAACTGCAGGATGGTTACATAAAAAAAAAATACTTACACGATGAAAAAATGCCTGAGCAGTCTGCGATTCTTCCAAATGTTCTGAAAATAATAGTTAGCGTTTATTCAAAACTCTAAGGATAGCCTAACAATAATTGAATACAATACCAAATAATGTCAATTTCATACCGCCAAGCATTGCCTCCAAGCGACGTCTGTCCACGCGAAATCTTTCTTGATACACATCCTCAGCGCTGTTTAAGCCAAGAATTAACGCTAACTTCTGGAGATCTTCTGCTGACGTCACAGAATTGCTGGTTCCACTTTCAGAAGCCTGTGTAACAAACACAAAAATATGAAATATTGTTGGAACACCAAGTTCCTATTTTTGTAATGGCCAGGCAGAAACATGATACATGATTTTGAATACAAAATGGCGGATAAAACCTCGTTTCCAAAGCAAATTCTACTGAAATGAAAGTAATATCGTGAGTATCTATCGTGACTATATTTAGGTAAAACCTATAATATTATAATAAAAATATAACTTACCTCGCTCAGCGTGTCTTTGTCCGAATTACTTTTAAATTCTGATAAATGCGTTTTTACTGTTAAAAAGTTACTAGAAGCCATTATTTTTGTAAAATAAAATATAAATAAGTAGTATTAGTCAATAAAAATCAATAATAGAATTTATAACGTTTAACGTACATAATTATAACTGAAATAATTTAAATATTTTATGGTTTTTAAACCAGAACAACTTCACGACTGCCTAAACTGAACCCGATTATGAAATAAAAGCTATGAAGCATAGAAGTATTTTTTGATACAAAAACGAGGGTAGATTTGAAAATGTTGTCTATGAATATTGTATATTTTTTTTAATCTGACTACAAATTATGTATAAATATAAAATATATATTTTTTGAAACACTTTAACAAGAAACTAGTTTTATATAAATTTTAATTTTTTTTATTTTGGAAGCATTCGTCGACATCTTATTCTATGAAAAAATAAACAGCATACAGATAAAAAAATAATTGTATGGAGGACGCACGGAGGCTTGTCACGCATCGACCAATGAAAACTAGTCCCGCCAACGGGATGTTGTCGTCAAGATAGCGCCAAACTTTCAAATAATTAAAATAATATTGCTTTTGTTTTTATTTCATTAAATCCATAATAATATTATGGATATCTGACCTTGCCATATGGCAAGGTCAGTTAATTTATGTTTAATTTACAGTCAAGTCTAGAGATAAAGTAAAGAATTCCGTGAGCCACTTTCTTAAAAGAAAAAATAAATAGTTATGTTCCTTCTGCATTAGGCTGGTAAAATTATTTAATGTCAGAAGCTGAAATACGTAAGTTTATTAAAGTACTATAGGTATTTTTAGACAGGTAGGACTTATTGCGTCAAGACAAGACTCAAAAAATCCCGCATTCACTGGAGAGGCCTACTTACCTATTAAACTACACAAAACATACAAATGTTAAAGCTTTTCACAATACTTTTTACAATTATTATGTCTAATAATAAAATTGTGTGCGTGCTGCATTTATGAATGAAACCATTACGATATTGGAACGAAACGTTTCATTGAAAATGTATTTTGAGACACTCCGCGACTCCGCGTGAGGTCGCGTCAGTCGGGTTTCTGCGCTTGTCGGTGTTGGGTGTGCGTCTTTCTCGACTCTAGAGTTTTCGTATCTCAAATTGAAACTTACAGTAGATAGTTTTAATTTATTTTTTATAACGTTAAGTCTTGAACAGTGTAAGCTTTAGTTATCAGTGTGTTAATTATTGTTTAGTGTGTTTTATCTGTAATTAATTTAGTGTTATAAATAAGACGGTGAGTAATAAAATAGTTAATAGAAATAAATACGTAACTACCAATGATATTAATATAATATCATTGGTAACTACCCATTTCTCTGTAACATTTTATTGCAAATTTCTTTCGAAAGTGCAGTAAAATAAATACTTACCTACCACATTCTTATAACAATACGGCCCACGTAACAGCTGTTCGTCGTTAAGCTTTTTTGGCTTGCGGATCTTTTATCTCTCGTCAAAATAAGTTCCTAAATAGGTAGGTATTTTAAAGCTGTTCGTTGATAAAAAAAAAATCAATGTTATCGATAGGATTTGATTTAAATGTAGTTATTTAAATGTAAAGAAGATGAATAAAATTGTTTAGAGGTTAGGAATCGATCGGGAATCCACGCCGGGACGCCGGTCCCGCAAACACCACCGTAACTTTCCTGTTTCACAAGAAGTTTCATGACTTGCTATTTGGAGGGTTCTAATATCATTATCACGAGGGGCGATTTTAGCTTTTTATCTGGGTCGAAAATGTTGACATAAAAGGGAGTGTAAGTATGCAAATCCTTTAGCACCTGCTTCTGTGGCATCGGTATGGAATTGGTAGTAAAATGTGTTATAATAACCCATTACAGGAAACACGCAGATAAAAAGTTATGTAAAATTTTAATATTTATGGCAAATCGATTAGCATTTCCGTCAGACTATTCAGACATTGTTCATCATAAAGTCGTGTTTGGTGGGGTCATTGGTTAGGGTAGCTGCACGCATAAGCGGGCTGTAATAAATCTCATAAGTAATTTCAGATTAGGTACCTACCTACTTTAATTATTTATGCAACGTTCTATTTCTTATCGTATAACTTAAAACTAAAGAAAATATTTATAACAAGTAGGTACCTACCTAAATAATAATATTAATAAAGTAAAAAAAATACCTTCCTCACTGTCAAACTTGCTTTATTTGCATCTTTATGTTAAGTAGTACATTGCTCCTCCTGCCTATCAAAAAAACTATGAAACATTTTTATGATGTACCTACTTAGGTGAGAATGCTTACATTACTTATGGCCATTTTCACCATCAATCCCTAATTTTTAAGTAACCCATATGAAAACAAAATTCCTGTTAAGTATGATGTGTTACCGTAGGGGTCATTAAAATATTAGGGATTGATGGTGAAAACGGGCATTAATCCTACTTTCTTATTCAACAAGACTGACATTTATTTCCTAGGCTTTAGGTAAAAAAAAACATATCATAGGGTTATGCCACCTGTTCGCGTCCACCTAACTAGGTAGGTACATATTCGAACAAACAACGGATTACTGTTTGAAATCAGTGTAAATGAAATGCGCATTACTTGAGTATTTACGTTAATAGTTATGGTTATGACGTCAAAATAGGAAAAAATAACAATAGGTATGATAATAACTATAGGTAGGTAGTGTCTGTAATATTTAAAAAATAAAAAATAATAAATTGGTGCTTCTGAAACATCGCGATCCGCGATGATGATAAGGGATTGCACCAGAATAAATGACCCTAATATTTTGTAAGAACGCGTCGAAAGTAGTCTGAAACTGAATCATGATAATTAATTATGTAAAATTGATATCACTAAACTTTTCAATTTTCACGAGAACCTTGAATTTGGCGAATTGATGCGAGCACGCGTTGACGTTGCCTGTGACCTTGATAAATCGTCGAAATAGATCTCCGAAATCCGCGATGTTGCGCGGTATGGCCGGCATCTGCTCAAGAAAACAAATAAAAAGTCACTCGTTCATATCCTGAAATAGCTTTACATATTTCCTTTATTTAACTGACGCGATTTACTTAATATCAGCAGCATATAGACGTCAGGATTTACCTACATAGATCTGCATTCTTATTATCGTATTAAAAAGTTATCCGTTCTGACGATCCGCAAAAGGCGACGCGATCCGTTACAGCTGGCGCCAAACGCTCGCAAATTGTATCGACGCATATAACGGTGTATTTTTTACAATACGGACAATTAATTTTATGCGAAAAAAATGCAAGGTGCGTCTGGCAGGGCGGCGCGACGCTTTCTACATAGAACAGTTACCTTTAAGCGTTCCAATTAAATTGCGTCTGCAGATTTCAAATTGACAAGCATCTGAGGCGCCGGACCCCACATATCACAAATATTGGCATGCGAAATAAAAGACCTTTAGCGGCCCCGAGGCCTCTTTATTTGCAATCAGCATGTTAACTTTCTCGCCTACATGTCGCTGCAAAGCTGAAGTCATGTGTGAAATTACGGATTAAATCTACCAGTGACAGTTACATAGTATTTTGCCGGGCAAAAAATCTATTTGCATGCAGTTCAAAGGATCCGCTGTCTAATGAGTAGGCCAAATCGGTTTGTCAATGCATAAATACTCATTGAGGTTACCGAGACATCTCTCGCTCACCGTGTTTTCGAACAGTGGATTAAAATCTTTTTTTTTTCTTTGCAGAATCTAAAGTCATTCCAAAGGCGTGCACCATGGCCAAAACAGAGAAGTCTTTTCCGAGAAATTTCACAGGTGAGTCTCTAACCTGGTCGCGCTCGTGACTCTTTAATAAGTTTGGCGATCTTCAATTCGTCTTGTTTTGTTTTTGCGCAGATAAAAAAGCGGATCTTCGTTGTTTAACCGCGAAATCGGTAGTTTTTTGCCGATTTTGTTATGTCCGGTCAATGGCTGAGGTTTTTACCAGGGGTTTAAACTTAATTAAGACTAACAGCGTCAAAAAATTAAGTGCCTTTTCGGAGCATTACCAGCAATAATGTATAATGCAATATAATATTATGTTCAATTAAAATTATTCTAGAAACTCAAGTCATTCCGTCTGATAGGATTGTTCATGCTCATGCCGTATCAGGATAGGTACCTACGCCTCCAAGCAATATTATTATTCGTGGGTAAATAAATGTTATATTTATTACAATCATGTCAACGCAAAGATGAGGTGACTTCAACAGTGACTAGGAAATCTTGTAGTTTTCATTCATAAACATTGTTGACTCTATCGCTTACACAAAGCTTCCACCACCCTTTAAACTTGATACGAACGAACTATTGCGATTGTGACAATGTTTGCTCAATACCTTAGTCTACTTTTGTGCCTTATATCAGCAATTGAAACTGATAAAGTTACAAGGAAATTGCCACTCACTTCTATGGTTATCGAAAAGGTGATTGTAATAGTTCTGTGCCATGTAATTGGTTTTGCCAACACACCTTTTTGTAGGACGGTAGACACAAATTACGTGTTCGTCGAGGTGACAATCGACCACGCGGCGGTCGCCGCTCAAGTGTTAGCAGTACTTGGCAGACGGCCATAGTGAAAATAAACGCGAATCTACGCACCATCGTGTTTCCGGCCTCTCTTGTCTTTGCGCATAATTATGCATTGCGCTTCTCGTATTCATTATCTAGTAGCTATTGAACCTATAACTTAACCAACCAACAACTGATTTATGCTAGTTTGGGTTCAATCATACAATGAAAGATTTATATCTATGTGAAATTTCAAAATCTTTATTTACTCGTTTGTTGATGTAAAAGCTAAGATGAAGCTATTTCATACAGTAATTGTTTTTAAATAGCCATCCAACTCAACCAATCCAAATTGTTATAATTGAATCACTTGTGTTTGTGTATAAGCAATGATGTAATTGCTACAACGAGCTGTCGCGAACAAAAGAATTCAATTTTCAGTCTATCTGTCACTCATCGTTAGGAATATTATTGATACTCGTGCCATAACCACATGTACAGACGTCAGCACGTCAGACTAAATTTTCACCTCTATTACTAATTGTAATTAGAGGCCACGATGTTTACTTGGCGTGTCCCCGCCTGTACATAAGTGAATAAAAAACTACCCAGAACTTTATTTTTACATCATGGACTGGGTACGGCATCATGGGTATTATTGTTTCATGCTTTTATTACCGATAGAAGTATTAGTTTCCTTTTATTTGAGATGACTCATGACCGGAGGTATCACCCTATGTTGGTGTCGCCACAAAACATTTAAGGTAATTTGTTTTAATATTAAAAATAAAATACACCAATTATGTCTAAGATAAGACTGGAATGGAATTTAACGTAACGACCGATCTATCTATTGAAATTGATATTTTTTCTAAGAAACCAATTAAAAATTTAATTTTCTTCGCGTGAGGAGCCGGTCAGGTACCTACCTACCACCCTTTTATAAATGCGTTGAATAGTTTATAGTTACCTCCATTAGCGAAGTAAAGGTTCGTTAAACGAAGGGACGAATTGTTAGATCATTCATCGGTGTAACCTACCTGCTGCGTTTCTCCAGAAAATAAGAGACATGGGAAAATACGGAATTTGGCAATCCAATCATAGGGTCACGCGCGGTAGAACAGTCTGAAAACACTTTATAATGTACTAGCTGTGCCCGCGACTTCGTACGCGTGAAAACCCGTTTTCGGAACATTTTTCATTATTGCTCTGCTCCTATTGATCGTAGCGTGATGTTGTATAGCCTATAGCCTTCCTCGATAAATGGGCTATCTAACACTGAAAGAATTTTTCAAAACGGACCAGTAGTTCCGGAGATTAGCGCGTTCAAGTAAACAAACAAACAAAAAAACAAATTTCAGCTTTATAATATTAGTATATTAGATACGTGTTGACTGACATAATTAAAACACCAGTTAATTTATAGCTCACTGATAGACTGCTGAGGCATATTAATGGGGTCCCGTCCGTCGTCCCGCTTTGGGTAAAGAAGGATCCCAAAAAGTGTTAGATATAAATAGAAACTTGAAATTAACACTTTAAATTAGGTACTCCTGCGCACTTAGGTTCGATCAAAAGTCCATTCCCAGTAATTCCCACGCAGTTCCACTTGTCTTGATGTCTCACTATTTCATCTCGGAGAAAGTGAGCAAACGCCTACTCCCGGGACGCGGACAGGGTATTATTGGGTTTATATTATGCCCCGTCAATTACGTTCGGTAACGCGTAGTACACCCACTAACTGTTTCCGATTTCTATTACAGATTCAATATTCGATGCTTGACAGGCTATTATTTTAACTGGTAAACACCAGCACCTGTATTGAATTATCTTTTAGATAGTTTAAATAGATAGTCAATAGAATAGTTTATATTTAAGTATAATGGTCAATAGAATGGTTTATTTATTAACCATTACTCAAATTGTAATAAGCATTGGATCTTGGCGAATATCTCATTCTCATTGTGTCCAGTATTCCTAAGATGCGAGCCACGATAAACTTTTAATCGAGTGTTTTATCGATGTTTCTAAATGCAATTGCTTATATGTGCTAATTGAATTAGCACATCATTAACCAATAAATTGTTTTCATATTAACAATACTGTAGAAGGAAGTGTGATTCACACCTAGGTAACTCTTGCATTAAATTTCCGTACATTGTAAACAAAATCGTAATCTTAATTGTGTGAAATTCACATTTACACACTGGTGGTTCAAGAATTAACTCATTAGGAAGTATTACAGAGAAAAACGTGACCTTTAAGATAAAATGCAATTGATAATATGTACTGGTGTTTCATGGGTCATCTTACCCTTGGCTTTTCATAGATAGATAAAACATTATTTCATTTTGTAATAAGCTAAATGTTAATACTTACTTGAGTGAGAGATGTTTGTTTTTGCGTCCTGGTGGGTTAAGAAGATGAATGGGCTAGACCCCAAGGATGTATTATGAATATTCTGATTAATACAAATAAAGATGAGTTAATAGATATTGAGATTATATTTCTTTAATACTGACTTAAATAATGGAATATCTGAAGCTTTTCATTGATAGTCCGCAGTTAAATAGCTTAGCAATGCCTTTAAGCACAAGTGCTTTGAAGTTTGAACTTGCATGCCCATTTATCGACGAAAGTCGGCTCGTTTACCTGACGCACGGCGCACCTAACAGTTAGCGAAATGTCACTAATGGCACCGGCTAATTGCCGAACCAACGGGACTGATGCATCCTTGACTAGTTTCCAAAATTGGAAAGATTCCCATTGGAAACATTTTCCTTAAAAAGAAACAACTATTTCGCTGTTTTTATCGTAAAAAGTGTGGTTAACCTGTACCGGTACACTCAGTACCTATAATAAAATATTCAAAATATTGTCATCATGTTACATTTAATGCTAATGTGTAACATAATAAATGCAAAGAATATTCCATCAACAATCATTTAAGATCTACAGTGAAGGACAAGAAGTGAGAAAAAATGGTTGTTCGGTGAGTAATTGGTTAGTAGGTATAAGGTAGGTATGCCTTTATGACGATTGATTACCTACTTATTGCGTTATTTTACTATCAAGAAGGGAATTCCCTTCGTAAGTATTTACTAGTTATGAAGTGCCAGTATAAATAGATATTTTTACAACAAACGCAAACTTAACTCTAAACAAAGAAAAAAATTAAAAAATAAAACTTGCTGTTTACTCAAAAATGTCCGTGAGGTAAAGAGGCGAGGATACTGCGATGCTGGCAGCATTTCCATTTTCAGTGCCAGTATTGAACAATATTAGTCAAAATACTCAAGACAACAAGTTGAATAATATCGTTAATTTTAAATTAGACTTGCAAATCCTGTATTTTTTGAAACTTTTTGCCAATACTCTTGTTTTTTTTTTCAAGGGAGATTGCCTTGGACTTGGAGTTTTACTAAACGTGGCAATTACACGTGCTTTTTAATGATGAGATGAGCTCAGTGAGTTACGATTACGAGTAATGTATGGTTTTATACTAACTGTGAGTGAGCATAGATTCCTAAAACAGCGGTAAAGAGAAATTTTTGTTTACAAACGTGCTTTATAACTGGATCTGTCTGAGTCAAGGGCTTCATGACAAGCCGGTCACCTGCACGTGACGTTAGTTAAATAAATCACAGGAAGTGTATGCAGTTATTTGCATGTAAAACCAATTATGAGTGCAGCATTACATTTACTGGATAAGAGTCCGCATCCGTGCTTTGAGTTTGAAGTAAATGCTGTCTATTAAACTTAACGACTGTACGTACAGTCGCCCAGTGGCCATACACATAAATCTAAGTATGATTTTAGATCACACATTTTCAAATTATTAGCCTTTAGATGATTAGCCTGTAGAGAGAGTGCACTGTAGCACTCTCTCTACAGGCTATTTTAATTTTGTTCTCATGACATACCTACTCTACAAAAATAGTCTGTTGCATTCTAGATCTTTTTTAATCGAGTGTAATGTATTTTAACTCTATTATATGTATATTCCGTGTTATTAGTCACTAGCTTTATAATGCTTTGCTCTTTAAACTTCTAGACACTCCAAAACAAGACTTCATCCGAGTTTTTGATTTGCAAAAGATCTAAATAATGTCTAATGGAATACAGATTACAGTAATTAGCATAGTTTTTAGGTCAGGTCAAGTTTTTAATTTTTTGTTATCAAACTAATTTGTATTTTTTACTCGTGCTCAACAACCGGTCTAATTTAGCGTCCAGTCACAGTGAAAGTGCAACAATGATACCAG